TTTCCCCTTTTTTTTTTTGGAAGTTTTAGAATTAGAACTAGAATCTCAGTAGAAAAGTGAGAAAGACTGCAAATGTTCAACTTTTTCCACTGAGGCCATTTTTTTCTGAATGCTCCAATAACAAGGCTTTCATTTTCCCGAAAGATTGGATTTTTTGGAATTTTTGACAAAAATAAAATTAAGCAAAACTCACATCTCTGTTTCGTAGTTCGTAGATTTTTTTTTTCAATTAAAATTCAGAAATTTGAATACATCGATTATTTAACGTCACTCGAAACAGTCTGACCTGTCTGCGCTCTCTTTTCTCTCACCTTGGTCATAGAATTATGGAAATAGTATGTGAAAATGAGAGAGTTGTCGAGAGAAAGAGGGCACAGCGAAGTCGGACGGAAGCTATGGCGAATAAATTTAACTAGAAACACTTGTGAACACTATAGTGATCCCTATAGGGGCAACTTTAGGGTCCCCTTTAGGGACCACTTTACCAAATCCTATAAGGGCCTCTGAAGCTTGCAAAAGTGGTTCCTGTAGGGGACATGCTAGTCTACAGGCTTCAGACCATGAACCCCTATAAACACCACTGAATATTACCCCTAGAGTAGTACTTTTTTCCCCTCTAGGAATTACTCTGTCGTTCCTTAGTATCGATTTATACCTGCATGAACACAGAAAACAATTTTTACCTTTGATTTATTTCCGGTCCACTGACCAACAATATTTTACCTCGGCAAAAAACTTTCGTTGCCCCTGGAGCGCAGTTGAGTAAACGACCATGTAGACTTGACGTCAAGTCTGTCCCACAATTTTTTGGTCTTCAAATTTGTCAAGCAAAGGATGAGGTGGCACTAAATTAGCTCCCGAAAATTGGACAAAAAAGGGACATGAAAGGACGAGATTTATTGCTTGAAATGAGCCCCGTGGACCTTGCTCGTTTCAGGAAAAAATTTTAGTTATAACTTTTTTTGAACAGCAAATTTTTATAGTTTGAATATTAACGGTTTGAAAAAAATTCTGGTGGAATTTTAAAAATTTTACATGTTAGACTTGCTGATAGGGAAGTATTCCTCTCGTTAAATCTGACTTCTCTGCGCTCTCCTCTGTCGACGTGGTCTTTTTTTAACGGCTCGAAAAGGCCAGAGTGGTCCCTAGAGGGGTTAGGAGGAAAAACAGCTCTTTTAGGGTATCAAATAGTGACCCCTATAGGGGTCTGACCACTAAACTCCTGAAGCTCAAGTGATCCCTATAGAGGTTAGGAGAAAAACCCGGCCCTCTAGGGAACAAAATAAAGATTTCTATGGGGGTTTGACTTCTAAGCCTCTAAAGCTCAAGTGGTCCCTTAAGGGGTTTTTCAATTTTTTGCTTGGAAATGCTCTTTTCATAGACTTTAGGGGTTTTATTCAGTGGCCACTTTAGGGCTCCTCATAGAGGTAGGATGGTGCCTAGAGGAGCCCTCGAAGGTTGCCCGTCTAGGGACCTCTTGGGCGCTCCTAAGGATTTTTTTTTTGACAGAGAACTGAGACAAGTTAGACGTTATAGTCTGTTCAGATTTTGAATGTCAAGTCCTCGCTCAAGCTCCGTCCCTAATGGTGCGATAAACCAATCAGAGAGCGAGCCATCCACAGCGTGTTTTTGAATGACTTCATAGCACTTGACATTTAAAATCTGAACAGACTATATCTGCAACCTTTTTCCACGAAAAATTCTATGATCCATTTTTTTTTTTTGCAAGCTGGCGCTGAATCGAGTCTGATCCACCAATCATTGACGTCTATACTTTTTTTTTCGAACGCACTTAAGCCATTCATGAAAAAACTATGGGCGCAAGTCATCATGTTTTACGACAAAAGAAACGGTAATCCCCCTGATAAATCCAGAAAAAAAAAGGAATATCAGTAATCCCTATGATATCAAGCCCGTAGGACCTTCGTACCCATCAGAAAACCCTTTATTCATCCGAAGCTCCTATATTTTTAGCCTCTTCTTTCCGAAGACCACGCCCCCTCGAAAAATCTTCCCGACCGAAAATTCGTATCCATACACACACACGCAAACCTAACGTTATGGGTTTCTCGGAATCACGTCATTTTCTCGATTTTTCTTCACCCCGACCCAAAAATAGGCAAAATCCTTGATGGAACATGTCCCTTTGTTACCTTTTGAAGGCCTCCGCCCGCGAAAATGGCTTTTTTGGACTTTGTTGCAAGAAAAAACTGGATGCGAACCGGAAGCTCAATTTTGATGCGAAACAAGATTTGGAGAAGCTGGACCAAGTTCTGATTTTTTTAAGACAGCAATTATTTCTTCTTCCTCGTTTTCTATGTGATAAGTTGGCTATCCAGATTTGAAAAAACTAGTTTTTCCATCTCAGTTTTGATCAGATATCGACCCCAGACAACTCAAATAAAAATTTCTGAAGACAGAAGCTTTTTCTAAACGACCTTTTTTGCTCCAAGGATAAGACGGCTGTTTTTTCTCATTTCCTCCATTCAAGATTGAGCTTTGATATCCTTTTTTGATGGACAACCAAGTCTCCGACAAAAATGGTCTTTTGAAAGTTTTTGGAAAAACATGGTCTGGAAACTCGATTTCGATGACTTCAGAACTAATGAGAAAACGGCTCTTTTTTCTTGATTTATTTTGCTCCAATGATAAGGCGGCTATTTCGGAAATTTTTGATCACTTTTTGGAAAAAGACAGGATTTTTAGAAACTGTTCGAACTAGTAAAAATTTGCTTTTTCGTCATGTTCGCTCCAAGGATAATTCAATTTGAATTTCATCAGATTTTTACCGGTACACAAGCACCTGCTTTTTCGAAGAATTTTTGATTATTTTAATGAAAATTTTTTTGATTGTTTTTCGATTTTTTTCAATTAAATTTAATGATGAAAAGTTTTTTCTTTCGACATTTATTAAAAAAACACTTCATTCTGCTTTTTCCGAGTTTTTTCTAAAAACCATTTTTTTCAACTCCTCTTTTTGCTCCATGGACACAGCGGCCATTCCTTCTTTTCCCAAATTTTGGACCTCAAAATGAAATATTCAACGTTTTCTTTGAAGTTTTTAGAGACAAGGTAAATTCTCCTTTTTAAAGAAAGGAAGTTTTTCAAAAAGTTTTCAAGAATCGATAAGAAAGCCTCATCTTTTTTGGTGACCCTCCTTGAAGGAATGAGGAAAATGAACGGCCTCTTGAATTATTCAGGTCCAAAATGCTCCAAAATTTTGAAATAGGCAGTAAAAGTATGTTAGCAAACTTTTTTGTTGGAAAATTCAGGACATGCAAAGAATCGTTGTGCGTCAGAGCGTCTTTTTGAGGCGTTTTTAGTAGGTAAAAACTGTAGAAAATTTTAGTTGAGTTAAGGTATGAATTTCGTATTTAGATAGGTCTTTTTGCGAATTTTTTTCGTGCGCCAGAGCGTCTTTCGGAGCTTTTCGAGGAGTTTGTGTGTAGTGCGTCAGTGCGTATTTTATTATTTTTCTTGTTGTTTTTATATGAAGCTTCAAAAAAAAGCTTTGACCTTAACCCACAAACTTCCACGAGGTTTTGTGCGCCAGGGCGTCTTTTTTTAAAGCTTTTTCAGATTGCCTTTTTGTCTTTGAGTGAGATTAGATTGAACATTAAATGAATAATTTTTCCGAAATTCATAGATAAAGTTTTCTATGAAAAACTAACAGCAGGATTTTTTTCACAGCTAGTTGTGCGCCAGAGCGTCTTTTTTTAGGGCGTGTTTTGAAGTTCCTCCAATATTGTATAGGTTTGATCGCTGATTTTTAATAGTAAGCTAACATTTGAATTTAGGGATATTTGAAAGAAAAATTGAACGATTTCGTGTATGGAAGTTATCAAAGAAGTTTTGAACTATTTGGAGAAAATTAGGAAGTTTGTTTAATCAAACCCCTTCTCGTAAAAACTATGACTAAAACTACAATTCGTTGTTTTTTTCTCATGAGGTGGGGGCGTTGGAAAAGTTCCAGAAAAATTGCCTTTTAAAGCGAAAAAAAACTTCCTTTTTTATAGCTTCTCCTTTTGATTAATTCTTTGTTCGACGTTATTTTTTCTGAAGGACATTTCAGTTGTAGTTTTAAAGGTCGTGAATTGAAATTGGAGGACAAAATTAAAACTTTCTCCGGCGGAAATTAAGATTTTTAATGTATAACGGATTGATTTTTCTGTAATCAAAAGTTTTTGAATTTTCACTTCAGCTTGAAAAAAAGCAAGCCTAAAACATTTTCATTGTAAATTTCATAATGAAACATCGAATTGAGAAGATAGTTTCATATAATTTTCATTTCGAACCGAACAGGCCGATTTTGTCGTATTTATAAACTCCGCAAGACTGGAAAAAGGGTCTTGTAGCGAATTCTACAGTACCTGACGCACCTTTAAACTGGCAAGTAATTTTCTAAGCAGATTTTTTTTTAAGTGTAACCGACTTTTCTCTGCGGTCGGACCACTCAAAAAAATATTGCGTAAAGAAAAAAATTGGTCGCATTTGAAATGGATTAACTCGCAACAGTTGCCTTTCTACTTCCATCAAGGTCTTTCAGTTGAATGAAGTAGACCCATTTTGTCGGGATTAATCGAAAAACTGCCCAAAACCAAAAAGAAGGAGTCTTGTAGCGAATCCTACAGTACCCCCCGCTCTTCGCAATGCCGAACTATAGTATATCCAGCCCACGCAAAATCGGCGCTCGAAATAAAATACAAAACCCCCCAATTTGCTCGGAAATTCTTCCAATTCCTGACTGACTGCGGCGTCGGAATTTCCGAGTAATTTGGTTGGGTCCTCTTCTTCTTGAATTTTCCTCTCACGAGGCTCCCACCGTGCTCGGAAATGCGCGATTCGGCCCGTTGAATGGACCGGAATCCATCCCCCAATTCCAACAAAAAAACGCCCTCGCCATCCTTCGTACCAACCTTTTTTGACTTTCCGTTTTTTTCTGAGTCCTAAAACGAAATTCTAGGTAACAAAATTGGAAATCGACGCTTGGAGCGACAGTGATGATCCTGCCGTTGCTGTCCGTCGTCTGCATCGCTCAGTTTTTTGTCAGGGTTGGTTTTCCGGCAAGTTATTAAAGGGGCATAGGTGGGGCTAGTAAAGGGTTTTGGGACGAAAAGAGAAGTTTCTGGGCTTTGGAGGAGCTATACTTGACTTACAGCTTGGATAACTGTCCAAAAATCTTTAAAATCCGGATTTGAAGTTCCTCAAACCTGCGAAAATACATTTTTGTAAATTAATAACACCAAAAATCGCATTTTTCTCTTTTTTCAAGCCTCTTCCCGATCTTTTGATCGATCTTGATCGATCTTTTCACAAAAAAATACAATTTTTGGAGATATTCAAAGCTCCCGTTTCACAAAAAAAGGGGGTCAAACCTGGACTTCCCACTTTGAAAATTCAGGTCTCTTGTTAAAGGAGCATAGGTAGATTGTGTAGGTTAGGTTTAAAATTTTTAAAAAAATACAAAAAAAGAAAATCAGTTCAAGGGAACTCTTATTCGTTTCGAGTTCTAAGTCGAATCCTCCAAACTTCACGATAAATGGAAATTTTCAGGCAGAGTTAGCAGAAGTGAACGGCGTGGAGTCGTCGAAACGGGCCGACCTGTCCTCGTTCGACACTTTGGGCGGCATGGGACTCGGAAAACGGTCCCAGATCTACGCCTTCGACACCCTCGGCGGCATGGGTGAGATATGGAGGAAAAAATTGGGGTTATAAGGGTGGTGTCTTGGAATTTTGAGTGTTACTAGATCACTAGAAACTTCAATTACCTTCGCTTACTGGTTAAAAGAACTATTGAAGTGGCCACCCTAGCGTCCTTTTCAAGTAGCCTCTTGAGTAGCCACCAAAACCTATAATATTCGGTCCTTAAGGGATCACTAAAGCTTTACGTTAGGGATCCCTCAAAGATTACCGACTATTCTATTAGTTCTAAGCGACTCTGGCTCTCTGAAATTTAGTTATCTTTTTCTTTCTCTGACGGCTTTTTGAATTTCGCGGCATCTAAAAATTCCTTTAATAGCATTTTTTTTTTTCAGGCCTCGGGAAGCGATCGCAACTGTCGGGATTCGATACGCTTGGCGGAATGGGTCAGATCAAAAAAAAACCAATAACTATGTTTTTCCAGGCTTAGGAAAACGTTTCTCTGGTTTCGATACGTTAGGCGGCATGGGCCTCGGCAAACGGTCTGACGTCATCGGCGACAAAAGAGCCGCACTTTCCAGTTTCGACACTCTTGGAGGTATACTCCGGGAAAAGGCTTTTTCTCTGCGCCCTCCTCGTCTCTCGACGACCCTCTCATGTTTACGTGCTATCTGCATGTTTCTCTGACCCCGCCGGCGAGGGAACAGACAGACGCAGAGATGCGGAAAAGTGTCAAATTGCGACAAACGGACTATAGGAGAGAATGAGCATAAAGGTCTCGAAACGAAAAGAGAGGCTTTTATCAATTATTATCTGGCCTTTTAGAATATCCAGCAATGAACAGTTATAAAGCATTTTTTTTTAAGCTTTCACAAAATGTTTAGGTTACTGTAGCTTTTAGCTTGTCGTTCCAAGACCTTTCTTCTTGAAATTTCACTGATGTATTAGTTTTTGGAACACTTATGAGAAAGGAAAAATCAGCTTTGAAAATGAAAAGTTTCCACCAATTTTCAAAAATTGTTTTCAAATAAAAATCTTTTTCTGCACCTTCCCATGTTTACGTGCTATTTTCATGTCTCTAGTGAGAAAAAAAAGACCGCAGAGAATTGACAACACAATATGAAAAAAGAAAAATGATCAAGTGAATGAAAACTAACTTCTTCTTCAGGAATGGGCCTTGGAAAGCGGTCCGGCCCATCACCACTATACAACTTTGTGATCCGCCCCGCGTACAACTGAGCAAAAAAAAACTTTCAAATTTCCTCCGGCAGAGCTACACACCTTGAACATGCAATCAACCACCCGTTTTCTATATTAATTTATCGCAATTGTACTAATTGTTCGCTTGTCCAATTTAATAAAGACGTTTTATTGTGTTTGTTATGATTTTTTTATTTTTTTCCTTGAACTTGCGATCCTTTGTAATTTTTTTGAAGCTACTTTCTCCATAAAAAGAAAAAAATTCGCAAAAAAATAATAATTTATTTTTTTATTTTTTGCGTATTTCACGTGCGTTCACCGCAAGGCTGGCAACTCGGTGTTTGCGGTTGAAAAAAAGATACAGAAATTGTCAAAATTTGAACTTCCGTGGAACAAAAATTCAAATATTTTTTACTTTTTAAATTTTTGATTTCAGTTTATTCTAAACGTTTCTTTCCGAAGTTCAAACTAAGAAGAAAAATTTTTCTAGGGATGAACTTGATTTATTTTGCTTTCGTAGATTTTCATTTAAGCTACTGGCCAATTTTTTTAAATTTATTCTGATTGAAGTTATAAACTTTGTTTGATTAAAATTCAGAACAGGTGTATTGATCAAAGGCAAGCCTATTTTTTATGGAACAAAGGCCAACGAGAAGTAGAAATTTGGATTGAATAAATGGCTTAGCTTATTTTTCTTTCTCTGGGATCTTCAGGTGCTTTTAGAAAAGTTTTTCGGAAGAACCTTGCTGAAGTTTTTCAAAAAAAGATTGACGAATATTTAAAAGTGTCGAGAAAAAATAACCTTATTGTTTTATTTCAGGCCATGGGATGTTTTTGTACCTCAGTAAAGTTCTTTTGAGCTCGAAATAACTAAAAGTACTTCCTGATCATGTAAAAAATCGATTTCTAGAATTTTAGGCTTTTTTTTTGTACTGACCATAATTCAAAACTATGAAGAAGAGCATCGAAACATTCCAGGACGATGAATTTATTACCTTTACTCTGAATGATGCAACCGTAAATGATGATAATTATCGGCCCAAATCCCTTATTTAGGTGCTAACGAGGCGACGATAAATCATGTGGTTGGCGTTGTTGGTTTTCGATCATTTGCCGTCGGCTCGGGAGTTGGGCGTGGCCCAAGCCGAGGAGGGCTCGGACCGTCCCAAAAATCCTCATTCGGTTGCTTGTTGGCCTCGCGAGCATGTTCCGACTCCTGGCCTGTGCCTCTTTCTTGGCTCTTCTTCATCTTGGTTTGTTTTTTTTTCCTTTTTACTGAAAATGTTGTCCTAAATTCTCTGAAAAAGCAAATTTTTTTTTGATTGTCTCCATCTCAATTTATCTATTTTCAGCCGACTCAAGGCCTCAAATCGAAGGCCTTCAAACCTATGAACTCCTGGATTACAAGCCGATCGAAGTGGATTGTCCCTGAAAAAGGTGAATCCATTATCTATGTATTTTTTTTATATAATTTTTCAGATCACCAAGAGCGATGGAAAGGTCGTGTGCAAGAACATGAAAAGCCCCGTTTCCATCGATTTTGCTGCTTATAAACGGTAAAATTTGATAAAAAAATAAAAAAAAATCATTTTTCAATTTTCAGCTCATTCCCAATGAGACTGAAGCCGTCCTGCCGCACCGACTGGACATTTGTCAACTTGGGAAATGAAGAAACTGCCGGAATCGTCGAAGGAAGCGGCGCAACTACAATTGTCAAGAACTCCCGTGAAATCCTGCTCTTCCAAGGCCACCTCAATGGTTCGTTTTGAAAAAATCAGGCGTTCAAATACACCAAATAAGCAAAACCACCCAAAGAAAAATGGCAAAAAGCTTTTGACCACTGAGCGGATCGAACGCCCAACCTTTCGATCTGGAGTCGAACGCGCTACCATTGCGCCAAGCAGTCATGCGGTTGCCAATGACTCCTACGACGTGCATATCATTGCAGGCGAATCGAACTCGACTATCGATGGCTCGATGGAAAATGGCATTTTCCAAGGATACGTCATCACGGGAACCCAGCAGAAGTTCTTCATCGAAAGGATTCCTGAGTTAGTTTTTAGTTTTCGGGGAAATGCGGTTTTATTGACAAAAATAGGAAAGTTGTTGAGTTTCGAAAGTAAAAATTAGATGCTGTTTAGAGTTTTTGCATTTTCCAGCAAGAACAAAATTGATGAAAAGATTTTTCCAAGAACTGGAATTTGGGACAGAAAAACAGGGAACAATCTTTTGAAAGATAGAAAAAAATAACCTTTTTAAAAATTTTTCACGGATTTTCCTCACCTGGTTAGGTCCTTTATTTCCTTGTAAAAAATAAAACAATATTTTTATTCAGAAAAAGATTTTCCACGCTCATAAATTTGAGCTATTTAAAAAGTAGGCCATCTTTTAATTTTTGATCAGGCCCCTTAACAATATTTTTCGCTGCCAACATCCAACCTGATTCATTTCAGGGAGAAGCGAAAGGAGATGAACAATGCACATTCATTAATTTTCGAGACCCGCGGCGGGTCTTACACAAGCGGCGCTGTCAGCAGCGGCGTCGACTCGGGCTCTCTTTGCGGCGAAGGCAGCGGCGAGGAGGCGGAAGAGGGCAGCGGCCAGCAGCAGACTCTCCGAGCCATTCCAAATGCGCCCAGCGACTCGTTCGCCGCTCCGGCAGAGGTCAAGCAAGAGTTCGCCGAGGGATTCAAGGAGGAGAACGCCGAGAAGCAGATCCAGCCGACTGACACAGGGGACAAGGAACTGTTGGCCGTTTGTCCAATCGAGAAGCTCCGGGCGGCGGCTGAGGAGGTCAAGGAGCTGGAGAAGAATACTAACAACCTTGGAGACGGTGCCACGACTGGAAACGGGTCTGAGAAGACTTCTGACGTGAAGGAGAACATTGAGAAGAAGGCCGAGACTGGAAATGAGTCTGAGAAGCTGATCAAGACTTCTGAGCAAAAGAAGAGGCCTGAAAGCCTTATCAAGACCGAGGAAGAGTCGAAGAACTCTGAAGCTAAGCCCAACGCCGCCACGACTGAAGAAAAGCTCCAGGAACTTCCCAAGACTTCTGAGCAAGAGAAGAAGCCTGAACACCTCACCAAGACTGCCGGTAAGACCAACAACTTGGAAGCCAAGCCCAACGCCGCCACGACTGACGGAAAGCTCCAGGAACTTCCCAAGACTTCTGAGGAGAAGCCTGAGGCGCTGAGCAACACCGCGGAAGAAATTAGGAACCCAGATGCCGCCACGAGTGACGAAAAGCTCCAGGAACTCCCCAAGAAGAAGCCTGAAGACCTCACCAAGACTGCCGACAAGACCAACAACCTCGAAGCCAACCCAGAAGCCGCCAAGACTACCCAAGAGGACAAGAACATCGAGAAGAAACCAGAAGACCTCAACGAGCCACTCCGAGCCCCACAAATCGGCATCTCCCTCTTCGGCGGCCCTCAGCCCTACGGCTCGTCCGTCTCCTCAGTCTCCTCGGTCTCCACGGTCAACAGCGGCAACCCGTATTACCCCGGCGGCGGCGTCCAGACCACCTACGTCAGCCGCGTCGGGAATGGCTATCCGGTCGGCTACGCCGGCGGCGCCTATCCCTATCGCGCTCCCGCCCAACTTGTTTGATTGATACTTGTAATTTTTATTTCGTGTTGCATTTTCTTTGTGGCTCTTTCACTTACTCTTTGTACGATAAAACTATTTTTCGAATCGCTTTGAAAAATGAATGGAATGGTCTTAAAACACCTCTGAAAGTTCCCTATACTTATATCAATCAAAACTTCCTGAGACTCCAGAGGCCCTTGGAGGGTCCTATCTAGGGACCACTGAAGCTTGCAAAAGTGGTCCCTATAGGGTTTTATTTAGTGGCCCTTATAGGGAAAAATGGTAGCCGATTACTTTCATGAACTCTGTAGGGCAAAAGCCCACCTTCACATACACCAAAATGACAATTTTTTGTTGCAAAAACGGTTTTAGGCGTTTATACTAACTAAAGTCCCACTTTAAAATGAACTATTTCTGTTAATCTATGCCAATCGACAACGCTCTACAAGACTGAATACTTTTAAAAAACTATGTATTTTTCAAAAAATAATAAGCGAAAAGTAAGATTTAACACGAAAAAAACTGACAAAGTTTCACAAAATCGTGCGTTTCAGAAAGGAAGCAAGTGAGGAGGCTCTAAATTTTAAGTATGTTATACATTAACACTTTCTTTATTTTTGAGTAGAAATGAAAAAAAGCGTTCAAAACTCTATCAATGAAAAAATTGAAAAATCGATCGACGCGAAAAAAATAACGGCTTTAACCTCAGAAAAAATGGCAATTTTTTGAAATTTTAAAATTCGTGCAAAAAGCATTCGTAGCTGTGTATGCGTCAAACACACCGATGCGCCTTTAAATATCGCAGAACGTTTTCGAAGTCAAATTGCACTTTTCCTGTTTATTTCGAAATAACATTTATTTCATTTCTTCTTTCTCAAATCAGATGATAATAATTTTCTGAGTAGAAAAAAGAAAATAAAATTGTCCTTTGACCTTTTTTCTAGGTAGTTTTGATATTTATCAAAAATTCTTATGAGATTGTACAAAGATTCATACCAAAACATGAGGCTCAGTTCAGACAATCTCTCAGAACAGAAAACCGGTTAAAAACGGTCCAGAAACGCGAAAAAACATTTAAAAAGAAAGCGTGTAGCAGCTTAGGTAAACCGTGAAATTTTGCCTCAGTTGTACGCCTTGCGTTAGTTTTGGCATAACTTTTTTCTTAGTGGGCTTTTTCAAAACTAAACGGATTATAGAAAATGGACAGTCTCCTCTATCGAACAATGCCAAAAAACATATTTTTGAATCGTTCTGAAGAAATGGCTTGCGGTCCCTAACTCTATGCGAAAAACTGAATAAATGAGCTTTTCGAAAAAATTGATAGACCTTATATAAAGGGACCGCCAAGCTTTGAGAGACTAGTGGTCAAACCTAAATCCTATAGGGATACCTTCATTTTGTATCCTAGAGGGATCACTCGACCCTTATAAGAGCTGTTATCCCTAACCTATAGGGATAACTCACTGAAAATTCTAAGTTTTGTCAAAAATGATGATTATTTCCACCAATTTCCCGTGTTTCAATAATTCTGGCGCAAAAACGAACCAGCTACGCGACGTTTGAAAACAAGAAAAATGCCTATATTTTTGTAGAATCCACGAAAAATCGATTTTTATTGAGATTTCAAATCAAATTGTCTCGGAAGGCCGCCGAAGACTTCCTTCTTGCGGCGTGACGTGGCACCGACAGAAGAGTCATATTTTCCTCAACGACGCTCGCCCGGTGAGTCATCGATGTTCTAAATCGATTTGTAAAGTGCGGACGATTTTCGTAATGGGGCTATACTTTCTGAACGTCGGCGGTGCTACCGTGCTTTTCCTTCTCAAAGCGGTTGGCGGCAAAATGTCGCCGCTCGGACCTTCCAGCGCTGCTTGGGAGCTCCGGCGTAGGATTTGACCCATCGATTTTCTGAATGAGTAGAGAATTTGGATTTCGTAGTTTTGGTACACTCCTGAGCGTGTTCATAATTAATAAGGTCCCTTAAGTGATCCCTGAGAGTTCAGGATCTTAGAGGACACACTGAGGGCTCAGAAAATGGCCAAAAGTAGAATTAAAAAAAGCTTCCGTCTCTCTATTTTGAGTAGTTTAGGTATAGTTTTGGTATGAGGCCAGTAGTGAGTCTGTTCCTAACTGCCAAGACCCCTTAAGTGACCTCTAGATGGCTCAGAACCACAAAAAAGTCATTGAGTGCCCAGGAATTAGCCAAAAGCTGAGTAAATTGAAAAAAGCTTTTTTTCCAGTAGTTTTAGTACAGTCCTGATCGTGTTCTTAACTGTTAAGACCCCTTAAGTGATCCCTGAAGGGTTAAGAACCGCATAGGAGGCATTGATGGCTCAGAAAATGGCTAAAAGTAGAATTGAGAAGAGCTTTCGTCCTCTATGTTGAGTGGTTTAGGAACAGTCCTGAACGTTTTTATAACTAATAAAGTCCCTTAAGTGACTTCTAGATGGCTCAGAATCACAGAGAAGGCACTAAAGGCGCAGAAAATGATAAAATTCAGGATTGAAAAAATCGTTTCGTTCTGATATTCGTATAAACAGCTACTGATGTTCCTTTAAAAATCCCGCGACTCATAGCTTGTTGGAAAAGTTCTTTTTGAGGTTTCTTGAAGCATTGAGGTTTTATGCCCCAAAAATTAAAAACTTTGCCAAAACTGGTATAATTTCGTTATGGGCTATTTCAAACCTTCCCACGACTACTACAGAGAGAATAAATTGATATACTTCCCAAAAAACTCCTGATTTATTGAAAATCTACAGGGATAATCTTTAAGAAAAAAACTAAGCTAGAAATTTGCATGAAGGTCTTGACGCGAAATATATTATGAATAACTTAATTTTTCTGTGTATTTTTGCTTTCTCTGACACCTTATAATCAACTGTGAGAGTATAGTTAAACTTTTCTCACTTGAAAGACGTGAGGGGGACGCGTTGCGTGCGCGACGCGGCTTTTTGGCGAGGGAGCTCGCGGTTAAAATGCAATTATGTAAAAAAATCGAAAAAAAGTGAGTTTTTTTATATCATTTTATACTTTTTATTCGCTTAATTACACTTTATCAAAATCATAAAGAATCAAAAAAATTATTGAAAAAAACTGTCGAAAAAAATGAAAAATCATGGCTCGCGTTCAAATCCAAGTTTCCCGCCAAAAGCCGCGACGCGTACGCAACGCGTCGCCCTTTGCTAACATACCCATCTCGCCTTTCAATTCGAGAAGGATCGACTATTCGAGAAAAAAAGTATAAGCCGTTACCAGGAATGAATACGTTGTTGTGAATACATATGTACTGTTTTTTGATTTTTTTCGCGATTATCTGCTAATATTTTCTGGATGTCGATACGTTCAAAAACGTTCTGAGAATCAGTTGAAAAAGAAATTACCCTAGTTCCTAGCGGAATATCATTTTTATTGCTTCTCTTCTCCTTTTCTCTTAAAGAAGTCGGGTACGATTTATCTTCCTAAAGCTTGGGCAAAGTCGGAAGGGTCCTTTGAGGGTCCGTTTTGGATCAAAAGGTTTATTAATTTCTTCTAAACGAATGGCAACGGTTTCCTTTTTACTGCCTTTCCGTCCTTTCATCGGCCTTCATCCACCCTTTTTGAACCCTTTTGAGAAACACAGAATTTTTTGAATTGAGAAAAATCTTTACCAGTGACTGTGTATGAACCAAAATGTGCTACAGTAATAAAATGATCAATGGCCTCTCCTTTTTCCCCTGAGGCTTTTTAGCCCACAAAAAAAAAGGCTCAATAAAGGCCGCAAAACGGAACCATTTTAGCTGCCATTTTGCACCCGTTACTCCTGACTTTGTCAATGAAGGTGAAAAAGGATTTTTTAATTTTGACTTGGAGGTTCAGCTTTTTCAGAACTTTCTCAAAAATGTACTTTCAATTAATTTTTCTTTCATTTTTGAATTTATGAACTTGAATCTATTCTTTTCTGAGGATTCCGAGTATTAATTTTTCGTTTACCTATGATGGGAAAGAGGCGAAAGCAAAGGCGTGGCCATGCCAAGCGATCCTCGTTGACCACCGTATAATTCATTTCCGAGAGCCTTAATATTTTCAATTATAGAACCTAATTAATTAGGCCTAATTAACCATGTGACTATTCCTGCGATCCAAATGGATGTGAATCGATGAGGAATGCTTCTTGCCGGTTGGCCTGTCGGGAATTCCCTGAAAATTGTTGAGTAGACCATAATCTCAACGGAGCTCACATGCTCAAGCTTCAAAAATCAATAAGGACAAAAAAATCAGCAGCCAAAATCAGCTTTGAAGAACCTAATACAAAAAAACAGGAATTAAATTACAGGGCATTTCTAGTGACCACTTTAGTAGCCTCAGCATTCTTAAGTGATCCCTAGAATCGGCCAGAAGCGTCCGAGCGATACCAATGCCTGAGACATGATTTCCATATTTTCAATGAAGCAAGAAAGCTTTGGAAAAAAAGTTTGTAAGTTTATGGAGGTCAGGACAAGAAATGTAGCCGCTAGAACCAGCTGAGCATAAAAAATATCTTGAAAATGCTACAGGAATTTTCGATTCTCAGTGGAGCGCACAAGCTCGAGCTTTGGAAAAAATTCATAATTTTTCGAGTTTGAGACATTTAGAAAATTTGTTTGAAAAGAGCTTTTTGGACAAATTTTCGGGATTTCTACAGCCTGAAAAATAGTGACAGCTGTTTTTTTCAAAGGATTTTTTTACTCTGAGACTACATTTTTTTGAATTTTGCGTGTACTTTCTTTCAGAGCTGCCCCCTGCCCCGAATCCGTCACACTGTTAGAAGATTTCTCCACAGTTACTCAATGATATAAATTTATTTTTCATTCTCTTCCACCAATAGATTTTTTATTAGCTGTTTCTCTGCGGATTCTTTCCCTTGTACTTCATTTGAACTTATCTCCTCAGCGGGGCAGGGCACCCCAGGGCGACTGCTCCGAACAGCGGGCCGCCCCGACAGCAGCTCTGCTTTCTTTAGTTCAACTTTCTTCTCCTGATTTTTTCGATTTTTCGGTTTTCATCCTTCTTTACCAAAATTTTTTACCTGTACTAATTTTTCGGAACAAGATTTTTTTGTCCAATGAAAACGTCATAAATATTTCTCTTAATAGGGCCGTTTCTGGTTTTTTTGGGACTATTTTTAGTTAATTTTTGGATCTTTTCTTGGTGATTTATGTATTTTTTTCTCCTAAGTACATTTTTTTAAAAAAAGGTACAGCCGATTTTTCAAAAACCTCTTCCGCTTCCTCGTCGTCTCTGACAATCACTATGCTCTGTTGACGTTCTCGCTCTTCCTGAAAAACATTTATTTTATAATAATGATCCAATTTTTGAATATAAAAACCTCAGCAACAGCTTCCATGAACTGACGTTGGCGTGTCGAATTCACCGTACCCCACACTGATTTGAACAGGTAGATGAAGATCTCCAGAAGAGTTACCTGGAAATTTAACAGCATTCGGATGCTAGAACAAAAAATATATTGTTATTGCTCTCCAGATATCGCCAAACTGAATCAGGGATTTTGGCTTCGAAGAGCAAATTTCGAAAATTTTCAAAGTCAGGAAAGAAACATTTTGTGTTGGAAAAGGAGATCAAATTTATCAAATTTTTGACATTTTTCGATTTTGTTCAAACTTCATCATGAATAGTTCAATCATAACAGCTTTTTGAGACCGAAAGAAGCTTCCTAGAGCAATAATTATGATTTTCCCGTCAAGACCTCTCTTAAGTAATAGAGTATGCGCCTTTAAAAACTCTTATTTATGGGCTGACGCTGCAATTTTTTTCTTGCAAATTTCTCAATTTTCTAACTAGGAAGCTCATTTCACTTAATGATTTGGGTTTTTTCCAAAAATTGGCCCGAACATAGTTTCAACCTGCTCTTAGTTCTTGAGAAAAGAGACCTCGAAAATAAAGAAAACCAGGAAAAACCGGTAAAAAAGACTATTTTGAAGCTTTGGCCTCTTATTCCTCAAAAACTAGGCGGTTCTGCATCCTGAGACCTTCAAAGAGTTATAGTTCATCCGCCGCTTTTTCGCGTGTCTGCGTCTCTGTGGTCCCTCACCGGCGAGGTCAGAGAAACATGGAAAAAGCACTTGAAAATGAGAGAGACATCGAGAGATAAGAAGGGCGCAGAAAAGTCCTGCCTTTTCAAGAAAACGGACTATATCTGGCCAGTTTTTTTTTCATGGTCTTTTCAAGATGATCCTCAAAAGTCAGAAAAAAAATAACCGTGCTCATTCCCAAGAAGAGGCCCATGCTGCCGGCGATGTTCGAAAGCAGGTCTGCTGTCTGCAGTTGTTTCTGCTGTTCGTGACGATCATACGCCACCGTTTGCATGAACACACTTGCCATCGCGACATTCTTTCTAGAAAAATTATTATTTTTTTCTGATATTTTTTCCCTGACCTTTACAAAATCTTTTTTGAGAGTTCTCGTAATTTTTTTCGACAGATTGCCACAAAAAAATTTTTCTGTTTTTCCATTTTTTTCTATTGATCTTTACAAAGCCGTTTTTTTGTGGAAAAACGAAAATAAGTATTTTTTTCTTAGGAAGATCTTATTTTTTTCCATCATGGCCTCTAAAGAGCTTTCTGGCGCTTTAAGAGTGTTCTAGGGTCACAAAATTCTTGGATTTTTTGAAAACGTAAAAAGGATTTTGGAACACATCCGAATAATTAAAAACAGAGCTTGGATGGAATTTTTGCGTTGGTTTTCCGCCATATAGACCTACGAACTGCACAAAATTGAAGTTGAATATTTTTATCAAAAGTAAGTTTTTTTAATGCGCTTTGATGTTGAAGACAACCTTAACCTGCAGAGCTTCCTGATTTTTTGAAAAAAAAAGAGATTTTTAGTTTTTCAGCGGCTGGCTTTGGCTTTTTTTGGGCGTTGAGGCATCCTTTATTAAAAAAATTTTCGCAAGTTGAGGCTCTCTAGATAGTATTCTGGTGAATATTTTTAGCTTCCACTGCCAGCAGCTCAATTTTTATACTAAGAAAACTCTACATCAATATTGAGGCCTCCTTGATCTTTTCCCATATCTCAAAGGATACCTGACATAATCCATGGAGAGCTTGAATTTGGTGGCGGCAAATCTCGCCATATCCGAATAACTGGTCGTGACGTCAAACTCCAACAAATCGCATTCCGTATCACATCCGCAGCTCGTTTGCTCATATTCTAAGCTTCTCTTTTTCAATTCGGACCTCAAATACGAAAACCAGACATCTGAGCGATTCCAGGGATCACTTAAGAGTCCTGACGCTACTAAAGTGGTCACTAGAAATGCCCCGGTCCGAGTAGAAATCGAAAAACCTTCCAACTTGGCGCTGCAATTTTTGTACTGCACCGGGGTGCAAATTCGCTCCGACGCTAGGGGAAACGCCAAGTTTGGGATCAATTGGAGTGGGTAGCATTGGCAAGATTCCAAGGCTCGTTGCAGTTGACAGTTTTGCTCGCAGTGATGGCTGGTGTACTGAAAAAATAGGATTTTAGAGAAACAAATGTTGGAAAGTACTGATTTTTGGGGAAGTTGAGTAGGAAAAGTAATCGATCTCAAAAAATTATTCTTCAAAAACTTATAAAATAAAATAAATGTTTTTGATTTATTGGATTGCACGGATAATGAAAAAGTGATACTTAAATTTCAGTGGAAAAAAATTAGAAAAATGAGAAAAAAAGTGATGGACCCCGAAATTTTTCCAAAAACCCGTCGAAAAATATTTTTGAAACAAGTCTGCTCCACTGACAAAATCCAATAACTTCAAAAAAATCACACTGGAACGTTAAGTTTTTTTCAATTTATCAATGGAGCAACCATTCCTCCGAAAAAAATAGCCAGTTTTGTTTAAACTTCCATTTTAAAAACTGGAAAGAGTATGATAGGTTAGTATTAAACTTTTTGAATTGAGGTTTAAAAAGTTCAAACCAGTTTACTTGAAAATTTATTGGAAAAATATATTTATTGGGAAGGATTTTTGAGATTATTAGGACCAAAAATTTCAGATGAAAAATGGGAATAACGAAAAATTTTAACTGAAAAATGGCTTCATGAACTTGCCAATGAAGTTAGGTTGACAATCGAGTTAAAAATTCATGATTTTTTTCGGAGGAAAAAAACAAGTTGCGTTGAGATTTGAAAGCCGGTTTTTCGATTTTTCTGGTTTTTTCACTTATTTAACCATATTGAAGTCCAGTATACGCACATTCAGATGTATCAACCGTTTTCCGTGAATTCCCTCATCCCAATACCTCTGACACATCCCCCAGTTGCCCTTTTCCAGTAGAGAAATCTGAAAATTTTCCAATTTCTTTCAAAAAATGGAAAAAAACACCTGACATTCCTGGTTTGTATGGAAGCGTGAAGGACAGAGTTCGGAGGTACGGCCAGGGCCCTGTTGAGAAGCGGCGGACTTTTGCCTGCTTCGTGGATCAAGACGCGGAAGCCAAAGTCGGCGAAGGTCGGGGGCAGGTCGACTGTATCATTTTTTGGAAGAAAAGGGGTAGGATTTGCGGTTCAAAATTGAACTTTGTGAAATTTGAAATATCCGTTGGAGAGTGCAAAAGACAATTGAAGTTTGAGTCAGAGATAATTGAATATCGCGGAATGAATTTTATCACGGCAGAAGATTGCGGAATTAGAAGCTTTGAAAGTGCTTGAAAAATTTAGAATTATAAAATTCGAAAAAAATCGTTAATGAGACGTACTTCAGAAAAAAATCGATTTTTCAGCCAAAATAAGTGAGACTATTTCCAGTTAGTCTAATCATAACACCCTAAAAGAACCCAAAAACCTCTTTTTCATGATAAGCCAATTTTGAAGCCTCATAATTTGAATAAAAATAATAGATGAGACTCAATCCTTTCTTTATTGGAATCAGAACGTTCTAGAAAAATTCTCAGTTGATTTTTCTCACTTTTTTTATATTTTTTTCACTGCCCTTGTCAATAGTAAAATCAGTTCTAAAGTAGGGTTAGTTTTTAAATTTCAAGAAAAAAATTCATATCTAAAGCCTTGTTTCTGCGAAAAAAATAGTTTTTAAAAAGTAGATTTTTTTCCGGTGGTTGCTTGAATTTCATTACGGGGTTGAAGATCGAGTTCGAGTAAAGTTCAAATTTTTCCTCAAGAACTCGAAAATTAGGGTCGATTTTTTACGTTAACTTTATTGGTTAGGATGATTTTTTTCTCAATATTCATTTTAATCTAGTCAAAATTTGAGTTTATAGAGTCTCAAATTGGCTAAAAATGTAACTAGAACTCTCATTTCAAGTCAATTTTTCGCATCAACATTTTTTTCGAATTGTTTTTCAACATTTTTTTCCTGAACTTTTTTCTTTTTTTCTGCTTCATTATCAACAAACTCACATTCATTCCCACTGTCATACTTGCCATCTAGGGCGAATTCCCAGCCGAAACCGCTGCCACTGAACCATTGCCGTCGCTTCCCGCCTTTGTTTGGAAACCTAAAGAAATCAAAAAGAAGGTCCCCCTTTTCCGTCAGAAGTTGTACAATTCTTCCCCCATCGCAAAACGTTTGGGCGCCAAAAAGTGCAAACGGCGAGAGAGCATGGGAACGTCGGCGAGACGACCAGACAAATTTTACACTTTTTTGTTCTCCATCTTTTCCCTCTCTCTCTCTCTCTCTCTCTCTGGGCTGTGAGTTTGGGTGACTGCCAAGAGTTTTCCGGTTGACAGATTTGATAAATGGGAACGGCGTTATTGAGTGATCACTTAAGGGAGGGCCGAGGAAACGTTCGGAAGGGGTCAAGCTTAGGAGTTCCAGAATGGCCCCTGGAGGGGTTAGGGCGAAAAAAAAATCCTCTTAGGAGCCGAAAAGTGGCCTCTATAGGGCTGAAATCAAGGTGGACCCTATAGGGGTTAGGGCAAAATATAACCCCTCTAGGGGCCTAAATAGTGATCCCTATAAGGGTAAAATCAAGCTGGTCCTACAGGGGTTTAGGGTCCGACCCCTGAGCCCCTAAAGCTCAAGTGGACCCTATAGGGGTCTTTCAAATTCATTCAAAAAACGCTTTCATTTAATTTTTCGCATGGAAATGTTCTTCGATTAGAGTTCATAAGAATTATCGACCAGAAGTTTTCCTTTAGGGACCACTTTTGCAAGCTCTAGTAGCCCCTTAAGGGGTTGGTAAGGGGCCCCTAAGGTTGCTCCTGTAGAGACCACTCTAGAGCTTCCAAGAGTAGTCGCTCAAGGGGCTTGGAAGAAGCTGTTTGTATCCTTCTGGCATTGTAAAAAGTCTTCTGAATCCTCTAGTGACCACTCGGAATTTTTTTTGGGATTTTTGGCATTCATAAAACATTCTCACAACTTAAATCGACGTTTTCTGTGAACCTCTGCTTTTCGAAAGAAACTGAGCACTTAAGGGGCCACTTGAAATTTTCACGCTTATTTTTTGAAGGCTTCGTTTGCTATGATGATAAAGTCTATATTTGAGAACCTTAAAAGAGGAGAAATAGTGTGTAGATTGAGGAGAGTGCGTTTTTTACAAAGAAATTGAGACTAAGAAAAAAAAATTTTGATGTTTCAAATATCAAAAAAAAAAAAAGAAAAAGTCGCATTTTTCTAATGAAAACTTTTCTATTAGTACTCTGAATTTTTCAGATTAAAAATAAGAAAAAGTACCTTATGCAAAGGCCAACGTCAGTGAGTTCAGCAACACCGTTTTCACAGCATTTCGGAATTATTCGGCCCCCAAAAGCGCACCCCAAAACTAGGTCCTCGCATCTTGGCCTGGAAAATTCTCAAATTGTAAAAATGGAAAAAAGGCTTCCAACTCACCCGACGTCCTTCATAAATGTTCTCACGTCGAAAACTTTCCCCATTGACTCGAAATATTGCTCACGATAGGCCAAGTATTGCTCATGTTTCTCATCGAGCTGCTCTTCGGCCAGATCTACCTGATGAAAGTTATTAAGGAAAAGAAATTTTCATTTTATCACCTGATCAGAATAGGAATGTAGGACGTAGCTCAAGACGTCATTTGAAATGTTGTAGGCTGAAAAATATATTTAAAAAATGTTAAGGGCAACTTAAGAGACTCCTCAAGGACTGCTTGAGAGGACACTAAAGTGGCCACTGAAACCACCTTTGTGGTTCCCTTTTTAATAGCTACCATTACGGCTCCTGCAGTGGCCATCAAAACCCTAAAGAGGCCACTAAAACCAGCTCTACAAAAGCCACTATTTCACCTCTTAGTGACTCCTATAGTAGTTTTCTTTTTAATGGCTACTAATTAGACTTCTACCGTGACCATCAAGGCCCTAAAGTGGCCACTGAAGAAGCCTCTATTTTGCCTCTTAGTGACCACTATAGGTTTTTGAAGGGCTATCATTACGGCCATAAAGACCCTAAAGTGGCCACTCAAACCACCTTTATAGAAGCCTTTTGTCTCTCAGTGACCACTATAGTAGTTCCGTTTTTTTAATGGCTACCATCATGGCTTCTACAGTGGCATCAAGACCCTAAAGTGGCCGCTGAAAACCCCTTTGTATAAGCCGATTTGTCTCCTAGTGACCACTATAGTAGTTCCCTTTTTAATAGCTACCATTATGGCTTCTACAGTGGCCCTCAAGACCCTAAAGTGGCCACTAAAGATTTTTGAATTTTTATTTTTCAAACTTTTTTCTTTGTTTTTTTAAAAATTTTTTTCTTGATGACTGTTTAGAGGCGCATAGACAAGGTTCCATTTAGAAATTCCAAAGAGATCCCTTTAGGGGTTAGGGGAAAAACAGCCTCTTTAAGGACCGAAAAAGGGGTCTCTATAGGGGTTTAGAAGCTGACATTTTAGCTCCTGAAGCTTGAGTGGCCCCTATAGGAGTCTTCCGACTTTGTATTGAAAAAAAAAACCGTTTTTAAGTCTTAAACCCCTATACCGCTTTTGCAGGCTATAGTGGCCCCTACAGGGAATCGTAAAGTGGTCCCTAGAGAGTTGCCCTTATAAGGACCACTCCAAAGTTCATGAAAAAAAAAGCCGCAAGTATTTTTTCACAAACCTCGAACTCTATCCATCACAACAGGCATGTAGTTACACACCGTGACGTCCGGGAACAGAATTCCTCAAAAATATCGAAATATACGAAAATACTTCGAAAAAAACCTTCCTCAGGCACTATAGTGTTAACTTGGAATAGGGTCGGCTTGGAATGATATCCGAGCAACAGATAGCCGCTCTAAAAATCCTATTTTTCATCCCAAATAGGCAATAAATCTCACATGAATCATAAAAAGTGAGAGGCAGCAAAGAACCACGACACACCAGAAAATTCGCGACGGCCAGGTATTGGAATTGTAAATCCGCACGAGGCCATGGTAGGTCGTGAGCCCGGAGAATTCCTTAATTTTTTAAGCTTCATCAAAAAAAATTTTTGAAGACCTTTGTTTCATAGTCATAAATACGAAGGTAGACACGTTCTGGCGACGTCGTCGAGTAATTATCCGCCATTTTGCATCGGAACCAAGAAAAATAAGGTTGACGGCGATAGGGGAGCAAGAGCGGAGTCGAAACTGATAACAACCCCAAGGGCTTATCGATAATTTCATTATTTCCCGCTCTTGACACTTCACCGAGGTCGCCGTATGAGGTATTTTCTTCATTTCAAAAAAATTTCAGAGGCAAAGTCGGAAATGGTGGAAAAAGGCTGCATATAAATATTCCTTTTTGCTGCCTTTTTGCGCCATTTTTGTTGCCTCTCCATTTTTCCACCATTTTTCGAGCTTTTTATATCTCAGAAAAATGAAAGGCTGATATTAAAAGGCTCGATAAAAGGCTCAATAAAAGGACCCTTTTTGCACCCTTTTTTGCGGCCTTTCTGCGCCCTTTTTTGAACCTTTTAGCGGCCATTACCCACCATTCTGACTTTGCCCAAGTTTCTAAAAAATGCTAAAATTTGGCTCAGATTTTCTGTAGAGCACCCTTACTTCAATATTGAAAGAGTTGAACGTTTTTTTTTTCTTTTCAGCGAGGTTAAAAGGCCTGAAAGCTTTTGATAATGCTTTTTTTGATAGCGTAAGAATTTCGAGCCGCCTTAAATGACTGAAAATCAGAAGGACTCAAAAAATGCTTTGAATCATAATCAGAATGCTTTTAAGTATTTTCCATCTGAGTTAAAATTCGTTGTAATCGAATATTTCCTGACCCTTTCAAAATTCTCAAAGAGCTCACTTTTTTGAACCTGGAATTGCCAGCCATCAGAGCAGGAACTTTTTCTTTTTATAATTTTTGGTTTCGGACTCTGAGACTCTGTAGAACCTCTTCTAATCATCTCAATTCCCGAAAACATTATTTTTTTAACCTTTAAAAACCTTTTTAATCGACATTTTTGAGGTTCTTTCGATGATCTGAAAATGAAAAAAACCCGTCTGAAGACATAAAAATCACAAGGATATCAAAAATTTCGGAGGTCCTCAGATGCTTATCAGAACATTGTGACTTGAAATTCTTCTTTATCCGCTTTTTGAGAATTTATTTGGAGGTTTGATTGGAATAAAAAAACTAAAGCCCTGAATAATTTTCCTCCAGCCTAGAAAGATCAAAACTTAATTTGGAGCCGAAAAATCAAGCTTTTTGATTGAAAAAAAGTTTTTCGGAAAATAATTTTCCTTTGGAAACCCAACTCTCCACAATCGAAGCCTTAATTGGAATTTTTTATTTTTTCACTTTATTTGGGATTTTTTTAAATTTTGTCCTTGATCCAACAAAATTACTTAATTATTCATTTTTGTTGATACTCATATATGTAGTTTGATCTGGTTCGTTATATTCAGACCCATTTTTCTCTTCATGCTTTCTCTTCAAGCTTCCAGAAAGTCAATTCTGATAGTTCCAGAACAAATTCTTCGCTTCTCCATGTCGGATCGTCTACCAACTGACTTGGAAAGTCGCCTTTCTTCAAGTTCTCCAGAAACGATCTCCGATGATGGTTAGTTTTTTTTTGGTTCGGGTTCAGCAGATTTTCAAGCTGGTGCTGAACCTCTAACCAAAAGTTGGAATCTTCCTTTTCTTGGAAAAAAAATGGCGATTCTTTTTGAAATTATTATTATCTCCTTTCAACCTCCTAAGTGGTCGGTCTCTCGTCTGAGATTTAATCCGACCCCGCCAGCTCTGGAAAAGCGGGCAGCTCCTCCAGGGGGAAGAAGCTGATCTCCGGAACGCTCACTTCCAATGCAGAAAGAAAAAAGATGATTAAAGAGCCATTTTTTGTTCAACAAACCGAGGATCAATTCTTCATTTAATCTATGATTCAGCAGATAAAATTTCAACTTGTAAACTTTTAGAAAAAAAAATGAGCTGTATCGGAAGAGGTGTTTGATTTAGAGGCACTTTGAGCAAGGATAACTTTTTTCCTAGACCTTTGCGACGAGGTTCGGAATCGGCTATAAACTCTGTTTCACCTGCTTTTCGAAGTCTCGTTCAGAAATCCTTCTCACTTTTTTTTTCTTACTAGGGAACGTTTTTATGAAGCTTCGAAGACCACAAAATATCAAAATTATGACAAAAACCGCTAATCTAAGCTTTTCAAGCGTCCTAAATCGAAAACGTTTTTTCAAATCTTACTAGTTTTGTTCTAAGTTTGCTTCAATCAAATAATTGGTTCTGTTAAAGGATTCTTTTAAAAATAGAAAACAGGTTCGAAGATTGCAATACAAGGTTAACAAGGAAGATCATTCCACTTTACAGTTGGCAAATTCCTGAAATTTGGGCAGAACGGTCCTTGATGTACCAGATCAGAATCCTGGAAGGTTCGAAATGCTCAAACTGCGAGTTTTTGAGAAAGGACAGCTTGGATCATTAAAATTAGCCTTTTTGGGGCTTTAGGTCATTATTTTTCGAAAAATAGGAAGTTTTGCAAGTTGAGACTTTCAGGGTCTTTTTCTGGTACATCAAGAAGCGTTCTGGCCAAGTTTTAGGAAATTCCCAACCGCAAAGTGAAATGACCCCCCCCACTAAGTCAGCTTTTCATAAAATAATTGGTTTTTTTGAAAAATTTTGAAAAGAAAGCGGTTCGGTTTGAAGACGGCACAAAAAATCTGAAGATCAAGAAGAAGTGGAAATTTTTGAGACGGAAAATATTTTCGTAACTTCCATCAAGTCCTCAAAAAAGGGCAAATTTTGAGAATTTTACATCCCTTGGCTGATTTTCCATCTGAACCACCTTGATCTGAGTAGTAATAACTTCTCAAAGTTGGTATGAATTAACTAAACTTTAAAATTGCAAAAAGAAAGTTTTTCGGCGTCATAACTCGCTTAAAAAGCAAGAGGAACAGTTTTTTCTTCGACTGATTTAAAATTTCGGTTTTCAAAAATACTTCTTTTCATAACAGTTTCAAGTTGTGTCTTTTTTGCCAACGCCTTTTTGAATCAAACGATATTCCACCGCCTTTCTCCAATCTGACGTCATCAAAAGAAGCCGCTCACGGTTCGGAATTCCAAGACAAATAGAGGGAAATCCAGCCGGCTGGTAGTTTTTGACCCAACTTCGGCGTCTACCCAACACACACGCACACACAAACACAAAGGGGCTGCGGCGGGGAGAGATGGGGGCGGGGCGTGGCCGGCGTCGCTGATTGGCCGACGGGTCGAACCGCTGCCGCCGCTGCACATAAATCGATCGAAACGCTCTGGCCACTCTCCGCCGTGAGGTTGCCTCGTTCCTTATCGTCCTACTGCGGTTTCCCCTAACATTTTTGTCCGAACGGTCCAATAAAACTTGATTCATTTCACCTCCTTACACTGATTTTTGCATTGATCTTAACTTCATCCAAAATTTTTTTATTTTCAAATTTTTCTGTTAAACTTTGACCTCAAAATGCTTCTACAAGGCTTTAAAAATAACCCCATCAAAGGATCAAGCTCAAAAAGTTCAAAAATAGCCTCGGCGCGCATTTTTCTTACGCTCCTGGCACGATGCCAATGTTTGCCCATTTCATTTTTTTTCCGAATTCAAACTGAAACTCTTCGAAAAAGTGATATTTTTCACGAAAAACAACTTATTTTTGAATTTACGACTTTCAGATCATTTTTTACCCAAATTTTTCATTGATTCTTATCTTTTTTTCTTCAGAAATTGAACTTTTTTGCTGATTTCGCTCATTTATATGGAAGTTTTCGACAGGAAAACGACATATTTTCAATTTTACATTACAATTTAGTGAATTCTACATTTTTTCCATCTAAGAAATCTTTTTCTCTTCTCTTATCGTGTTTTTTTATCAGTTTCTTATCTTAGTTTTTCTTATTGGCTCCTTGAAATTTTTTTCATTTTTATATTTTTTTTTGTAAGCATTTTTTTCAAGCAATTATATTGACTTCTTCTAAAACTCAACATATTTTTCCATTTTACAGAAATTAAAATTAACTGTCATTTTTGTCAAAAACGTTCTTGTCACGGATTTTTTATCGAAAGATGGCTTATCTTTGCCAAGAAAAAAACGTGGCGAAGAAGAATAATCGCTCACTGAGAAGCGGGTTTTCGAATGATTGATCGTTTCTGAAAAAAGATTGGATTACAATTGAATTTCCAACCTTGAAGTTATGGGAAAAATGACGTAATTTTTGTAAAAAAATTATTGCTTTCAATTTATTCACAAGCAGAATCACATATAAACTTTGAATATGTTGATCAATATAAGCAAAATAAACATATAAAACAAGAAAACGATTTTTTTGATTTGAATTCAAATTTTACCGCGGTATGTGATTTTTGTGCGGGAGGCAATGCACAGGATAAATTCAAATCCGACGACATTTTCGGGAATTTTTATTATTTTAGTTTGTTTTCTCATTTCTTTCATTATTTATATTCAGTTAAATACTTCCCTATCAGTTTTTTTGTCACAAATTTCCATTAAAGTTTTTTTGTTTTTTTGTGAATTAAATTATTCCACTTCCGGTGAAAAAAATTTTTCTTTTTTTAAAATTTTTTTCTTCTCATTGCGACTTTTTCTTGTCCCCAATTATTTTTAATTATTCCAGAAATGAGCACAAATCAGCCCCCCGAAACCACCGCAGCCCATACCGCTTTACCTGTTGCACGATGCTTCCGTGCCTGTACTGAATGTTCCAGGGGTATGTTCAAGTTTTTCGCTTAAGTACGATTTTTTTCTGGGTACCTGCCATTAATATTCAAATTTACCATAGTCGTTTTGATAAATTTAGTCCTTTGGATTTATGAAAAAAATCGTTATTTTATTGATTTAACATCGGGAAAAAAATTACCTTTCTATTGAGAACATTGTTTTTTAAATCAAAAATCTTGTATCCATGGTCCGCAAAAAGTCGTCAGAGTGAAGAGTAAAATTTTTTTGACTTTTTTTCGAAATCTTTTTTTCGTCATAAGTTTCTTTTTTTGTTTAGAATTTTTTTATTAGAGGCGCATGACCAATTTTTGCTTTTTTTCAAAAAAATGAGCACTTTTTTTGGACAAAATGGAACTTTTTGCGTGATCGGAATGCATTTTTTTGTCGTTAAAAAAATTGTTCTGAGACATTAAAAATAGAAAAAAATAAGCGAAAACGATGACTAACGGGCCGAGTTTACCCACAGTTGATTCATCAAGCGACGCCACCCAAAAAAATCACATTTTTATTTTTTTATTATATTCTGGCTTTTTCAGGGTCAAGGGCAAGTCCGACTTCAAAAATGCGGTCGATTTTTACTCCAACCTGGCGCCCTGAACATGGGGCCACAAAAAGGTTTCAAGAAATCATCGGAAAAAAACCCCTGAAAATCTGTGATTTCAGGACCTCCGACTCAGTTGAATGGACTATTCATGGCCGACAATGAGTCGACGACTTTCGAGAACAGAAGTTCGCCCATGTACCTGGAACTGGCCCCGCAACCGCAGGCACTTCTACCCCTGCCATATGACGTAAAGATATTTTGTTTTTATCTGTTCAAATCCCAAAAATACAAAAAAGTTATGAGTCATAATAACTTGGGTGGTCACTAGAAGGGCTAGGGAAAAAAGGCACCTATAGGGGAAAAAATAGTGCTCCCTAGAGGGCTAAAATTGATGGTATCTTTAAGATTGTATAGTCTGACCCTTAAGCCTCTAAAGCTTGAGTGGTCACTATAGGGATTAGGGCGGAAACTATGGGGGACAAAATAGTGCTCCCTAGAGGGGTAAATTTTAAGTGATTCGGCCCCTGTCGGGGACCAAAAAGTGCCCCTTACTGGGGTAAAATTCAGACGGTTCCTATAGGGGTTTAGGGTCTGACCCCATAAGCTTCTAAAGCTTGAGTGGTCTCTAAAGGGTTTGAGGGAAAAACAGACCCTATAGGGGACAAAATAGTGCTCCCTAGAGGGCTAAAATTGAGATGGTCCTTATAGAGTTTAGGAGGAAAAAAGGACCTTGTCGTGGACGGATAAGTGGTCCCTAAAGGGGTAAAATTTAGACGGTTCCTAAAGGAATTTAGGATCTGACACCTGAGCCCCTGATGCTCAAGCTTCTTGTATAATTCTCAATTTGAAAAATGAGATCTATCGAGTTTTTCACATGGAAATGCGTCTTCTCTTGGACAATAGTCAGCTCCCCTGGAGTGACCACTTTTGCAAGCTCTAGTGCCCCCTAAAGAGGGTAAAGAGAGAAAAGAACCTTTAAGCGCCCCTGGGTTTGCCTATCTAGGGATTATTTTGACGTTTCTAAAAAAAAAAAATTGATATCAGAGCTGCCAACGGGGCGACGTATACCGGAAAGTTCAAAATGAGTGAAAACTCAGAAAAAGTTCATTTTTGAAAATTTTGCGCGTCGGGTCCTCCCAGGGCGGTCCGAAAACTGATCTGTAGAAAAGGCTGGAGAAAAAAAAGGCGGTGCCAAGCCTCATTTTGAATTAATTTTTCGCTTTTTTAAAAAATAGTTTTCACCGTGTCAGCTTAGATCAATGAGTTTTTGTGGAAATCTGGATTTTATAAAGATCCAGGAATTTTATAAATAAATTTATTTTTTGATTGAAACCATAAGATACAAAGGAAAATGTTCCTATTTTGCTGCCTTTTTGCGCCATTTCCTCGGCTCTTATGCACCATTTTTGCTGCCTCTCCTTTTTTCCACCATTTCTCGAGCCTTTAAAATCCCAGAAGAAATGGAAGGCTCGATAAAGGGACTCTTATTGCTGCCTTTTTGCTGCCTTTCTGCGACCTTTTTTGAGCCTTTTAGCGGCCATTATCCAACATCCCGACTTTGCCTGAGTGGATTAAACCATTTAAAGAAAATAAAAATTTTTTTGTATAATGTTGATGATCAAATTTTGATTGTTTCCAGTTGAAAGTCGAAGTTGAAGAGAAAAAATGCGACTCGACGGTCAGCGAATCTTCGACGCCGCCCGTGCTTCGACGAGGTATAAATTATCGAGAAATGCCAATCGCCTTTCCAGTTTGATAATTCTTTTTTATCCTCCCAGGCGACGAAGTCACCCCGGATCCGCCGACGCCAGTGCCGGTCCGGAACTCGTTTCTCTCGGAAATCCACAGGAAATTCATCCGAGAGGCACGGTCGGTCGCCTACATCTCCAAGGAGCCGATAGTTCATCACATCGACGGCATGGACATTGAGGTCTTTTTTAGCGAAGCTACAGAACATACGTCGGCTGGATCCCACCCCGGAGTGTGGCCTCACCCCCTCTCTGAAAAGGGCGGTCTATCTCAGTACATTTTTCAAATCGCGCGCGCAAAAGACCGGGGGTGAATATCCAGCCGATGTATGCTACAGAATCATCAGAAAAGTTCTAGAAGTGAAAATTTTTTTAAAAAGGCTAAAAAGAGCTTCACAGACCCACAAGCTTGGATAAGAGGTACAGAGCATTTTTTGCAAATGGACAGTAAAAAATGGGATTTTAGGTGAAAAAAGTAACTTGTAGAGCTTTTAATTGCGAATCGAACGGTCTACTTGAAAAAGCTCATATCCGAGTACTTTTGAAGAAAAACGCGATTATTTTCTCCCAGAGAAGCATTTTCAACCAAAATTTGCAAATTTTATATGACAAACAGTACGAAAAAAATTTTAGTGACAACAGGAAAAATTGAAATTTGAAAGGAACTGAGAAAAAGCGAAAATTCGAGGCGGAGCGCTGTCCATAGAGCAACTTTACTGCAAATGCACTTTTGGCGGGGATTCGAATTTTTTTCTCCGGAAACAGGAGCTTCTGTTCATTTTCAAGTATACCGTTCGATAGACACATTTTTTATTGCCCTTTAATAAGTGTAGAATTTTGGATAACCCAAAAAGAAGCTTACCAGGGAATGGTCTCTGGTCGCAATGGGGCTTTTGAATAAGACCAAGTTTTCTAGATGTAGTTTTTCTTGCTGATTCCAAATCTGGTTTCAAAAACTGTCGAGGAGGTCAGTGAAGAAAGTTATGAACCGTCAAAAGCCGAAAATTTCAGTTTCTCCGATTGAGCTTATTTTTGGAGCACATGTTTAGAGCCAAAGAAAAAGTCACTACGCTCTTACTGTCGGGTTGGTAGGGGCTGATTAGGTTTTTTAAAAAGCCGGAGACTTGTTTCACAAAAAGTTTCTGATGCAAAGTTTCTTCGAAGATATGATTTTTCGAATCTCAAGAGAAAAATCTTCATTTTCACGGTTTTCGGTTTTTGCTCACAAATCTGATCTTGCTAGAGCAAATCAGGTTTTTTTTTCACGGAAATGAGTTACTGCAGAGATGTTTGAAATCCGTGCGAAGTTCCAAGTCATTTGAGCCGCTTTCAGAGAAGTTATGCTCGAATAACCACTTTGAAATACCTTTATGGCCAGTACTGTAGATCTCGTAGTTCTGATAACGAATAACATATTATTTTCCTCCACAAAGTTTTTAAGCCTAGATATTAGTTATCAAAGCTACGCCAGGGTATGCCGCGTATGCGAGCGCGGTGTGGTATTGCTAAATTTCGACTTTTAAGGGGCCATAACTTTTTTCAAAGACCTCCGCGGCAGTTTTTGAGACCAGATTTGGAATAAGCGTGAAAAACTGCATCTAGTAAACTTGGTCTCATTCAGAAGTCCCACTGCGAATGGAAACCATTCCCGGGTTAGGAAAGAAGCATCAGAATATTTTTCCTTCAAAAAAGGCTTTAAAGCCGAAAATCCTTCTCAAAATTGAAAAATGGTTTTCAGGAGTACCCCAACGGCCTGCCCGAAAAAACGAAAAGAAAGCGAGGCCGTCCGAAACTCCGTGTCGTTAGTTTCAGCGAGTCGATCGGGCCCCCGAACGAGACCCCGCCCGTGAAAGAAGACTCGATAGATGATCCGGCTCTGGAGGATGGCGCTGAAGTAGTTGGTCTAGAAGGGCTCTTCAGAATTCCATCGATGAGATTCAGAAGACGCGCAAGAAGAGGAGAGGTGAGGTTGACTCGCTCATGTTCATGGACTTTGGTCCGGTCAACGGCGGCACTTTGTGGCAGCAGCAGCGGGAGGGCGGGTCGCTCGGCGAGTCGGTGACGTCTCCTGGCGAGTCTGGCTCAGACTACGAGGATGAGCCCGCGCGGGTGAGGAGCTGCCGCCAGAGATGGCGGGGTTGGAATAGAAAAGAAAGACGCGGAGGATTTTCAGTAAAAAATGGGGTTTTAGGTGAAAGCAGTATCTTATATAGTTTTCCTTTGCGAATCGGATGGTGTATTCAAAAAAATTACAGATGTGACTTCTTTTCAAGAAAAAACGCTACTTTTTGCCTATAATTTTGAAAAATGCTTTGGATCGGCATACGCACAAGTTTTTACAGTAGCCGCGATGTTGCGGACGTCTCATTAGACTCGCATTTTGTGAGAAATAACCGGATATCTGCTTCAAATCAAGGATTTCTACTATGAAAAATCTATTAAGAAAACAGAAAACACACATTGATAATAAAGGAAACGCAAATAATCGCTATCCCAATCGAAACCTGTGTAAAATCATCATTTTTCACCAGGGAAGCATTTTTGCGATCATAGTTTGCAAATTATACATGATTAGAAAGCTTTTGTGACGAAAAGAACTTTGATGACAACAGAAAAATTGAAAATTGAAAGAAACGAAGAAAAATGCGAAAATGAGAAAATTGGCGATAGAGCAACTTTACTGCAAAGCGCCCTTTTCGCGGGAACTCAAGCTTTCATTTCTCCGACTTTGAATTATTTTTTCTCCAAAACTAGGAGTTTCTGTACGTTTCAAAGTTGACCGTTCGATTCGCAATGAAAAACTCTACAAAACACCGTTTTTTACTTCCCCTATGCCTTTAGGAAGTGGCCAAAATAGTCATTTTTGAGCACATATTTTCTTGCCTGTGAAATGAAAACTTCCGCATTTTCGAAACCTACAAACTTTACAAAATCTCCCAGAAATATTCACTAAAGAAGGCAATTTTTCAGAAGCGCAACCCACAGAGGGCGTCCAAAGAGAAGGCGGCGAAAAGGCTGGAGGGCGACGAGAGCCACAGAAGACCGACGTCTTCAAGAGGCAAAGAGAAGGAAGTAACGACTCCCGGGGAATACACCAGGAACACAAGAAGATTGACGAGGTCGAAAAAATCGACGACGCCGGCCCAAGCAGAACCTGCTCCAGCTCCAGAAGTGGAAGCCAACCTAGACCAGCCCGGACCGTCTCGACTCGTCTGTCCTGAAGTCCTCGCCCCGACGCCTTCGAAGTCGCCAACTCCAGTCCGGAACAACAAGAAGTCCTCTTCTCCTATCAAGAAGAAATCAATCACTCCCAAGGTCCCGAAGAAGAAGAAGATGCCTCCGAAACGAGCTGGTAGAGCTTCGCTCGAAGTGCCGCCAGAGTTGGAGGCAGCCCCAGCTGAAGAGCAACCAGCTTTGGAACCTATGGAAACGACACCAGTCCCGGAAGCTCCTGCTTCGAAAAAGGGTCGTCGAACTTCGTCTGTAGTGGCTCAAGAGTCGGCTCCTTCTGAAGTCGCGACAGACTCAGATGCTCCTTCTCTGAAGCGAGCTCGTCGAACTCCGTCCTCAGCAGCTCCAGCTCTGGAGTCTTCCGAAACGCCGCCAGTCTTGGAAGCGGCTCCTCCGAAGAAGGGTCGTCGAACTCCTTACGTAGGGGTTCCAGCTCTGGAATCTCCTTCTCCTGAAGTGTCACCAGTCTCGGAAACTTCTCAAGAACAAACTGATCAAACGCCTCCGGTCTTGGAACGTTCTCCACCCAAGCAGATTGAAAGAACTCCTCCGGTCTCGAAAGCAAAGAAAACTAGCCAAAGTCACTCTGAAATGGCGCCAGTTTTGGTAGCTTCTCCTCCGAAACAGGCGGACCAAACTTACTTCGAACATGCGCCCGTATTGGAACGTTCTCCTCCGAAACAAACTGGTCGAACTCCTACTAAAGTACCGACCATTCTGGTAGCTTCTCCTTCGAGACAGGCTCCGCAAACTCACCCTGAAATAGCACCAATACTGGAACGCTCTCCTCCGATGCACCCAGTTTTGGTAGCCTCACCTCCAAAACACCTTGAAAGAACTCCGCCAGTGTTCTCACCACCAGCGCCTACTGGCCGACTTCAGACCCCAGTTCTGGAAGCATCTCTTCAGAATCCGGCACTTCTGGAGTCTTCTTCAACAGTTGTGACCACAGTACCACCGCCAGTACTAGCCAGTGCCACCTTCACGATGCCTACCCCGCCGGTAGCACTACCGCCGCCAGTCCTGGCAGCTCCGCCCACGCCGGTGATGACGCCGACTTTCGCGACGCCTACACCGACGTTCGCGACGCCGACACCGACGCCTACGCCACCGTCGACGTCGTCTTCGGCCTCGTTCTCATTGAGACCCGCCGACGTGCCGCCCGACTGCGTCACCAGCAAGAAGTCGTTCGCCGAGTGGACCGTGAGTTTTTTCTCATTTTTAAATTTTGTGAAAAGTAATTTGCGATTTTTTTGGAACGGGGCAGTATTAATCGTTCGAGATAAGAAATTTTGAAGCACTTTAAAAAAATTTTTTTAAAACGCGATATCGCGCCGAGAAAAAACAATAGCGACGCGGCTAAGAAGCAGCACTTTCGCGGTATCGCCAATGTACCTCGATTTTTTCATTTATTCATATTAAATCTCGAAAATGAATCGCCGCACCGGGCCCGCATTTTTCTAGACGCGATATCGCTTTTCTAAAAAAAATATTTTTAAAACGCGATGTCGCGCCGAGAGGATGTGAAGACCGGCGCGGCTAAAAAGCAGCATTTTTGCGATGTCATCAATGCTCCTAATTTTTCATGAGTTATTCATAGTAAACCTCGCGTTTTTCTTGACGCGATATCGCTACAAAAATGTAGTTCAAAATTCTGAAAGACAGCATTTTCGCGATATCGTCAATGCTTTTCATTTTTGATGAGTTATTCATAGTAAACCTCGCATTTTTCTTGACGCGATATCGCTAAAAAAATAGCTCTGAATTCTGAAAGGCAGCATTTTCGCGATCGTCAATGCACCTCACTTTTCATGAGTTATTCATAGTAAACCTCGCATTTTTCTTGACGCGATATCGCTACAAAAATGTAGTTCAAAATTTGCAAAACGATAGACCGGCGCTACTGAAAAGCGCTTTTTTGCGATGTCGCCAAAACTTCGACCTGAAAGCCAATTGTTTGCAGTGCGACGAGACGGCCGAATGGGTGATGTACATCACGAAGTCGGAAGCCGCCTCGCGAGCCGTCATCCAACACGAGATCGACGGCAAAGTCCTGATGGAGATCTCGATGGACGAGCTCAAATCCAACCTCGCCATGCCTTTCGGGCCCTTCGTCAAGATCCGAATAGCCTTGCCCAAAGCCATGGAAGAAAATCCTTGAATTTCGAGATTTTTATTGTTTTCGTGTTCCCCAAGTTTTTCATTCAAGTGCTCTTAATTGAATAATTTCAGAATTTTTTTCTTTCGAAATTTTTCTGAACTTGGGTTTCATGTTTTTTTCAATTGAGAACTTCACAAATTTTGTTTTAATTTCTTTTAAATTCGATTTTTTTGGGCATTCTAGTGAACGAAAATCGCTTTAGGGGAAAAGGGGCGTGGCCTGTCTGCGCTCTCTAGAAAATAGAAACTCTCTACTGAATTATCGTGTCAGGACCCTTTTTTTAAAAACCCCAAGCCAGCCCTGAATCATCTACAACGTCAGAACTTCATTCTGTTTAAAAAAAACTCGAAATTTGAGTTTTTTTCTGTGTTCCAATAACGACCAACGTCATCATTTTTTTCCTCTTTCTTATAAGGTGATTATTGTTTTTCGAGTTTAATAAATTGGTAACATTAACAAATTGTTGAGCTCTTTGTTTCGAAAAAAGCGCCTTTTTTGACATTTTTGGTGGATTTTCAAGGGTCTTCAAGCTCTTCCGGACCATTTTTTTTCTTTTTTTCAATTTTTCCATTATCCTTGTCAGATGGAAAATTTCTCTGAATTTGTTCACGATTTCAATAAGTATTCCACTCTTCCTGTGTCAATGTAATTACAGGTCAAATCATTTTCTGTAGTATTGACTTCACGTACGTTTTTTTATCATCATTTATATATTTTTTTGTTAAAATAAAGTTTTTGAATTGGAAATCGAAAAAGAGTTTCGCGGTTCTGAAAGCTCAGTTTTTTTGTCAATTTTTTTCAGGGATCTGTTTTTGGTCATTTTGGATCTAAACTGTGTTCTTTTTTAAATTTAGAGTAATAGAACTCTTTCCAGTCCATTATCGCCGACTAAGGTCGCTTTCTTGAAAATGTGGGCGTGGCCAGCCAATCGGAGCCCCCAATTACTTGAGCTTTTTAGCGACCCAGTTCTCTTAAGAGACAGCTGGGGTGTTTAATTTTTCTTGGAGGGATCACTAGAGGGAAAAAAATGGGCACTTTAGTGACCACTTATGTATCTCTAATGATCACTTGAAAAGAAGAGACAATTTCATTCAATTTTTCGTCTCAAATTTCACGTTTTTCGTTATGAAAATCAGAAAAAAAGATAAAATGAACCAAAAAGTTTGCAGAATAAAGAAAAAATGAAGACCTACGTGGAAATTGAAACCATTTTCTACTCGTCGCCATGCTTCAGAACGTCGCCAAGCAAGCGGTCAAGTCCAACTCGAAAAGCCAATTGGTGAGACTTGATATTTCAGGTTAAACAGAAAAATTGATCTTTTTTTTTCAAAAACACGCATGGCGCACAATTTTAAGACAGACTTGAAAACGCGCCCTTGAAATAGTTAAAAAAGCTGAAAAATGGATCAAGAACTTTTCACAATCAAAATTCAACGCAAATTCATGATTTTTTCAAACACGCCCTAGAAAGACGCTCTGACGCACAACTACTCTTCAAAACAACCCATTTATTTTTTGAAAGGCGCGCAATACCTTCAAGGGGCCCGTAAGCTTTTCGGAATCGCTTAATAGTATCGAAAATGTTTTCCTTGAGACACGCCCTAGAAAGACGCTCTGACGCACAACTACTCTTTAAGAGGCTGCTTGTAATTTGAAAGATTCTGGAAAAAAAGCGATTTGTGAAATACTTGAAGTGGCTTAACAGAAACAACGAAAGTGTGAAAACGGCTCAAATTCTTTTTTTTTTCCAAACACGCACTGACGCACAACTACGCTTCAAAACAAGCTATTTTTTATTTGAAAGGCGCGCGAAAGATTGAAGTGGTTCGTGAAATATTTAAAAAAGCCTTTTAAAATGTTTCTATAATTTCTGAGCTCTTCTACTCGAAAAATCAACTAAGATTCCCTATTCCTTTTAAACACGCCCTAGGAAGACGCCCCTGTTAAGTGCCGCGAAAACTTCTTAAGAGGCTTCTTTTCGTAGCCTCAGTGGTCACTATAGTGTTTACATTGATTCTGTTTTCAGATAACTCAACTTCGTTCTCGTTCGAAGAGCGTTGAGCGGAAGAAATCAGAACCGAAAGAAGGTCAAAATCCTTGAAAGGATTTTTTGAAAATGGAAGGATATTTAAGGTGCCGAAAAAGCCGCACAAAAGACGGCGATTCCCACTCGAGCCGTTGAGAAAACCGCTCCACAGAGTGAATTTTAAAATTATTTTTCTTTTCTTTTTCAAAAGTTGTTCAAATTAACTGTGAAAACATTGAAAATTCCAATGGATGACGGGAACAAAAAAAACCCTATAGGGGTTTTTTGTTCTAGGGACCCCTGTAGGGAACAAAAAACGATCCCTACAGGAGTCAATTCAATGGAGTCCGCGAAATTGACCTCAGAAGCTCGAAAAAAAGCTAAGGGGTTAGACTGTACTTTTTTCGATTTTCCTGAAAACCAAAGTTTACGAGATTTTCACATCAATCGATAGGGAATTGAGTCAGAAGTCCGAAAAATCCAAGTTGAAAGTCCCAAGCCTCCTAGAACAAAAGTTATGATTTTTCAAAGTTTTTTATTTCTCATAGCTCAACTTCTAAGAGCCTAGTAACTTAGAGACCTAGTTTTTCTTGATCCTCGTGATCTCCTCTATCGATTGATACCCATTTCGAAGAGTTTTGGATTTTTCGATCTTCAAGTTTGATCGCCTCTAACTAAGTTCCTAGTTGACCTACGGAGGTCAAACCTGGCCCCGGTTATTTTTTCGACGAGATCTATCGATTGATATAGGTTTCCTCCGGATCGGTTTCCATGACCTCAGAAGCTCAAAAAAAAGCTAAGGGGTTCGACTGTACTTTTTTCGATTTTCCTGAAAACCAAAGTTTTCGAGATTTTTGCATCAATCGATAGGGAATGGAGTCAGAAGTCCGAAAAATCCAAGTTGAAAGTCCCAAGCCTCCTAGAACAAAAGTTATGTTTTTTCAAAGTTTATTATTTTCATAGCTCGAATTCTAGGAACCTAGGAACTCAGAGACCAAGTTTTTCAATCGATAGATTTGACCTCCTTGATCTCCTCTATCGATTGATACCAATTTCAAACAAGTTCGGATTTTTCGATCTTCGAATGAACGTTAGAGAAAAGAAAAAGACGACTGAAATTTGGAGGGTCAGAGATAGTTTCGAATTTCTCGGAAATCACTTCGAAAATTCATGGTAATTCTCAAATTTTGTCCATTTTTTTCAGGCGAAACAGCAGCCACGACGATGCCCGGCACCTCCCGACGGGCTCCCGCCGGCCTCGACACGATCGGCAGCACGCCGACCCGCGTCAAGTCCGAGTACATCCTCAACAACGGCTCCGGGATACACAGCTTCTACGTTTTGGGTTGGTTGTGATAATTATAAACCACAACTAACCGTGAAAAGGAGTTCTTTTAAATTTCCATCCGAATATGACGACATTATGAGCTTCAATGACGTTAGTTCCCATAAATTCGAGAACTTTTAATGTTTTATTTCGAGTGACGTCACCGGAAATGATTCGAATAAAGATCAAAAGATGACGTCATCGCGAGATCTTATGACGTCACTCCTAAAAAAATCCGTTATTTTTGTTCAGAGTTCAGAGTGACGTCACCTGGAAAATTTCCAAAAAAGTATCTTTTTGAAATGTGACGTCATCATGGACTTTTATGACGTCATTGCTCATAAAAGTCGAGGTTTTTCAGTTTTTCAAATCCAAAAGGAGCAGTGACGTCACCTAAAAATGTCGAAAACGCTCAAAATATGACGTCATCCCGAGATCTTATGACGTCACCCCTAAACTTAAAATTTTCCAATTATTGTTCAGAGTGACGTCACCTGCACTATTTTGAAAAATCCTGAATATGACGTCATCAACAGCACTTATGATGACGACACTTTTGAAAAAATTGGAGAATTTTCAATTTTTGTTCTAAAAAAAATTCTGTGACGTCACCGGCACTATTTCCAAAAAGCTCGGAAAATGACGTCACTTATGAATTATTCAAATATTCTTCCAGAAAACCAATAACGTTACCGACGAGTCTACTCTCCTCATCATGTGCCCTTCCTTCTTCTTTCAAGTTGAAGTGATGGAATAAACTGTAGCTTTCCTCTCTTGTAAAAAATTTTAAATTTATTTCTCAATGTTGAATATAGTTTCAATGATTGTTGTGATGATAATGAACCGGGACAGGAAAGATTTACAAAGAAGGAAAAGAAAATTGGAAAATGCAATATTTGAGGTATGTGTAAATGCTTTGTAGGTCATTAGTTATTGAATGAATATGATTTTTAAGTCTGAGGAGGAGAAGAAAAAAAAGGCCCGTTGAGCGATAAAAGGCGAAAATGGACCTAGGAACGTCAGAGTGGTCACTATAGGGGTTAGGGGTAGGCCCTTTAGTGGACAAAACACTGCTCCCTAGAGGGCTAAAGTTTGGATGATCCCTATAAAAATTGAGGGGCTGAACACTAAGCCACGGAAGTTTGAGTGGTCCCTTCCGTGGCCTTTCAATTTTTGTTTTAATTTGGAAGAGAAAAAGACCTATAGGGACCACTAGCATGCTCCCCTAGAGCGGCCAATAACTAAACCCCTTAAGTGCTCACTTCTCCAAGCTATATGAGGGAAGTGAAGCGGTCCCTTAAGGGGAGCCTACAAGAGCCCCGGAAGTTTGAGTGATCCCTTTAGTGGCCTTTCAATTTTTGTTTTAATTTAAAGAAAAGAAGTTCTATAGGTAGGGACCGCAAAGCCACGCCCCTTTTCGCGATAGAAAAAGTGGCTTTTTTTTGGTTTTCAACTTTCATTTTGTTGTAGTTGTAAAATATGTGGAACTGGCGAATAAAATTTGACACACATGTACAGAAAAAGCTTCCTCTTTCGTTTAAAAAAATATTTCACGCTTTTTTTGATGCGTTCTCGCGGAATGTCGTACAAAAAAACGTGAATGGAACTAAAAAAATTTTGTCGTTTTTTTGCTTTTTTTCATGTGTTTTTTTAGGTCGAACGCACTCTTTCTTTTTTTAAATAATGATTTTTGATTCAAGTAACGGTAATTTTTAAAACAATAAAAATAAAAAAATTCGTCTTTGCCAAAAAAATTTTTAGGGAGCGCCGAAAGTCATAATTCAAAAATATCGTTAATAAGCGAATATAATCGAGTTTTTTTGTTTTTTTCAAAATTTAGACCATGGTCTTACTTAAATTTTTTTCTCCACAGCACCTGTGCTTGAAAAAAAGTTGTTTAATACGCAAAAAAATGCTCTTGAAACTAGAGAAAAAAATTAGCGGCGTTTATCACACAGAAAGCGGTCGAACGCAGGTTTTTTTCAAACGATTATATACATTTATTAGTAAAAAAATCTTTCAATTAAAAAGAATAAAATAAAAATTCGTCTTTGCCAAAAAAATTTACGGGGCCGTTTTAATGCAGCGATCGTTAAACGAGGCAAAAAAAGCACTAAAAAAAACAGTTTTTTTCGAAGTGAATTTCCACGAAACGTTTGAGTAAAGATTTGCGAACATATTCTGATAAAAAAATAGCTAAATTACTTCAAGTTTTTTTATTTTTTTGAAATAGGCAATCTGTGCTATTCAAACGGCTCAAAGGGTATGGCGGATGGAAGCTCCCCGCGTTGGACCTAACAGCTTGGCGCAACGCGTGCGCTCCGATTTTACATTTTGAGGTCGCGAGTTCGATGCCCGCAAGCGCCAGTTTTTTTGTTTTTCTGGAAAATACCGACTTTTTTTCGGCAAACTAGCTGATTAGCATCATTTTCAGCACTCTATTATGATTTGTTACATCATAATAGACCAGTATCAAAAACTTGTTCTAGAAGAAAAAAATCGAGAAAAAAATGTCAAAAAAATGGAAATACCAAATTTTTCAGTACTAAAAAAACATGGTGCGCGGCGCGCCACCTTTTCCGTCATAACTTTTTTTCATCCTCAATCTTTTTTTGAAAAAAACTAAACGGTTCTGAGTTTTTTGAATCGAAACAGCTATCGAACCATACAAAGCTCAATGCTGAAAAAATTTTTTTGAAAATTCGTCTGCGGTCCCTATCTATAGGGACCACTAGCATTCACCCCTCGAGCGGCCATTAAATAAGGCCCTTAATTGCTCACTTCTCCAAGCTATATGAGGGAAGTGAAGCGGTCCCTTAAGGGGAGCCTTCAAGTGCCCCACTGACCCCTAAGCGCCCCCTTTATTGAAGTAAGGCGGTCCCTTGAGGGGACCCTAAAAAAGCCCCTCTAGTGACCACTCTGGCGCCCCTAAGGAACGGAAAAAGGTATGAAAGTCATGTGAAGCCGGCACACCTGGACGAGCCGTTTTGTCCGCATTTTATATTTCGCAAAGAAACGGAACGTCCAGGTGACCAGCGGACGGGGAAAAAGGGAGATGATTTCCTCTACTGTATCCGGCAGTTCTTCTTCTTTTTCAACTTGGCCGGCGATTCGATTCGCCGCTCGTCGGTGGTCGTCGTTCCATTGGGCATCCGCTCGTCGTGCATGAATTTCCTGAAAAATAATCATCATTTCATTCAAAAAGAATTGCAGCCCATGAAAAATCAATAAACGAAAGGTGACACAAGAACTTGGGGAAGGACCCGATTATTCAATTTCTTGAAAGCTTGGGTTTTCCTTTTTCACCTGGGCCTGTGTCTACACTTTCACTATTCTTGTAGTTTGAACTTAATTCGAGCTTTTTAGGTGAAAAATATCCAGATCAAACTATATACGCGTGTCTGCGCTCTTTTTTCTCTTAACGGTCACTTAAGGGACTTCTTCAAGCCTTGGAATTGTGATCCAAGTTTCTTGGGGACCCCAGAGTGGTCCCTGGAAGGGTTAGGAAAAAAGGCACTATAGGGGACAAGTGCTTCCTGGCGGGCTGAACTCTAGGTGGTCCCTCTGGGGGTTTACGATCGGACCTCCAAGCTCCTAAACCTCAAGTCGCCCCTATAAGGATTTTTCAACTTTCGGCTTCTATTTGAAAGGTAAAAAAGTGCATAGGGAGCCACTTCTGCAAGCTTCAGTGCCCCTATATAGGTAAGCAAGTAGTCCCTAAAGGGAACTCTTCAAGGGCCTTCACTGTTGCCACTCTAAGGAACACTCGGGCTTTCCTGAAAGGTCATTCTTTTTTTTCGTCTCCCTTAAAAGTAGCACGGCTTCGGAGGGGAAAATGCGCCTGATTGGCTTGTATCCATTTCAAGTTTTGTTGCGTTTTGGTTTTGCTGGCTGCGTGTGTTGTGTTTGTGTGTGTGTGTGGCCTCGTATTAGGTTTCTCGTTTATTTGCGTCTTCTTTTCGTCGAAGCTTAACTCTCGTGCAGGAGCATGACTTAACAATACATTTTTTTTTTTTGGCTATTGGTCTTTCACAGAAGCTTACTGTGGTGATTAAAGGAGCATGGGAGTGGCTCAAAAAAGCTTTTGACGCGCTGATTTTTTTTCAAGCTCTAGAAGTTAAAAAAAGGTAGTGTAGCTTTATTGGCGTTATTAAAGGAGCATGGGAGGAGCTCAGCAGAGTTGTTGACGCGCTGATTTTCGTCAGGTTCTAGAAGCTAGAAAAAGCTACTTTATTAGTGTTATTAAAGGAGCATAGGGGAACTTGAAAATTAACTATTCACACGCTGATTTTTTTTTCAAGCTCTAGAAGTTAGGAAAAGCTAGTTTAACTTTATTGGCGTTATTAAAGGAGCATAGGGGAATCTTGGAGGATAAATTTGACGCGCTGATTTTTTTTTTCAGGTTCTAGAAGTTAGAAAAAGTAGTGTGAACTTACTAGGGTTATTGAAGGAGCATAGGGGAACTTGAAAAATAACTATTGAGACTCTGATTTTTTGTCAAGCTTTAGAAGTTAAAAAGCTAGTATAACTTTATTGACGTTATTAAAGGAGCATGGGAGAAGCTCAAAAAATCTTTTGACGCGCTGATTTTTTTTTTCAGGTTCTTTGAAACCAGTAAAGCTGGTGTAACTCTGGTGGGGTGATCAAAATAGCATGGGAGAAGCTTGAAAAAAAGCTTTTGATGCGAATATTTTATTATGTTTCAGAATTCGAAAAAGGTTAGGGGTTATTAAAGGAGCATGGGGGAACTTTAAAAAATATCTTCGACGCGAAAATTTTTTTCTTAAATTTTGAAAGTCGGACGAGGTGAGAAAAATGATTTTGTGAATTATTATTCCCTTTGAAAATTCCAAAAATCGCTTTTCGACACTAGTCTGACCTGTCTGTGCCCTCTTCTCTCTAAAAATAAAAGCTGGAAGTAAAAACGAGAGAGTCGGAGATGAAGAGGGTTTAGAGAAGTCAGACTCTTTCAACTTTTCAAAACAGGATTTCGTATTTTTTAAAAAGACAAAATGAAAAACATAAAGAATCAAATTTGAAACGAAAGAATCGGCGAAGAAACAGGAAAATGGGCTAAAAATCGAATTTTTTACCCCTTTTTCCGACTTTTTGATCCCTCGAGAAACTAAACTACTTTTTTTTCCTAGAATCTCTCTGAAACCAATCACGCGTGTTCCGGCCAAGTTTGGGCATAAAGGAAATGAGTCAGTCGACACGCGATCCAGAAAATGTTGCGATTTTCTGGGAGAAAAACGGCCAAACTTGGAAAATGAGGCTTTTTTTGAGCTCAAAATTGGAAGAAACTAGGATTTGTGGATAATTTCATGATTTACGTTTTTCTTGAGCTAAAGATCGGCGAGGTCTAGATTTCGAGGGCAGGGGGACGAACAAAAGAATTGAAAAAAACGGAAGAAAGTGGGGTTTTTGAATTTTTTTCCGAGTCTTTTTTTGACAAATTTTTGATTTACGTTCAAAAAAACCTAACCAGAACTACCCTTTGTAAGCTCCGAAATTTTATTTTTGAAAAACGGATTAAAAATTGGTATAACTCAAAAGAATTCTGGATTATCTTGGCTCAAAAACCGGATGAACTAAATTTTTTTGTAATTTTTTTATTTTTTCTTCAAAACCTAATCAGATCTATGCTTTCTCGGACTAGAAATCTTGTATGTCGTCTGGACTTGAGGGGGCTCTAAAAAAAATAAGTACAACTTGAAAAAAATAATGCTCTTTGAGCTCAAAAATCAGAATAAATTTTTTTCCTCAATTTTCATCAGATTTTTTTTCCTTCCCAAACGAACCTAACGAGCCGGACGATCTCGTAGAAGGCCTCGTCGACGTTCCGCCGAAGCTTCGCCGAGCATTCGAAATAAGGGACGGCCAGGCTTCGCGCCAGTTCTTCCGCCTCGTGGCGAGCCACCTGAAAATAGCAACTGCTGAAACTTTTATATACAATAAAGATTATAAAGAAGGAGAAGTCAAAAAGGTGAAAAAAAAAAGAAAGGAGGGATCCCAAAAAGAACTTCATCTTTCAATTTTTTGATTTTCGCTCGGTAATCAACGTCTCTGCTTAAGAAGAAGCTCGTGAAGTTTCAAACGCTTAAAATGTACAGAAAACATTGAAACTATCTACTCGGGAAAAGTCGGAATGGTGGATAATGGCCGCTGAAAGGGAGAGGCTCAAAAAGACCACAAAAAGAAAGCACTTAATGTCCCATTATCAAGCCTTCCAATTTTCCTGGAATTTCAAAGACTCGAGAAACGGTGAAAAAAGGGAGAAACAGCAAAAATGGAGCAAAAGGCAGCAAAAAGGAGGCTTCATCACCCTTAAAGGAAATTTTCTATGAAGCCTTTTTCTACTCTTTACGACTTTGCCTATGTAAGTGATTAATGTGTTTTTCTCGTTACTTAGAAGGGAGGACATTTCATTTTATTTCCTAAAATTTGTCAGCAAATCCAAGAAATGTGTTCCAAAAAGAATAATTTTTTTGCTTTTTATTCCGAAAACAGTGGTTCTTTTCTGTGTCAAGAAAAATTCAAGGTATTTTTTTGAGGTTGGAAAGTAAGAAAATATTCTCAGGAAATCGTATTCTACCAAAAACAGTCAATAACCAAGGTGGTGGCGGAGAAAACTGAAAATTGGCGGCCTCGGCGGCCAATTTTTTCCTTTTTCCGTCTCTCTTTTTCCATCCTCCACCTATTGTAACCATCCATTCAATCCGTCGTTGGCAAACACTCCAACTTGCCGATCGACCGAAGGATTGGAACTTTTTGAGGAGGTTTTCTTTTTCTATGAGGTTAGAAGACTTCAAAAAGGCCAAACTTTTTATTTTTGAAGTTAGAACTTCCGACCAATATGATGATGTTATGACAGTACTAAATGACTACTTGCAAGAAAAATTGGAAAAAAACGTAATTTTTTTAAAAATTTCAAACGACGCTCCAGTTTACGCGGAATTCCATGTTTTCAATTGAGGATTTCTTTTTGCTTAACGAATTTCCAAATGACGGCGCTTTTTTTCGTTAAACGAAGCTCCAAAAGACGGCTCTTGTTTTTCGTTTAACGACACTCCAAATTACGGTTCTTCTTTTTAGTTTAACAAAACTCCAAATGACGGCCCTTGTTTTTCGTTTAACGAAGCTCCAAATGATGGCTCTTTTTTTTCGTTTAACGAAACTCCAAATGACGTCTCTTCTGATCATATTTTTTTTACGAAGCTCCAGAAGACGCTGTTTTTATTGAACTAGTTTTTTTCGCCTATATTATCATTAAATATAAGTTTAACTTGAGAACAATGCTCCGTGATGTATTTTCTCAAACGACGTTCCAAATGACGCCTAAAAAAGCTCCTTGACTTTTTCTTCTCCGAGTAGTGATAACAACACAGTTTTTATTAAAACGACGCTCCAAATTACGCGTATGCCTAATGAAGCTTTCTTCGATTTTTCCTCCTTAAATATTGGGAAAACACAATTTCTCCAAACGACGCACCTCATTACACCCCTTCCCAATATAAATTTCTTCAACAAGTCCCGCATTTCTGAAAAAAAACGAATAAAAAAAAGGAGTTTTCAAACAAGTGTTTGCCATGAGACGGGGGGAAGAAACGGCTCCCACGGGGATTTTCCCCCTCTTCAGTGGGGCGCAAATGCGCGAAAACGCCGCAGATGCCGAGTGAAATCAAAGACTCGGTGGGGGAAGAAAAACAACGGCTCGAGGCGATGAAAGTTCAATCTCCCCAGGGAGACCTTTTTTCTGCCGGAGATTTGTCAAAATGTTGCCGGTGGCGCGTTTTTGACAGCATTGGAAGTGCACTGAGTGAGAAAAATCGGCTGCTAAAATTGTTTGTATCAAATGCGCTCCAGTGCGAAAAAACCATATGATGCGTAAACTGGAGCATCGTTTGAAAAAAAATGAACCAGACTAATTGGAAGAAGCTGCTTGAAGCAGCGTCAGCTAAAAAAAGAGCAGAAAAATGCGTTATTTGGAGTATCGTTATAAAAAAGTGAAACTACAGAATTTCTCCTAAAAAATCATCAAATTAAGTGTAAGTTGGAGCCTCGTTTGAAAAAAATTACAGTCAGAAAAAAATTTTTGTAATGCAAAGCTGATCACCAAGAATCGTCAAAAGTTAAAAAAATGGACCTAAAAAAATCCTGCGTCATTTGGAGCATCGTTATGAAAAAATGAAACTACAGAATTTCTCCTAAAAATCATCAAATTGAGCGTAAGTTGGAGCCTCGTTTGAAAAATTTGTAGTCATACTAATTTCGTAATGCAAAGCTGATCACCAAGAATCGTCAAAAATTAAAAAAAATAGACCTAAAAAAATGCCTGCGTCACTTGGAGCATCGTTTCATAAAACAGTGAAACTACAAAGTTTCTCCAAAAAATCATCAAGTTAAGCGTTATCTGGAGCGTCGTTCGGAAAAATAGAAGTTATGGTCAGAATACACTTGAAAGCAGCGTCATTTGGAGTATCGTTCAAAATAAATAAAAAAATTTTTGGCATCACTTCCCATCAATAATTGTGTCATAGAATCTTTTAAAAAAACGTCATTTGGAGTCTTGTTTGACAAAAATGAGCTGTGTAACTTGGAGTCTCGTTAAGAAAATATACGTCTTTTTCGACTATTTGATTAAAAATTTCGACGGATATTTTTATATTATTGAAGCTTGTCTTGAAGAAATGGATATAAAAAACCGAGAAAATCGATAAAAAATCCTCACATGTCGCTCGTTCTCCAGGTCGGCCTTGTTGCCGACGAGCAGAATCGGAAAATCGTCCCGATCCTTGATCCGGCAAATGAGCTCGTGGAGCTTCTTTACCTCCTCGAAACTGCAAAAAGAGTTAATATTAAGCAGAGAGTGTGGGGAAAATGGAGAGAGCAGACTGCAAAAATTATCATTTTCTCCAAATCTCTCACTCTCATCTACCACCTGATCCCAGAAACGCATTTTTGGATTTATTTTTAACCCAAAGCATTGCTCGACTCATAAAAAAAGAGAAAAAAGAAAAACTAGAGACCATGGAGAAAATGGAGGGAGCAGACTGCTAAAAACCATCTCTTTTTCTCTAACTCTCTTAAGTTTTCCATGGTTTTCCTATGATCTACCTCCTGAAATTTCTTCCAGAAGTGCATTTTTGAGTTTATTTGGAACTCCAATTGGGCTTGACTTCAAACCAAGGGAACACATAAATAAACTAGAGACTGTGGGGAAAATGGAGAGAGCAGACAGCAAAAATCATCTTTTTCTTTCTAAGTCTCTCACATTTCCTATAACCTACCGTCTGAAAATTCTTCCATAAATGCCTTTGTGATTTTATTTAACACTATAACTGGTCTGGACTCAAAAACAGAGAGAAAAAAAAAAATAAACTAGAGACTGTGGAGAAAATGGAAAAAGCAGACTGCTAAATGATCTTTTTTTTCTCTGTCTCTCACTTTTCCTATGATCTACCTCCTAAAACTTCTTTCAGAAATGCATTTAGGAATAAGCTAAAGACTGTGTGGAAAATGGAGGGAGCAGACTGCAAAAATTATCTTTTTCTCTAAATCTCGCAACTTTCCTCAATCTCTAACTCTCAATTTTCCTCCAACAACCGTATTTCAGACTTCATTCCCAATTCTAACCGGAGTTCGACCCAAAACCAAAAAGAAAGAAGAAAAGAAGTCAATAATAAATGATTCATTCAATTGGCTCCAGTTTATTGGCCTCAGAATGGGCTCCTATTTATTTATTTATATATTTATTCCTTCTGAAAAAAAGCCAACCAATGGAAAGAAAACTGAAAAATTGAGCATTTTTGCGGAAATGTTTACTTTCCTGTTCGTGGAGAATGAAAAATGGGCTTGGAAAAAAATGCTCAAATTTCCGTTTTTCTACGAAATTGAACAGAAAAAAACCTATTTAAAAATTTTCTTATAATATGTCCTGAAGATTCAGCAGTATAACTATATATTTTGAAAATGTAGCCAAAAAATCAAATGAGCTCAAAAAAGCCGCAATTGGAATGACTCGAAGCGACGCGGTCCCTCATGGCGGTTCTCGAAGCGCGCCCGACCTGAACCTACTTGCGCGCAAGGGGCACAGAAAAAGCGTTAGAGCGTGCTTCTAGGCTGTGTTTGTAGGTTCTAACCGCAACGCAACTGCGACGCATTCAATCAGTCTAAGTGCGGCCATTGAAAAAATTTTCAAATTTCTGGAGCTTTTTTGGATCACTTCAACTTTCAGAGTGCGAAAATTGAGGCAAGCAGGATTTTTCTTTGAAAAGATTGAAAATTTCAAATTCTTAGGTCTTTTTCGTTGAAAAATCACTTCAAGGCCTTTGAATTGTGACAACTTAAAAGATCTCCTCCAAGTTGTGAGGGATACCAACCGCAACGCAACCGCGACGCGTTGAACCATTCCAAATGCGACCAATGAAAATTTTTTAAGCTTTCTCAGTTCAACTTTCATAGTGGAAAGATAACATTTTCATAAGTCCAACCAGGATTTTTCTCTCGAAGGTTCAAAATTTCATATTTTTAGGTTTTTTTCTTGGACCTCAAGACTTCCTGAGAAATTTCGAAAATTCCAAAAAAGACAATAAGAAACAGAAAATTTCCTTCAAAAAAAGCCAAAAAAATTCTAAAATTTTCCATCCGAAATCCCCCTCAAAATGTCCTTCTTTTCCCCTGCTGAGCCAAAAACGTGAGGCTCATTCCGCACTGCAAGAGTGTACGTGTGTGTGTGTCGAAAGAAGCTGAATGGTCACTTGAAAACCGACGGGAGGCCTCCTCGAAGCTCGAAGGAGACAAAATAACCTCCTCCTCCTCCTCGGAACGTCCGTTCCTTTCTAAAGGTACGTCAGACCTCCTGCGGCTCACAAACAAGCAAACAGCCGGCTTGCGCCAAGCTTTTACTTCTTTCAGGCTTGGGAATGGGGGCTTAAAATGAGGATATAAGTTCAGAGAGGGTTGACGGTTATAATCGGACCAAGCTTTTCCTTCTTACAGCTTCTTGGTCTTGGAAATTGAAGCTGACAGAAAATCAAAAATCAAGTTATTCTTTTTTTCAGCTTCCTGGTCTTGGAAATAAGGGCTTAGGAAGTGTCTAAAAAGTATTTTTGAGGTTTTGAACTGAAAATTGGCTTTCTGAAGATCAGAATCGACTATTAACAGCTTCTTGGGCTTGAAAATAAAGAATCAAAATGATAAAAAATGTTTAAAAAAAGGATTTATTACTAACTAGACGTTTTTCGACTTCCAAGGAAGATTCCCTACATGACGCCATTTCTTCTTCCAGTATGTGGGCTTGGAAATTACAACTGATAAAAAAAGTCAAAAAAAAAAAATCGAAATCGTTCTTCTACATGCTTTTGGGACTTGAAAATTGAGATTCTGAGCCAAAAAATTTTAAGGACTAACAGAAAAAAATAAGGTTTTTGATACGGTTAGAGTCAATTATTGCATGGAAAATCGTGTTTTCCAAAGGCTTGATAATTAGGAAAAAACCTGAATACAATTTAAAAAATCCTTAAAAAATAAAAAATTGTATAACTACATTATCCCCGGCATAACTGCTTCTCCTTATACTTTATAATTTTTAACTATTTTATAGAAAACTTCTTGAAAGTTATTTTTCTTTAAATCAAACAGGAAACTCGGAAAACCATGAAAAAAGTAACCTATTCCTGTCGGTGACGGCAAAGACGATGAGAAATCCGTTGCCGGTGCGTAGATATTGCTCACGCATTGTTGAGAACTCCTCCTGGCCGGCCGTGTCGAGGACTGAATTTGAAGAATTTGAGAAATATTTAAGCGAGAAACTGTGAAGAAATCAATATATTATACTGAAAAATAAAAAAATCTTACGACTGGAAGCATATGATGCAGACTTGAAATGACAAGAAAGAAAAAAAGAAAAAAACTTTCAATATTCAAAAAAATTTGAAAAAAACCAACTTTCCAGCTTGCACATGTCCTCGTCGACAAAACATTGCTTCGTGTAGGAATCTTCGATGGTCGGATCATAGTCTTGCACGAAGAAGCGCTGAAAAATGATTAACTTTATCAAGAAAAGAGCATAAAATTCAAAAGAAGCAATTTCCGCGAAGCGCGCCAAACTTTGGTACGTTTAGTCCGTAAACATCAACGCGCATATTTACATGCTCTCTAAAATGAAAAAAACTTTATTTTAATTTTTCTTTTTATTTTATTCAAGATTGTGTTTTTGAGATCCTTTTTGATGTTTTTGGAGTAAAATATACTCTTTTCAAAAAAATTCTCAAGCCTAATAGCATTTTTTTACGCGTTATTTTAATAAACAGAAAAAAACTTTTTTTCTCGATTTTTTTAACTCAATTTTTTTCGCGAATTTTGAGCGGACAATAAATGTTTTTCTGCAGTTTTTTTCACAATCTTTATGTCATTTTGATAAATTTCTTTGTCTATGTTAAAAAATTCTTCAGTTTTTTTCCGTGATTCCGTTTCATCTTTCCATTTGAATACTCCCGCAAACTTCTAATCCAAACGCTCACGTTTCACCAAACGAAAAAGGGACATTTTGAAACCAAGAAGAAGTGTAAGCGGACACCTTCCTGCAGCGACATCAAAAGCCATGGCGCAACACCTTTTGCGTCCAACATTCAACCGAAAACTTTTCCGTCTATTCATTCATGCAGAGGCAGCTAAAGTTCCGTTCAAACTGAAGTTTTTTGTGGTTTCGATTTGAATCCGTGACTGGACAAGAAGAAGTACAGTGAAATCGCAGCCAGTGTTGTTTTTTTTCGAAATTTTGATGGAAATAGCTCAAAACTTAATCATAGTCCATTCACTGCCATCTTCGATCTAGAACATACAGTTCGTTAGAGCGCATTTGCAATTAATCATTAATCAGGACCAAAAGAAAAACCTGGATGAACTGGATGGTGATGGCAGACTTGCCGACGCCGCCGCCGCCGACGACGACGATCCGTAGGAGCGACGGCTGGGCGGCTGTCCGACCGCCCATGCGCTGCGCCCGCTTTTGTCCCTTGGATGTCCCTTTGATTGGGAGTTTTCTGGAAAAATATTGAATTCAGCTGCTCCGGAAGACAAGTTAATCACGGTATAAAAAAGAAGAGAAGCTTGTAGCCGCGTTTAAAATGGCTCAAAGGGCTGGAGAATTAGTTGGTCGCGTTTGGAATGGCTCAAAGAGCTAGAGAAGCAAGTGGTCGCATTTGGAATGGCTCAAAAAGCTAGAGAAGCAAGTGGTCGCGTTTGAAATGGCTCAAAGGGCTAGAAAAGCAAGTGGTCGCATTTGGAATGGCTCAAAGAGCTGGAGGATCAATTGGTCTCGTTTGGAATTACTTAAAGTTGTTTGAAGATGTTTTTCCTAACTAAAAACTCTGGAAATATCAAAAAAACAACTTGAAGAACCTCAAGAAAACCAAAAATCAACAGCTTTCAAAAAAAAAAACTTTGAGCGGTCGCATTTGGGATGGCTCTCGGAGCTCGAATGGCGGAAAAAAATTTTTTCAAAATTTTTGAGGACTTCAATAAGTTCCAACTGATCAATCTCATTCATAGAAGACCTAGAAAATTCCGAAAATTTCCCAAAAATCGATGAAAAATCACGACAAAAAGCCTCGCGTTCTCAAATAAATAAAAACCAAACATAAAACGTCAATCTGTGTGAAATGGTTGTTGGAGAAAACGCGTCGAAAACGGGCCATATGAGAGAATAAATCAAATCACCCGAAGGCGCAAAACGGAGGAAGAAGGAAAAAAAAAGAGAAGAAGAACGACTCCTGGTCGGGCTGACAGATTGTCCCGAAAACCTTGTTTTTTGTTTCAATCTGAAAAAATCGAATGAAAAGAGGGAATTTTGCTGGTAGGAAAATAATAATAATAAGGAAAGGGGCTGGAATTTCCAACGAGGTGTCCAATTTCCAAAACAATTTTTTTCTCCTTCTGTCTGAATTTTCGGAAAAAAAGTAGCAGAATAGGAAGTTTTTCGTTTCCAGAAAAACAGAAAAAAATCGAAAAAAATTTTGAATATAATAGTTTTTTTAATGCTACTCTCTTGTTGCAGTTGTTTTTCTTTCATAAAATTGTTCCAGAAATTCGTAACTTCTTTAAAAACATGATTATAATTAAGTTAAAATGATCAACAATAACAAAAAAAGGGTGAAAATAGGCGGAATAACGAAAAAAATTGAAAAAAAAATTTTTCCTAGAAAAAAATTCATTGGAAAAAAATGATGAAGAGTTGGAATAAGATTTTAAAAAAAGTGACCGCCTTATAAAAAATCCTGAAAACTGTTCTGATCCCAAATTTTTGTCTGATCTTCTGAAAATTGGTTATTTCTAACCAACAGGGAAAAAAAAATCGAATGGAAAAATAAGACAAAGCAAGAAACTTCAACAAAAAAATCCATCGAGAAGTAGAAAAAAAGTTAAGGCGATTTTTCTTGAAAAAATAAAAAAATAAGGTTTGAAAAAAATGAGAAAAAAAAAGTTTTTCAACGGATTTTGGTCGAAAAATCCACGGAAATAGGCGCTTAAAAACTTCAAAAAAAGATATAAAAGATGAAAAAGACGTCATAAAATCTTTTTTGCAGTTCTCAGGTTCAAAAAAAAGATCGAAAAAACCGACACTGTCAAAGTCGGAAGAGCGAAAAACGGGTGCAAAATGGCCGCTAAAAGGGTTCCGTTTTGCGGCCTTTATTGAGCCTTTTTTCTTGGTGGGCTGAAAAGGCTCAAAAAAGGTGAAAAAAGGGAGAGGCCGGGAAAAGGGTGCAAAATGGTGCTGAAAGTCTCGGCTATTAAGAGTTTCCGATTGTATTACTGTAGCACATTTTGATTCATACACATTCTCTGATAAATATCATTCTCATTTCAAAAACTTTGTGTTCCTCAAAAGGGTCCAAAAAGGGTGGATAAAGGCCGGTGAAAGGACGGAAAGAGGCAGAAAACCGTTGCCACCCGTTTAGGAAAAGTTAATGCTTTTGCAACCATAACGGAAGCGGAAAGGGTCCTTCCAACTTTGCCTGTAAGATCTTTCCTAGACTTTTAAGATTTAACTGTCAAGAAAAAGGACACGAGTCGAAAAAAGGGGGAAAATGGGCCGATTTTGTGAAGATACCCTGTTGTTGCAAATCCCACGACACACGACAATCACACGATAATCAATAAATATATCAGTACGTGTGAGTGCGGGAGTGTGCGCGGGAAAGGCAACAAAACGAGAGAGAGAGGGGGGGAGATATAGAGGTCACAAGGGGGAGGGTGCACCTCTGAAACTTTTGTGCCGTCGGCGGCGCCGAACCGTACGATTTACGAATTAGTCCTCGCCCGTGTGTGTATTTGCATGTTTCGATTCTGGAGTTTGTTTGTGCAAGATATGCGATGATAAGATAAGCGGGCCTTGGCCACCGCGGCTCTTTTCGAGTCAGCTCATTTATGATAAGATAATTGGGGCTGTCTGACCTGTCTCCGCTCTCTTTTCTCTCGCTTGGTTATAGAAACGGAAAAAGATCATGCTGAACGAGAGAAAAGAGGCGCAGAGAAGTCAGAGATTTGTTAAAAAATTAGGATGTAGCGACATGGAATGACATAAAGAGAAGACTATTCTAACCAAGCGCGAAAGTCGTATCAGGTCCGGCGCAAGCTTTCAAGTCAGAATAAAATAAGTTCAGCAAGAAAAAAAGGTGCCTAACTCCATGGAAATTTCGAAATATGAAAAAATCGAAAATAGTCCATTCATAACAACGTACCGTTTTTGAACGTTTTCATGAATGGACTACATTTCGAAAAAAAAATCCGGAGCTTTAAAGTAATTTTCAAAAGCCCAAAAAGAGTTTTAAACATCTACAGACCCTTGGAAATCATCTCAGAATCGTCAAAAGCGCTAAAAAGAAAAAAAAAATTTATTTTTTAAACGCGTTTTAAAGCCCAAAACTCTCCTGGAAAATCATATTCCACCGCTAGAACTAAACCTCTTAAACGTACTAATTCCACCATTTTCAAACCAACATTCCCTTGCGAGAAGATGACAAAGAGATCCAGAAAGAGACAAACAGGAAAAAAAAATTCCCGTTGGAAAAAAAAGTCTGCGGCGAACTTGTGAAGAACCATTGTCTCTTGTGTATATTTGTGTTTGACGCACCAAACTTTTTTTTCCCCATTCAACAAAGAAAGAGAGAGAGGGAGGGACAGAGAGAAAAAAAGAATTTTTTTTGATCCGTTCCATTCCAAAAACTTGGCATTTGGCCAGGGGCAACACACGTAGACGAGAGAGAGGGAAATTCGAAGAGAGAGAGGCAGAGAAGCTAGAGGAAGGCAACCGAGAGCCACACCCCCAACGGCAAAATGTGCACGCAAACAAACACCAAATGCGACGGTAGTCCACGAGCTCCAGAAGCTCCGCCTTCTTTTTTTTGGGAAGGCTCCGCCTACTTTTCAGAGTTGAGTGACGTCAGGGAAATCCGTGGAAGGGAGAAATTTTCTGGAGTTTATGACTAAAAGTTTACTGAAAGCTCCAAAAATTCAAAGTTTTGAATTTCAGAACCACTCAAATGACCACTCAAAAAACAGGAAACTTCTAAAATATCCCTTAAGAGACCACTTCTTTGGAACTGCCTAGCTGAACCTTAAATCAAAAAGCGACGTCCACAGAAGTTGAGAAACCTTTTAAGGAAATTTTTCCATCATTTGAGGGACCACTTCAGCGAAATTCCGTTTTTAACCACTGACGTCACTGTAAATATGAAAATCACTCAAAGGGCTACTTAAGCGAAAACGCCTTCTCTTGTCGAAATTGAACACTTTTATGACGTCCCTGGAAGTTCGTAGATCCCTTAAGAGGCCTCTGAGAAATTAAAAAAAAGCCTAAAAATATTTTTTTTCGAAAATCCCTAACTTATTGACGCCTGAGTCATAACTAGGGGAGATTTCAAAATCCATAAATTTGTGACCTCTTAAGGGGCGATAAACCAAAATTTTCTAACCAATTTTTTTTCATAACCTACCCATTTCAACATATTTTATTAGAAGCGTGGAACAAAAAGGTCGTTGCATAATTAATGAATTACGGTAATAATCGTGACGCGGACACAATGGTCGAGTACCGCCAGTGCGTTTGGGGTCAACACTCGACAGCCGTATGGTTGCAATACACTAAAAAAAAACCGAGGAGCAAATTTTCTCTTGAAAAGGCAAAAAAAGAAGCATACGGCAAGCCGAATTCCCAAGCCGTCTCCGATCCAAGTACTACCGGCTCTCAACGTTGCTTAACTTGCCAGATCGGACGGGATGGCGTGCTTTCAACGTGATGTGGTCGTATGCGATGGCGGAAGGCTTTGATGGCGTACAGATAGGTTGTGAGTGTTATTTCAAGAATGAAAAGACAAAAAGTTGAAATTTTTCAAAATTTCCGAGCACAAAAACTCTGATTTCGACGCTTTTATGTTGTTTTTAGCTTCTCAAAATGAAATTAACTGGTTTCAAAGCTCAAAATGACGAAAAAACCAGAAAAATAGAATGACTCAAATGACGAAAAAGATCGAATTAAAACGATATTCAAATCAATTATTATAATGGATTGAAGTTGGATGCATTCCGAAAAGAATTTCGTCACATACTTCACATCAAATATCTTTCAATGGAAATTTTTAAAAAACCACAGCGATGAAAAAAAAAGAAGAAAGTGAGAAAAATGTCAAAGTTGCCTTCAAAAAAAAGTGACAACAGCTGTTTTGAAAGGAAAAAAATATGGTTGCAATACACTAAAAAAAAACCGAGGAGCAATTTTTCTCTTGAAAAGGCAAAAAAAGAAGCATACGGCAAAGCCGAATTCCCAAGCCGTCTCCGATCCAAGTACTACCGACTCTCAACGTTGCTTAACTTGCCAGATCGGACGGGGTGGCGTGCTTTCAACGTGATGTGGTCGTATGCGATGGCGGAAGGCTTTGATGGCGTACAGATAGGCTGTGAGTGTTATTTCAAGAATGAAAAGACAAAAGTTTTCGAAGCTTTTATGTTGTTTTTCAGCGTCTCAAAATAAAATTAACAGGTTTCAAAGCTCAAAAAGACGTAAAAATGGAAAAATAGAATGACTCAAATGACGATAAATCAATTATCGTAATGGATTGAAGTAGGATGCATTTTTCTTTTTAAACAAACATTTTCTCACTGATTTCACATCAAATATCTTTCAATGGAAATTTAAAAAAACCCACAGCGATGAAAAAAAAGGAGAAAGTGAGAAAAAAACGTCAAAGTTGCCTTCAAAAAAGTGACAACAGCTGTTTTGAAAAGAAAAACTATGTGAAAACAAAGAACCGGAATTATCATGAGGCATCAAAATAAATAAATAAATCCGGTTTCTGAGTGGGGAAAAGTCGATGGAACATTTTTTCAAAAATCTCTTTTTCATCAAAACATTCTATATGAGGAAATGTGACAGGACAAATTATGAAAATAAAATTTTAAATCAGAAAAAAAAATCCTACAGAGGTCACTATACCAAAAAAGGTCATTTTTGAAGATTTTTAGCACCTTCAAGGAGGTTATTTCACTTTTTCCTCGGATTCTTCCAAAAAGTTTCCCGGAGCTAATTTTTTTGTACTTAGAGATGATTCTGAAGTTTAAACCAACAACATTTTGAACTCATCGAGAAAAAAAGAGCTTTAAATTGTCAGATTTTCAGCAAATTTTTGACAATTTTCCCGATTTTTTTTTTCAAAACTAGCAAATTTTTAAGCTAAGCTTTTTGATTACCTTATTTAGTTCATTCAAAAATATTCTGGAGATTCTCAAAAAAAAAATTTAGACCACCAAGAAAAAAATGACCTCCTTTTTGAGGTGGAAATTCGTTAGAAGCTTTCAAGATTTTTTTCATAATAATATTCTAATTTCTTTCTAAAAAAATAGCAGTAAATGACAAATCGATAAATGAAAGATGAAAAAAATCTATATGAAAAATCGATAAATAAATAAAACGAAGCTAAAAAAATCAATAAATGAAAGATGAAAAAAAGAATTTACAAGGGAGGTCGTTTCACTTTGCGATTCGGATTTTCCTGAAACTTGGCCAGAGCACTCCTTGATGTACCAGATGAAGATTCTTAAAATCTCAATCTGCAAAACTTCCCAGTTTTTGATAAAAGACACCTGGGAGTAAAAAAAAATCCTTAAAAGCCTTAAAATAGGCGTTTTTCTGGGGTTTGAGTCCCTTTCTCGAAAACTAGGAAATTTTGCATTTTGAGACTTTCAGGATCTCCATCTGGTACATCAAGGAGTGTTCCAGCCAATTTTCAAAAAAAAATCCTAGTCGAAGTATAAAATGACCTCCCTTAGTTTCTCAGAAAACAAGTAAAAGTCCACAAATCCGAAATGAAAAAATGAGGTTTCAAGAGAGTTCTCGTAATAAACTTGCATTCAAGAAATGCTGGGAATTTCCTTCGCGACACATTTTCTTCGAAATGTGTCAGTCAAGCCGGAGAAATGACAGCCGCGCATGTGTTGCAATTGTTTATTTCCAGAGAAAAAGAAGACAGTTGCTCTCACGGTCCAATTCAATTCCATCCAATAAGATTAACGGAAATGGATCGGAAAAAAAAACCAACAATATAGGACTTTGGGATGACCGGCCAACAGCCGCCCGCTCCAATCCCCTGATTGATTGGATTTCCGTTGTAATGGCTCCGAACACCCTTCTTCCTTTTTTTTTCTCTGGTTCCTGTCTTTTTCCAAAGAACGGCCCGAAAATAAGTGCACAAGGCAACTGTTGTCCTGGGGATTTTCATTGGTTTCACACAGAAAAAATGTGATTTTATTTTGTGGCTGGGATTTTTCTGAAAGTTGGCCAGAACTCTTCTTGGTGTACCAGATGAAGATCCTGAATGTCTCAACCTGCAAAACTCCCTAGTTCTCGAGAAAAAATGCAAAGAAAAACATGAAAATCCATTAAAATGGGCTATTTCGGGCCTTTGAGCCATTATTTCTCGAAAACTAGGGAGTTTTACAAGCTAAAATTTCCAGGATCTTGTGTTGATACATCACGGAATCTGTTAGCCAATCTTCAAAAAAATCCCTACCACAAAATAAAACTACCTTCCCAGTTAAAAATTCTCAGAAAACCAACAAATATGATCCAAAGATCCAAAAAGAAAAACCCTCAAAAACACAAAAAGTAGGATTGAAAACTGACATTACATCCATAATTCAAACAAAGCTCGGTCTTATTAAACTTAATCTCTTTCTCCGTCATTTTCAAGCGTTGAAGCACATTCGAATTTTGAAACATTAAAAACAGCATAAATTAATGATTTTTGCAGTTTTTATTGATCAAAAATCGTCATATTGAAATACATACGTGAAACAAGATAATGTTCAAAAATGTTCAAAATTCGGTTGACCTTTTTCTTCAAGAATGAAGAAAATCAAAATGAAGCTGCAGCTGACCCAGGGTGAATGGATTAAAAAAAAGAACCAAAGAAAAATTTGAAAAAAAAATGATTGTAGAAACATCTACTAATTCTACTTATCTAAATATTTCCTCAAACTTTCTTTTTTTATCTTTTTAGGTTTTTTTTATAACAAGCCTTATTCAAAAAATTTTTCGAACTTCAATATTACTATGGTTGGATAGCTGCTCTAATTTACTATTCAAAACAGTTTAGTTTTTCAAAAAAAGTTGAAAACAAAAAAAGTTATGGTCATAGAAGAAGTGAAAAAGTTGCGAAATTTAGTACTGAAAGTTTAGATTTCACACTTTTGGTCGTTCATTTTGTTTTCATATCGGATTTAAATTTTTTAGTAGTTCAGTTCGATTTTCAAAGTCATAATAAGTCATTAAAACAGTATAAAACCACAAGTTTGAAGAGAAAAACTATTTTTTCATTTCATTATCGCAAAAAGAGAAGTGGCTTTGCGGTCTCTAACTTATTCAACAGCGGTCCCTAGAGGGGCCGGGGAAATAACTCTTTGGGGGACAAAACTCTGCTCTGTAGAAGGCTTTGAGTAGCATTTAGAAGGGTCTGAGCATTTTTTTTATAATACAAAAAATTGGTTCTTACAACCGTCCTGAAGGTTGTCACTCTAGGGAACAATCTGAATTTCCTAAAATTTATTTCGAGGCGAAATGCTGATGACGTTTACATTTTTCTCATTTTTCTGATTGAAATAGAGAAAAGTCCGAACAAAACTGGACCAATCGGCAGGCGAAATGGATTAAAACGAGAAAAAACGGACGAAAATCAGTTTTGACACGTCGACGGAGGTCATCCGAAAGGAAAGAGAGAAAGACTCACACGGTGGCAAGTAATTGGCACGTGTTGTCCTGTTTTCTGCCAAAAACCGCTGTCAGAAATTGACATGTTCGGCTTCCAGAACGGCCTCAACATTTTTTTTTGAGATCTATGAAAAAAAATTTTTAGAAGGAGGTTTTATTTGCTTATTTTCACTTTGAATATTTGCTAAAATCCATTTTTTCGTTATAACTAAGCATTCTGAAACTTTGGAAAGCACAGTATGCAAAAAAAAAAGAATCACTAAAAAATTCGAAAATTTTTCAAAAAAAGACCTTGAAAACTGAGAAAAATACCAGAAAAATTGAAATTATCAATAGAGCAAACTGTCACGAAACCTCCATTAAATGAAAGTCATCTGAAAAAAAAAACGAAAAAAAATGAGCTGAGAAGAAACAGCCGCGGCCAAGTGCGCTCCATTGATAATTTTGTAATCTTTGAGAAATCGGGCAACTTTTTTTCATTTCTATTCAAGCCCGTGGCAGCCTTGCTGAGCCGTCAAACCTCAAAATTAATGAAAAATTTTTTCTTTGAAAAATGCATTTATTAAAAATAAAATATTGAACGAAAAAACGACAAAATACACAAGGGAAAAAGGCAAAATCCAGAAAAAGCGCATAAAAACAGGGAAAGAGAGAGGGAGAGAGGTCAGGAAAGATTGGAAAATTGGGCGGGGCTTAGAAACCACGCCTATCCGGGAAAAATTTGCACCTCGCCGGCCGCATAAGAGAAACATATACAGATAAATAGAAAAATGAGCTGAGAAGAAACAGCCGCGGTCAAGTGCGCTCCATTGATAATTCTATAATTTTTGCGGCTGTTTCTTCAAAACTGGTTCATCATATAATTTTGATTAGGAAAAGGGAAATCGGAAAGAAATAGTGAGCATTGGGTAGCTTCAACCCATTTCTGCGTCATGGTCTTTGCTTGGCCAATTTTTTTTAGAACTATCAAGAAAATAGAAGAAATAATCAGTTCACCCTGACCTAAAAGTCAATATTTCAACTGCACCCGACTTTTAGCGACTTACGCCACGAGCTAGAGAGAATGCGATAAAGAGGGCGTCAGAAAATAATCCTCAAGCATAGCCCAAAGCGCAAGTCGGTGAGAGTCGGCTGCAGTTGATTTTTGGTGTCTGCAACCGACTTTTAGCGACTTACGCCACGAGCTAGAGACAATGCAATGAAAAAGGCGTCAGAAATAACCCTAAGGCATAGTCCGAAGCGCAAACCGGTGAGAGTCGGCTGCAGTAACTTTCTTCTCTTTGCAACCGACTTTCAGCGACTTACGCCACGATCTAGAGACCATGCGATGGAGAGAGCTTCAAAAAGTAATTATAAAGAATAGTTCAAAGCGCAAGTCGCTGAGAGTCGGCCGCAGTTCTTTTTTTGTCTCTGCAACCGACTTGCAGCGACTTACGCCATAAGTAAGAGGAAAGAGAGCTAACTCACCGCGCAAGCCGCTCAAAGTCGGGTGCACGTTAAATCACGGTGAATCGACTATTTTTCAATCCGAAAAAAAGAAGCGCTGAGTATCTCAGAAAATGCATTTGGAAAGCGACGAGAAATATCATTGGAAAGATAAAAAAATCATAGAAATAATGAGAAAAAAAGGCAACGGCGGTTGATCCCTAGAACCAAGAAAAAAAGCGTTTCAATTAATATAATAATAATAATAATAATAATTGGGAGAAATAAGGCTAATCGATGACGATCACAGAGCTTCGCAGAGGTTCCACCTCTTCTGGCGCTTTTTCTGCTTTTCTAAAAAAATTAAAATTGAAGAAAGATTTTTTTCCCTTTTTTTATTTTTTTGCACGAAAATCTGGTTAAAAATATTTTTTTCAGCGTTTTTTTAAGAGGCTAAAATATGAAAAAAACTTTAAAAAAAGTAGCTTTTTAAAAATGTAAAAAAATCTTTTTCTTTCCCGCGGCGCTATTTTAACGAGGTCAAATTCTAAATAATTGCTAAATTTTCTTTTTCCTGTAATTCACATGTATCGTTTTCTTGGTGCTATTTTTAACGCGGCTCAAAATGAAAAATTGGAAAAATGGTATTTTTCCTGTAATTTTGAGCTTCCAATATTTTTTCAATGATTTTTTTATAGCGGCGCTATTTTCAGGCCGGCTCAAACTGAAAAAAAAAATCTCAAATCTTCTAAAACTTGAATAAATGGTCTTTCAGCACTTTTCAATAAATCTCTATAGCGGCGCTATTTTCAGCACGGCTTAAAATGAGCAAAATTGAAAAAAATGGTATTTTTTCTGATAGTTTGAGCATTCAACTCTTTTTCAATGAAACTTCATAACGGCGCTATTTTCAGCGCGGCTCAAATTGAAAAAAAATCGCAGTCTTCTAAAAATGGAACCGAGGCTCAATCCTACATATTTGTGTTACTCGAGGGCAAAAGACGTTTGTTTGGAGGCTTATTGCAAGGGAGGCTTAGCTCAGCTTCAGCCGCCAAAGATTCGCCAAACATCGCCCTCACAATGACCCACCAAACATGTGCGCGGAATTATGAGCCTTGGGTTCATTTTGGGAAATTTTGAGCCCCGATTGAAATCGCATAGATTTTTTCTGGCTTGAAATTGTTCGGATGACTTATCATGACTTTGAAAACCTAACTGAACCGATTAAAATTCTCACTTCAAAAGAAAAAAAGAGTTTTACAAAGACTAAGATGTTCTGAATAGAAATTTTGAGCACATTCTTGGCCAAGTTCTTACAAGGAATGTCATTTTAATTTGCGGTTGGGAATTTCCTGAAATTGGTCAGAACGCTCCTGGATGTACCAGAAGACGATTTTGAAAGTTTCAATCTGCAAAACTTCCTCATTTTTGGGAAAAGACGCCTCAAAGTCAAAGGAAACTCATAAAACGAGCTATTTTGAGATTTTAGGCCCTTATTTCTCGAAAACTAGAAAGTTTTGAAGGTTGAAACTCTGAGAATCTCCTTCTGGTACTTCAAGGAGTTTTCTGACCAACTTTCAGGAAAAAAATTTTTTTCAACTATCTGACTTCCAAGTGCACGCTTGAATATTGAACCACGTCAAACAAAAATTTTTAATAATTAAAATATTGAAATCCGGCAATTTTAAGCACCTATGCAAAGTCGGAAAGGGTGAAAAAGGGCTCTATAGAAAGTTTCCTTTTTTGCTGCCTTTTTGCTGCCATTCCCTAGGCAGCAAAAAAATCCACCATTTCTTGAGCCTTTAAAAACTCAAAAAAAAAGTGGAAGGCTCGATAAAGGGACCCTTTTTGCTACCTTTTTGCTACATTTCTGCAGCCTTCTTTGAGCTTCTCCCTTTTAGCGGCCATTATCCACTATTCCGACTTTGCATTCTGAATAAATTCCATGACTTCTAAAGCGAAGATCCCTTTTTTGTCATGATAAATTCAAAAGATCACCATTGATCTTGCGCCGGAGCTCCTCGAGCTTGTTGGAGTACTGCGTGTCGCGTGAATGTTTGTACTCCTCGATCGACCATTCCAAGTTCGAGCTCCAACACAGCGTCAGGTAGCTGCAGAAGCTCAGCCCGGACTGAAATTATGACTTTAGTCGTTATTTTATCTCTCTCTTTTGAGCCTCAAAACGTCTCATATTACAGCTCCAAGTTACTCCTTTCCATCGCTTCTTTCAGATCAAGCCAGAGAGTACAGGAATCGAGGAGGTTCAGCTTTCTGTGTCTCTCTTTTTCTCTTTGTTTTACACACTCTCTAATTTTTATAAGAAAAAAGCCGAGTTGAAAAAAATAAAAAAATGCAAAAGTACTGCTTTAACTGCACAGGTAGGCTTTATATGAAGATCGAAAAATTTCTGTTTTGCTCATCATTGCTCATATTATAAGATCGATCTGATTTTTCCTCTCAAGAAACGACAAAGATTCATTACATCATCTAGAAATCTCCAAATTTAGTTTCCTGTGACTCGGAAGAACGCGAATTTTTCAGCATTGCTTATCATTGCTCATATTATAAGATTCTCCTATCGATCTGATTTTTCCTCTCAAGTTACGACAAAGATCCATTACATCATTTAGACATTTCAAAATTTAGCTTCCTGTCACCCGCGAAAATCAAAATTTCTCAGTACTGCTTATTATTGCTCATCTTATAGAATCTACAGGTCTCTCAAGTAAAAACCGAAAAAATTCCTCACATCATTTAGAAATCTCCGAAATTCCCCATGATTCCTGTTCCACAAAAAGTTCTCAGCATTGCTTATTATTGCTCATCTTATAGAATCTACAGAAAGCATCCATCTCTCCGTTTCATTCACAATAAACGCCAGGAGCTCTCAAAAAGTCTCAAACTTCCAAATCTTTGAAAATATCTACCAATAATCTCAGATCGGTACAAACAGAATATCAAAAGAAACGACCATATTTTGCGGCACCTGTCGCCGACCGTAAAATACAAACCCCGGGCCACAAAAAGGCGATTTGGACGGCATGCCCCCGGAAACAGGTGCGTCCACAGAAATGTCTCGTTTTACCGGATTCAGGGGGCCTCCTTATTTGGGATCCTAGGCCGCCGATGCGTAAACAACCCCTCGAAAATTTGCATAATTCGTTCCTGGATGCTACTTTTTGCGGCGGGGGCCTGATTGTTGGGGGACAAAGAAAGTATTTTAAAATTTTTAGCCTTATGAAAAACTTCCAAATTTCCTATTTTTTCAAAAAATTTGCCTACATAATTTTTTTTTTTTTTGAAACTAATGACGCCATCAAAATTCCCATCAGCTCAAAAATCTTTAGTTTACCTTAAAAAAAAACCCAAACTTGAAACTATTTCAGAGCTCATGGTCCCTTACTTCTAAATTATGACGTCATTGACCATGTTTTTATGACGTCATTTACCACTTTTATGACGTCATTTTATCCCTTATACTGTACTTTTTATCGAAAAAGTTTGCTCTTGGAATTAATTTTACTGAATAGATCAAGTACATATAATAACGTATGGAATCTTCGATTAATGTCGTTTTCAGAAGTTAACAATTTTGAAAAAATTCTGAAACGTACAAATTCCAACTTTCCGACACGTTACAGTCTTCCAGGAAAAATTCAGTTTTAAATATGATTTTCAAGCGTTTTTTCGAAAATTTTCTAGAAATTAGGCTTGAGAAATGCCGAAATCGGTCCTTCCAACACGATAAAAAGACCTTTTGAAGGGTTCCCAACGGATCTTTTTTTTAAACTTTACATTTTTTTGACTTTACTTTTGAAAAATTGGATGAAAAACAATTAAAAAGATTCCAGGCGGTTCAAAAAAAAGGCTTTTGCCCATCATTATTTGGCCCCTTAGCGGAACCTTTTTTTCAGTACCTTTTGAGGGTCCCTAAAGGAAATTTATTCTTTGTTATCAATGATAAGACTTTGAATACATTCTAGTTTAAAAACAAGCCAATTTCCAGACCAGACTTCCCTTCTCGCCGAAATTTTCAAAAAACCAGCCTAAAAACTGGCGATTCTGACGGTATTGCCACCTGCGTTGGAACGTACTTAATTGCGGCCAGGTGGGAAAAGAGACAAAACGACGGGGGAAAAAAGGGAACATCTCTAATTTGAAGGTGCGACGCGCCAGGTCCGAAAAGAAAGGTCACACCGGGGGGTGAAAATCAATTTCAGACCGTATTGCTCATGTTAAACAACTTCAAAGGTTCACATGGAAGGATCGAGACAATGTTAATCTTTGAGAATGAATCATTGAACATCATTTTTTGGAACAAACCATCTTGAAAAGTTGCTGAAACTGGAGTCTTCTTTAGAATAGTTACAGAAGTTAAAAAAGAAGGAATTTTTGAAAAAAAGACGAGTCTTGACATATCATGTAGAAAAAGAACGATAGTCATATTTTTATTCAACATATTTTAAAAATCCCAATTTTTTTCCTCGCCTTATACAATTTTATCCATGTCAATTGACTTAGATATGTTATCTTTGCAAGGGTCGGAAGTTTCAAATTGCGCCCGACTTGAAACGGCTTGCGCTCGGAAGCATCGGAACTTCAAATCAACCTGGACTCAATCTACTGCAGCCCGAGCCATTCCAAATGCGACCATTGTATCATAATTTTTCTGGCAATTCGTTTTGTGTGATACTATCATCAGGGAAAGGAAGCTAGGTATGACTCTTACCTTACTTAATTAACTAGAGATCTCACCTTGACATGCGCGTACATGGCGAGGAAGAAACTGAGGAAGAAGACCATGGCGGCGACGAGGGTGATGGTGGATAGAAGGCCTCCTTCATCGCCTCCCGTCGTCCTCGGCTCGGATGATGACGTTATGATGTCGTGGGGACGTTTTCTGGAGTCGTTGACCGCCGCCGGCGCCACGGCGCCCGGACTCGACGTCGCCAGAATAGACAGCGGTGCCGGGACCGTCGTCGAGTTCATCCTTCAATCATGCTTTGTTCAAATTTTGGAAAATTCAGGTGAATCGCAAACGTCTTCAGGAAAGGTGCAGACTGTTAAAAACTTATTTTTTTGGCTTTTTTGGCCTCTTATGACCTGGTGCAACACTAAAAACACCTTTTCGCCGTCCTAGAGGCTTACTGGAACATTTTTGAAATGACGTCACTAATATCGTCTGTTCAGATTTTGAATGTCAAGCTCCGCCCCCAATCGTGCAATAAACCAATCAAAGAGCGAGCCATCCACAGAGTGTTTTTGAATGACGTCATTGCACTTGACATTAAAAATCTGAGCAGACTATAAACGGGAGTGACGTCATCGTTTATTTATCTGAAAATAGCTCTCTGCCCCCAAATAAGCTATAGAATCACCTATGCTTCTTCAAAAACTTTGAATCGAAAAACCGACCGACTGGCGTTGCTCTTCTCGATCTGAAAGCAGGCGATCGTCGCGAAGGCCGACAGGAACATCATGATTATTGCGAAAACGAAGATCGTGTAGTAGCGGACGTCGCGGTCGGCGCACTGCGGGAGCTTCATCTCGCGGTACTGTAAAAGGTTCATTTATTCGATATACTCATCCACAGGTGAGATAACCCAAGGTCAGACCATTTATAGACATTCTTCCACTGGTCAATCGGGTAGGTATACAAGTAGGTACCGGGTAGCAGCTTTTGAAAAAAGTCAATCGACGTATGGTAATCGGTGGTTGTTTTAGTGCGATCGGGTACTATCTCTATGGTACATGGATACTACCGGAGAGGTATCGCGATGCTAACATGTATCATTCCAGACCAGCGTACGCTTTCCGCTACCATGAAAGTAGCTGATAAATAGCTACCCGGTAGCTATTTGCCTCAACCTCCCGATTCACCTTTGTCCTTATTTCAAAAAATTCTTGTAGACCATTCTCCAGAGTCTTCTCACTACAAAGAACCTTCCTGAGTTCAAAATTTAGTTCACTTTTTGTCAACAAAAGCCCCGGGGGGTCATTATTTTACTTTGCGGCTGGGATTTCCTTGAAAATTGGCCAGAACACTTCTTGATCTAACAGATGGATAGCCTTCCTAACCTGCACAATTTATTAATTTTTTCAAAACTGATAGCCTACGAAAACACTCGAAATCCGTTAAAATAGGCCATTTTGGTACTTAGCGTCTTCAGATTTTTGAAACTAGAAAGTTTTGCAAGTTTAGACTTTTATCATCTTCATCTAGTACGTCCAGGAGTGCCCTGGTCAATTTTCAAAAACATTCCAACCACAAAGTGAAAGAAATAAAATTTCCTTGTGAGTTCAAAGTTTGTTTTTTGGCAATAAACGCTCTCAGGGGTAAAAATTATTTCTTCACCTTGTTTCTAGTAATTTCAACCGTCAACCTCTAATGGTACAAAAATGAAGAAGAAAATAAAAAAGTGGCGGAAAATTCTGAAAAAAAAAATAAAAGGCAACAGAAAAAAGGGATGATACCGTTCAGTACAGGTAATAAATGATTTTCAACTTTTATTTGACTTCAAATTAAACTGGTAAAAAAAAGGTTGAATAACCCAGAAATTGGAACTGCTTCACCACTCGCCTTAAAAAAAATATTGATTCAAAATTTTAGTCTGAACATTTGAACTCTGCCAGAAACGTATAAGGAGAAGGAAATGCATTTCTATCTTCCAATACTTTTTTTTGCTAAAATTCTCTCATTTCATTTCTTTTTTTTATTGATTTGTTTATTATCGAATCCTACGTCGAAAAGCTTCGAAGATAATACAATTTTCTACTGGAAATGAAAAGCTTTCTAATTTGGTCTTTTTACCGTCATATTCATCCCTAGATCCCCAAAAAACCATTCCAAATGCGACCCAACCGAATCTTCTTTCTCAAAAAAAACCCTCAATCCATTTCAATCCATCCAAACCGCGCCTAAATCGACTCGAATCGAGCCCAACGAGGCGTGGAAACCTAATGAAATGTGACAAATGATGCAGTACACTACCTTGAGGACGCGGCGCCGTCTGTACTTGTACAGGCAGAGTTCGCAGACGGCCGGTCGGTGGAGTTTCCGCGAGGAAATGTCCAGCCAGTGCTGAAAAATATTTAATATCTAGGATGATAGTTTATTCATTCACAAGGAAACGCTGTCAATAAAAATCGTATAAATGAAGCCCGATCTTCCGGCATTCCCAACGAATTTCGGGACGTTCCTAGGAACTCCAGAGTGATCCCTATAGGGGCGACCTTAGGGACCCTTGGAGGGCCCCTCTAAGGTCTTCAACCACTTTACCAACCTTCAGACCCTAAACTCCAATGGGGACCACCTTGATTTTACCTCTACACTAGGAAAATTTTAAGTGGCCATTATAGGTTTTTGACGTTTTAGTGGTCACTATAGTAGTCAAGTTAGAGGCCTCTTAAGGGGTTAACAATTAGTGGCCACTATAGAGGTCTAAGTGCTACTACTAGACCACTAAAAATTTTAGTGGCCACTTTAGGGGCCAATGGATCAACATAACTGGTCCAATCTACTTTTTTCAAAATTATAAGAGTTACTGGAAGGAATACTGGATGAAAAACTACTAAAGTGGCCACTAAAACGGAAAATAGTGGCCACTTTAGTGTCTTTTCCAAATAGTCATTGGCGAGCCGTTATAGTGACCACTTTGGCCAGTAGGGACTATTTTTTGGCCCCTCTAGGGGCTGTTTTCACCTTAACCCCTATAGGGACCACTCTGGAATTACTAAGTTGATCATAAAATATATTTTTCTTCAAAAAAATGTTGTGTCAAAAAAAGTTACAAAAAGACATTTTTTTTATTATAACTTTCTCCTTTTGAGTTCAAAAAAATCTTGAAACTTCTTGGAGTTGTGCCAATTAGTATTCTTAACATACTGGTAAAAATTTCCTCTTTTAAAAAAAAAGCCGGAAAAAAAAAATTAAACATGGGTTCCAGAAGATTCTTGAAACAGTAGGCGAAAAGAAGAGGTTCAGACTTCGATGTATATTTTTTTATGTCGGTGTCCAGAATTTGCGATCCAGAGTAATCATTTTCAAACATAATCATAATAAGTAAAAAAATCGCTGAACTTGGAAATAACAAGGGATCTTCAAACAAGTTCAGAGAGAACCCATTAAAAAAATCAAAGAAAAAAATATTTGACCGATTTTTTTATTTTTTTTGCGCTATGGTCTCCGAAAACGTGTAATGATTACACAAAAAAATCTCTAGAATTTTCTAAACCAATTTTTCAAAAATTCAACTAGCTATCTCAAACTACTATTTCAGAAAAATATTGTTCACGATTCAAAAATATCGCTTTGTTAGAATGTACACTTCCAATTTCGAATTTTCAAAATTATCAATCAATAATGATAACATACCATCAAACATGACACGTGGACATATTGAAGGGAGCCGGAGCACCTGCACGGCGAAATGAGAGGATCATTGGAGTCGGGAGGCCAGCAGCAATGGCAGATCCGACACAGAGCCTCGCCGGAGACGTCCGACTGGGCCAACGAGTACAGCGACGGTACCGACGGCGATCGGAGCTCCTGAAGAATGGAAAATTTCAAAATTCTGTAGAGACCAGGTTTCTTTTCAACCAAGAAACTGTGGGCAATTGGTCCGTTCTTGACTTTGAGAAAGTATAAAACTTGACTCAAAAAACTATCGGAACAATCGATTTTTTGTTATTATCTTGGCCAGTTCATTTCAGACCCCCTTAGGAATTCCTGTGTGGTTCCTATAAGGGTTCGGGGTAAAGACAACCCTTATTGAGGCCGAAAAAGTGGTCCCTATAGGAGTAAAATCAAGGTGGTCCCTATAGGGTTTAGGGTCGGACCCCTTCGTCCTTAAACCTCAAGTGGACCCTATAGGGTTTTTCAATTTCATTAAAAAAACGCTTATTTTTAAGTTTTCCCTTGGAAATCTTTTTTTCTTAGAGTTCATAACAATTATCGACTAGCCTCTCCCCTATAGAGACCACTTTGCAAGCTGCAGTGGCTCCTATAGGGGTCGTTAAAGTGACCCCTAAAGGGAACTATCCGAGAGCCCCTATAGGGGCCACTCTGAAGCTCCTAAAGACGGTCTTTTTCTTGGAACAAAGATAACTTTTCAAACTTTGAGAGCCCGTAACTTTTTTCGCAGACATGCTGAGTAATTTCTGAAAACAGATTCTGAATCAGCGTGAAAAACTGCATCTAATGAAATTAGTCATTATTGAAAGTCTAATCGTGAGCTGAGATCATTCCCAGGATTTCGTGGAGCCCCACAGTCACCGAAAACGTAAAAAAAAATAAGGTCAATAATCTTCAAAAAAGACCTAACCGACCCCAAGTTGGAAACGATGCGAAGACGCGGCCATCGAGGCGCAAATGTCCCTATCAAAAGAAGGCCGCCCAGGTGGATAATAACAGAAAAAAAAGAACCGATGAAGTTATATAGTCCATTCACATATATGGAAAGACCGGGTCGTAATCATAAAACCAGTTCTTTTTCCGATAAGTGCGACTTGAAGAAGGCGAAAATGATCGTTTTGGAGAGGATTGAAAATTTGAAAATGGAGCATGAAAAGTAGGAAAAAATAGCCGCGAAGAGAACTTTTGCGCTCCATCGCCAAATTTTGAGAAGTATCAACCGAAGGGCACATGAATTAGGTTCTGTGAGCAAAAAATTAGCCGCGAGATCAATTTTCGCCCTTCAGAAGTCCATTTCTCTGAAAGTTAGCCATGGAGCGCATTTGTCAAAAAAAATTGCGGCTATTTTATCTCAGCTAAAATCCAGCTTTTTCTTGAGTAAAACTTTTATAGAATTCAAAACGAGAAACCAAAGTCTCAAAAAGCTGTGTGACAAAAAAATTCCTTCGAGAATTAGCCATGGAGCGCATTTGTCGGAAAAAAAAAATTGCGGCCATTTTTTCGCAACTATTATCTAGCTATTTTCTGGGCAAAACTCCATATAAAACTCGAAAAAAGAAACCAAAGCCGGTAAAAGCTGTGTGAAAAAAAATTCCTTCAAACATTAGCCATGGAGCGCACTTGTCAAAAAAAATAATTGCGGCTATTTTCTCTCAGCAAAGATCCAGCTTTTTCCTGATAAAAACTATTATAAAACTCGAAAAAAAAGACTATAGCCGTCAAAAAGCTGTGTGAAAAAAATTCCTTCAAAAGTTCGCCAGGGAGCGCACAAGTCGGTAAAAACTCGCGGCTATTTTTTTCTCAGCTGTTTTTTTGCTTTTTTTTATGTCTAAATACTTTTTTTGTTCCTTAAAAACTGCTATAAACCTTGTTTAATGCTGAAAAATACTTCAAAAATAATATCAATCCGGGAAAAATGTATTGAATTTACAGTTGATTTTTCAAAATACATTGAATTTACAGTTGTTTTTCAACTTCTATGTAGAAGAATATAACACCTTAAGCTCGGAAAAAGGATTGGAATGAGATTTGTAACTTTTATTTCAAAAAAATATATCAAGGAAGAAAAATTTTTAAAAATTCTCAACAAAAGCTCAAAACTCACAATCATTCCAAGTAACCGGAGCTAAAAGAGGCCGAAGAAGATGTGCCAAAAAGAAGAAGAAGAAGAAGAGGTAAAACACCTGGACTCCCCGAAGACGCCCGCAACAAACGGATCCAAAAAAGGAGGTAAAAAAGGGGGCCAAGACGCCCCTGCCCAGGTGCACCAGCTGTCATTGATCCGTACAGTTGGGAAGAGTGAGAGTGAGAATAAACAGAAGAAAAAATTTTGGGCAAGAAATGAATCTTCAAGAGAAGACAAATGGCCAAAGGTTTGCAAGGCCATTCAGTACGACCTTCTTCTCAAATGGTTTAGTTTTTGCGCCAAAAATTTTAAATTTTCACGGTCTAGCTCTACTGACACTAATGAGGTGAAATAATGAAAAAAATTTTGTTTTCAGAATAAACTTTAATCAAGACTTTCTTTTTGAATAGTTATTTTTCGCGCCAAAACTTTTGAAAAATTTCAATTTCGGAGCCTTCTCCCGCTATGAAACTGATAAAGTAGGGGCAAAACTTTCAAATTTTATAAAAATTATTTTTCGCGCCAAAAATTTCAAAAATTTTGACCCAACAACGCTTTGATCGACGTGGAACGGCTCAAACGCCGGAAAAGAGTGCTATGAGATGCTTCATCGCGTAAACCGTTTAAAGTCGGGCGCCCGGAAATTTCAGCCATGATTTCGAATTCCTGTCATTTTTGGGAGGTTTTAAAAAAGAAAAAATCAAAATGTAGTTAATTTTTTTTTTGATTTATTCTTTTAAATTTTCACCTTTCGCGCCAAATTCAGAGCTTTGTCCGAAATAAATTTTTGCTAGCCTTTTTCAAAATTTGATAGTTTAACAGTCTGAAATTGAAATTTTGAGCTTTTCCTTTCATAAAACTCAAAATCAAGACCTAAACAGGATTTTAAAGCCTTGAACAAACAATTTGAGCCTCCCAGTTAACTTCAGATTAAACAAAATACCTTTTGAGTCTTGGGACAGGTGAGGTCGGCGGTGGAGCAATGATGACACAGCATTCCGAGCTGCGAAGAGACGTCCTTCTCGCATTTCTCGACGTCCACCGACATTCCTGAAACTGAACAGGGATAAAGCTGGTTTTCTTTTGTGATCAGGTGATCGGATAAGATAAATGGGTAGTGAGCCAATAATTTTATTTTCTTTATGTTCAGTATTTCTTTGGAAAGTTGCTCTCTCATATACTCTCGGTTGGTAACGCGAATCGGACGTGTCGGGGCACTTCTAGTGACCACTTTAGGAGCCTCAGAGCTCTTAAGTGATCCCTAGAATCGCTCAGAAACGTCCGCAGCGCGTCCGTTTGGCTTTACGAATTTCCGAGCGAGATGAATCTTCTCTACGCGTTTTTTAAAAGCCAAACTCGAAAATATCAGTTCTCTTGAAAAAAAAAATTCTGAAGCTGATAAGAAATCTCAAACTTTCAAAAACCTTTGAGGTGCCCGAGAAACATTTTTCACAAATCTTTACCAATTTTTCAACAGATCAGACCCGGTTTCTAATCCTTAGAAATTGCGATTCTCGTTTTATTTGTTCATTTATTTCATCAAGAGATAAAGTACCGATCTATTTTCCTTCATTAATTCAGAAAACCCCTTATTTTTTCTCAAAATAAAAGTCAAAAAAGTGAGATTTTCAGAAGTATCAACACTACTGAATCTCATCAAATTTTTCAAAAAAATTGTCGCAACTTTATTCATATTTCATCTAACAGATCAACAGATAATTTTTGATAAAAAAATATTCCAGAAAAATTCAAGTCAAAATTATAAGATTTTCAAAAGTTTCAACGCTAAGAAAAAGCTTCTTCAACAGCCGGTAACTTTGAAAAAAATCGAAAAAAATCATCTTCAGATTAAAAAAAGAACCAATATAAAAACGAATAAATCTTGCTTCCGGAAACGCAACATCTTTCTTCCAACCGATAATTATGCAAAAAAGGTCAGGGCCGACATGACAAATCGTACCTTATTTCTCAACCTCATTTCTCATTTCATTCCGATTCCGATTCCACACAAATTCCCCCATAAAATTAAATCGCGCTGCGAGACTATAAAAGATGGGCGGTCGAGAAAATTTGAAAATATTCCTTTTATTTCTGTCAAGAGAGGGATTATAGGACGAAAATGGCGTTGTAAAACAAAAATAAAAAAATGTTTTCATGGAAAAAAACGTGACGTTAAATCATGTGATGGGCTTTCACGTGTAGAATTATTGGAAAAATGAAAAATAAATCCTTTTTTTAATAGAATTTTTTTTATGAAATAAAAATCTTCCCTTTTTTCAAATCAAAATGAACTGGAAAAAAATCGGTTTTTGAAGTTTCATTCTAATTCTAATTTCTCACAAAAATTAATAATTCCAAATATTCTAATCTTCTTGGGAAAAAGCTATGAAAAAAAGTTTTATCCATGGAGCGCAAGCTCACACTAACTCAGTTGCACATATTTTTTTAAAAAAGTTAAATTTTTTCAGAATAAATGACAAAAAAATGATAGAAAAAAATGACAGAAAGATATATGAAAAAAATTGAAAAAAATCACCAAAAAAATCAGAAAAAAATCGACTTTTTGGGCTTTTTAAAAATTATGATTCATTCAATTTTTTTCCATTCTTTTTAGCTTTTTGGATTACCCGAAGGACTCAGAAAATGGACCAAAACAGTCCAAAAGCGGATGAAAAAATCGGAAAAGGTCCGAAAAATCTTATCAAGGAAAAAAAATGGAAAAGAAAACATCTCAAAGTTATTTTTAAACCAAAAGCTTCGGTCAGCCCTTTTCTTTCATTTTTTTCCCAGCCAGAATGAACTTTCCAATTCGAAAGAAGGCAAAAATGACGCCAGAAAAGAAGAAAACAAGGAGAAAAAGGAAGAAAAAAGACGGCGTTTCGTTTTTCTTCCCGTTTTTTTCCCAATGAATTCAAATTCGCCGTGTAATTGGCGGCTGGTAGGAGAAGCTTCCTCGTGTGGAAAAAAGGAAAAAGAAGAAAATCTTCCCATATTTCACAATTTTTTTTCATTTCTCGCCGCGAATCCATTATAATTATCAAGAGGAAACCCGCACTTTTTTGCTCGGAAGTGATTTTTGAGTGGGTAAATTATGTTTCTTCTCAAAAAAGTCTTAAGAATGGGGTGTACTAGAGCATTTTGGTTCAGAAAACTTTTTGAGGTTAAAAAAATCTCTGACGAAATTTTCTCTGAAAAACCCACATTTTTCGCGATTTTTTTGAAGAGAAAAAAATTCAAATTTTTTTCTCGAAAAACTCACCAAAAATCATGATTTATTGAGAATTTTTGGCTCAGAAAAATTTTTCCGAAAAAAAGTTATCAAAAGGATAACTTGTAAAAAAATTTGTTTTTGACGAACCTCCATTTTTCTTCGGAACTGATTTTTGGACGGGAAAAAAATGCATTTCTTGGCTCAAAAATAGGCTTAAAATTCGATCATAAAAAATTTTAAATGCCTTAAAAAAATCGGACTTAAAAAAATTAAATAAGCCTTAAAAAATCGAATACACAAGAGCATTTTGGCTCAAAAAAACTTTTTCGAGGCCAAAAATTAACTTTGGGAAAAATTTTTCTTTGAAAAAAAGACCCACATTTTTTTCGCGATTTTTGAAACAAGAAATTTAAATTATACTCGAAAAGTCACCAAGACCATGGTTTATTGAGAACTTTGGCTTAGAAAAGCTTTTTTGAGATGAAGAAACTATCAAAATGATGACTTGGAAAAATTTATTTTAGGATGAACGGGTGGAAAAAAAAGACAGCGAAAGTTCAAACGGCGACTTTTCCGATGTTTTCGTATCGCTGGGGAACTTTCCGACTTTTTTTCCTTATGTTTTTCGGTTTATAACATTTTTTTTCCTATTTCTTTGTGTATTAATCATGAACCAACTACCTACTCAATGTAGGAAAATTTAAAACGAAGATTTTATCGAGAAACAAAGTCGGAAAAAATTTCGTTATTTTTGGACGGAGAAAACGCATTTCTTGGCCCAAAAATGCCTTAAAAATCGGCCTTAAAAATTAAAAATGCTCTAAAAATCGATTATACTATAGCATTTCGGCTAAGAAATTGAACAAAAAAAAAATTATTTTTTCATTTTTATCGCTTCTTTCACATCATTGACAACAAAAGACCAAGAAAAATCAATTTTTTCCTGGAAATTTTCTCAAATTCTTTTTTTTCCCGACTGACTGCAGAAAACTCGGTGAAAAACCTACTTTAAAGAAGAAAAAAACTCGGAAAAAAGGGATAAGAGTTGGGTTTTGGCTGAGCAGGTTGAAGTGGCCGCTTGCAAAAGGGGCCAAAGATCAAAAGTACAAAAAAGTTGCGAGCTTTCAAAATGCATCGAATTGGGATTTTCGACATGACTTTTATAGAATAGTCCAGCGATTTTCTGCTTTTTTTGAACCTAAGAGTTATAAATTTCCACTAGGGAATATAAAAAAATATTTCTAAAAAAATCAAAAAAATCGTCTGAAATAGTAAGATGTGCCGGTTTTGGGCGGGAAAAGACCATTTTGAAACTTCGAATTTTTTGGAAATACGTCAAAAAATTGAGCGAATACTTCTTAAAATCCAAAAAACTCGAAAAAAGGAACACGAAAAAGCTCAAAGAAGGTCCAAAAAGTTCACCAAAGCGTGACGAAAACCCGTCAAAGGGGCCCGAAATTGACTTATTAAAAAAAGAAGAAGGCTAAAAGAAAGAAGACGAGACCAAAAAAACGGCCAAATAAGGCGGGAGCGGTTTTCCAATTAGGGTCCTGGCACGAACGGCACTCGTTTTTCATCTCTTTCCTCATTTTCTCCCTCTCTCACGACACCTTTTGTATCGTAATTTGTCATTTCTTAATTTGCATCTTGACACGTTCTTTTGAATGGAAATTGTATAGTTTCGGATCGATAAAAACTAAAAAAAAATTATTTTGGATGGCTGAGATGAGAGAACAACGTGACTTGAAGAGACGCCAGAGAGTAATAGTGCCTCTAATTCTCTGCCCTCTCTTCAGACGGCATTATCTCTCGCTTTTGATCATTTTTTTTCAATCTCCGTGAAGTTCTACTTGTTAAGACGTCGCTCAAAAACACCCAAAAAACATTTCAATATTAAAAAACCCAAAAACGAAGTAAACTTTCTTCAACACTAAAAATCAGCAGAAACGAGCCAAGGAGAGGAAAAAAAATGAAAGAAACTTCTGTTCAAGCCTTTTTATAGCACAATCCGCCCACGTTTCTCGTGACCAATAAACTTTCAAAATTCCCATGATCGAATAAAATCTGGAGAAACGATCGAAAGTTTCAAAAAGCATTCCAAATAACGTTGGGAAACATTGGCGATTTATTAAACCTTAAACTTGCTCTATGGACAAGGCTAGCAATTTCGGAAGTCTTATGAAAAAAAAAACCGACACAATAAAATTCAGCCTTTTTCTAGACCCCAAATTATATAAATATGAAACTTACAGCATTTTAAAATTCGCAATAGAGCCCATATGTCGGAAATTGCGACGGCTATTTTTTCTCAGCTTTTTTGGCTCTATATTACCACTATGAACCCAGATTTTTCTTGAGTAAAACTTTTAAAGTCAGAAAAGAATACCAAAGCCGTTATTAGCTCTAAAAAACATCTCGAAAAATTCGCAATAGAGCGCACAAGTCGGAAAATATCACGGCAATTTTTTCACACTTTTCTCGGCTTTATATGATTGCTGAATGTCCAGCTTTTTCCTGTGCAAACAATTTATAAAGTTCGAGAAGAGAAACCAGAGCCGTTTAGAGCTGTGAAGAAAGTTCGCTATAAAGCGCACAAGCCGGAAAAAATCGCGGCTATTTTTTCTCAACTATTTTGGATCTATATGATCGAAAAAATCCACATTTTCTCTTAGTATAACTTTTATGAACTTTGAAATAAACTATTTTTCTTGTTAACGCTAAAAGAAACTTCCCATCTGTGCAAAAATGTTTTTAAAAACTTTCTAAAACCTTCAAAAATCGTGGAAAATCTAGCGTTTTTCTCAGTGAAACTGGTATTAATACCGGAAAAAGAAACCAAAAAGGTAGCTTCAAGCTTCGAAAAAGGAGCCCGAATAAAGCAAAATACCTTGACTGTGAAGACTGGCCAGGGATCCGATGGGCCGGCGACTTGAACGGCGGCTTTTCCGCGACGGGCACCGTGCCGGCACGAAAGCCGCTGAAAATCGATCAATTTTTATCGTTCTCGAAGTTTTCTCAAGCATAAAAAGGCTTGTAAGGGCCCATAAAAGGTGCAAAAGCCTCTTAATTTTTTCTAGAAGGCTCGGAAAAGAAAGAAGCAGAAAATGAAATTTAGAAAAGATGATGAATGGCTTGAAGTGGCTATTATTTCCCATTTTGTGCGCTCTACTGATAAAGGCCTTTTTTGGACTCACTGAAAAATCACAAAAACATATTGTCTGACACCCTCCACTTTCAACGCACTCTCTGCATGTCACGCACACTCCCGACTTCCCATTATCTCTAACAACTCGAGAAAGGATGAATTCAAGATAATACGTCAAAAAAGTGAGAAGCTCATGAAAGGGAAAGTTCCCAAGAAGGGAAGAAAAAAGAAACTTCCGCCAGGGGCAGAAAACATAAAAAAGGAGTTGAAGTGAAAAAAAAGCGGGGGGAACGGCTTCTTTCGGCCGTTCCCTCCTGGTCCTAATCCCATTTCCGCTCCTTTTTTTTCCGGTGGTCAGCCGTTATTGTGCTTTTCCTCACTTTGAAATTGACTTTTTCTCTTTCTTAGGGAATTTAGAGTGATCCCTATAGGGGTTAGGAGGAAAACAGCCTTTATTGGGGCCAAAAAGGGGTCCCTATAGGGGTTTAGGTTCCGATCCCTTGGGCACTAAAGCTCAAGTGGTCCCTATAGGGGTCTTTCAATTTCATTCAAAACGCTTAATTATTCAGTTTTCCGCATGGAAATGCTTGTTCACATAAATTTCATATAAATAATCGACTATGTCCCCTATAGGGACCCCTTTTGCAAGCGTTAGTGACCCATGTAGGAGCAGGTAAAGTGGTCCCTAGAGGGAACCATTCAAGGGCCCTTAAGGTTCCAAAGCTAGTAATGCCGCTTTCAAAGTGATCCTGCGAAACTCAAAAAAGCCGTCAGAGAGTGAGAAAGACAACTAAATTTTGGAGAGTCAGAGATACTTTTGCAGAACTTTTTTCGAACACGGCATGAGAATCGGTCCTAAGTGGAAAAAAAAATTTTGGCAGCATTGGGAATGGCTCAAAGACTAACGCCTGCTGTTAAAGTGCAACCGACCTAAAACGAGTTTCGCGTTTCCCTATTCCCAACACGATCAGATCCTGATACAAGTTCAAGGATACTAAAGCCACCACTGAGGATATTTAAATCATTTTTGTCTCAACTTTGAACCCTCCGATTTTCACACACTATCTCTCTGATCGTCCCAGTACCTATTATTCCGAAAAATTCGAAGATTTTTTAATTTGCAAAAGATTGAGGTCCAAACTTTCAAAAATCTCAAGTATCTGAAAAGATTCATCATAAATATCTCAGAATATTTCAAATCTCTGAAAAAATCTCTAAAAGTTAGTATGATAAAAAGAAAAGCTGCTCTATTCTGACATAGAAAAAAGAAAAACCTCCAACGAGCCAGAAAAGAAATAATTAATACGAGATGGGAAGAAAAAGGGCAGAAAGAAGGCGGAAATTGGACCGGCCAAGTCCTCTGGTTGCACTATATGTGTTCCACGAGACGACACCTTTCGGTGCACTTTTGCGTCGGCGTGTCGTGGAACTTATTTTAATTGTGTTAGGTTTCCAGGGCATTGTTTGAGTACATTCGGGGAAAGGTGCATTGAAAGTACGGAGGACTTTTTGAAATTTCAATGTTCGATGACTTCAGAGGGTGCAGGAAATGGGGATTTTCGAAGTTGAAACATCGAAAAAAATTTTTTTCAACATTGCGCGCAATCACAATGAAAGCTTAACGTGTGGATTTGTCAGATCTATATAAAACTGATCGAGAAAATTTAGTTCAAAGGTGCATTTTTCGCCAAATTTTGGATGATCGTTTTTGAATCGGTACGACTTTTTTAGGTCATTTCTCCCAATTTTTCTTCCCGAGGATTTCCCAATAAAACTACGGAATAGGTTCGAAACACTGAAAAGGAGAGATATGAGAGATCAGAGACAGCCTGAAGAGACGCCAGACAACGAGAGCGCCCTAACTTCTCTGGCGTCTCTTCATAAATTGCTTATCTCTTCTTATTTTGCGTTTTGAAGCATCTTACTTTCGTTGGTTTGTACTAGCTATATTCATCTGAAGAAAAAAGTGAGAGATCAGAGGCGGCCTGAAGAGACGCCAGACAACGAGAGCGTCCTAACTTCTCTGGCGTCTCTTCATAAATTGCTTATCTCTCTTTCTTCTGCGCTTTGAACCTTTCTACTTGCGTTGATTTGTACTAACATATTCATCTGATGAAAAAAGTGAGAGATCATAGACAGCCTGAAGAGACCCCAGACAACAAGAGCGGCCTAACTTCTCTGGTGTCTCTTCATAAATTGACTATCTCTACTTATTTCACGATTGGAACCTTCTTACTTGCTTCGGTTTGTACCGAATATTTTCACCTGATGCTAAAAATGACCTGTGAGAGATCAGAGACAGCCTGAAGAGACGCAGACAACAAAAGTGCTCTAACTCCTCTGACCTCTCCATAAATTAGTTATCTCTACTTATTTCACGCTTGGAACCTTTTTACTTGCGTTGGTTCGTACTAACTATATTTATTTGATGAAAAAAGTTAGAGACGAGAGAAATCCTGAAGAGACGCCAGACAAAGAGAGCACTCTAACTTCTCTGGCGTCTCTTCATAAATTGCTTATCTCTCTTCCTTGCGTTGATTTGTATCAACTGTATTCATCTGATGAAAAAAATGAGAGATCAGAGGCGGCCAGAAGAGACGCGGACAACAAAAGTGCTCTAACTTCTCTGACCTCTCCATAAATTAGTTATCTCTACTTATTTCACGCTTGGAACCTTTACTTGCGTTGGTTCGTACTAACTATATTTATTTGATGAAAAAAGTTAGAGACCAGAGAAATCCTGAAGAGGCGCCAGACAACGAGAGCACTCTAACTTCTCTGGCGTCTCTTCATAAATTGCTTATCTCTCTCTCTTGCGTTGATTTGTATCAACTGTATTCATCTGATGAAAAAAGTGAGAGATCAGAGGCAGCCTGAAGAGACGCCAGACAACGAGAGAACCCTAACGTCTCTGGCGTCTCTTCAGAGTTTCTTATCTCTTCTCTATCGCGTTGGCATCTAGCGACTAATTTTTAGAATAGGAAAAATTACCAGTATCGTCGAAACTGTTGAGCGATTGAGCCTTGGGCAGATGAGACGCGGACGGCGAGGCCGGAGAAACGAAAGAAGCCGTTGAAAAGAGCCGTATCCGCTCACCCATCTGCAAGATTTCAAGTTCAAAATGAATGTATTTTCAACAATTACAGAAAGCTCATATTTCGTTCAACAAACAGAAAAAAAAAAGAAAAAGACTAGAAATGGCTCTTCGCTTTGATACTTTTTATAAAGTTCGGCCATGCTCCTTTAAATACCAAAAAGAGCTTTTATCGAACCTGGATCTGGCTAGATTTTGCACAGAAAATAAAAAAATCAATGAAGTGATTTTCAACATAAACTTCTTAAACTTCTGATAAATTAAAAAATTTTATGATTTAGTAATAAATTGACAAAATTTTTAACCTTTAAAAAAAAAAAATCCTCCAAATCGAATCAAAAAAATCAACTTCCAAATCGAAGAGCTGAACAAAAAACAAAAATATTTGCAAATTAAACTACAAAATGATGCGCAAAAAATGTACTTTGATCAAAAAAAAAGTCAAAAAATCTAATGAAACCCAAAAAAAGCGGCTTCAAAAAATATTTTTAAAAAGTTCGAAAAATATAATGTCGCTCAGAAAAATATTCTTATTTCGTATGAATCTTACTCCAAAGGACTAAACTCAATGGGAAAAAAATTGACCACGAAAAATGAAGAAATTCTAGTGGAAAAATTGTACACAGAGGTCACAAAAAATGGATTTCCATCACAACTTTTAACCTAAAAACCGTCAAAAATCCTGCAAATCCAATCAAATTCAACTAGAAAAAAGAAAACCTTGTTGTTGGCCAAAACAAAAAGTATAAGAAAGACGCGACCGAGAAAGGGGGTATTAACGAGATTTTTCGTCAAAGTTCAAAGGCTTTTTCCTCGTCTTGTCGGAGGGAAAAAGGAGGTTTTCCCTCTTTGTTTGTGGTTTGAATAGAAATTCGAAAAGGCGCCAGAAAAGAGACAAAAGACCGGCGTGTTTAAAGGCGCGTGGGAAGATTCGAAAAATGAGTTTTTGGATGAAAAATTTCCGTCTCATTTCGAGTTCACGTGTACTCTCTATGCAAGGAAGTGTGCATTTCTCGAAATAACAGTGAGAAAAATTAATATTTCTTCTTGAAGTTCAACACTTTAAAGGACTTAGGAACCCCAGAGCGGTCCCTATAGGGGCAACCTTAAGGGCCCTTGGAGGGTACCCTATAGGGACCATTTTACCAGCCGCTATAGGGACCACTAAAGCTTGCAAAAGTGGTCCCTATAGGAGAGCTTCTGATCAATAATTTTTATGAACTCTAGGTGAAGAAGCATTTCCATGAGAAAGATGAAAAAAAACGAGCGTTTTTGAATAAAGATGAAAGACCCCTATAGAAAACACTTAAGCTTTAGGGGCTAAAGGGTCAAACTTTAAATCCCTACAGGGATCCCTTTTTCGGCCCCTATAAGGTCTGATTTTCCCACTAAACCCCCTGGACTTCCTAAGTAATCCATTCTTCAAACTCTCCGGCCTGTCTGCGCTCTCCTTTCTCTCACCGGGAGCTTTTTCTTGATTTTTTTAGGTGACAATCCTCGAAAAATGATTTATTCCTGTTTAAATGATTAAATTTGATAATAGAATTAAAAATGTAGACCACGATTATATTGAAAATAGTTTGATTTTAAAGCGGTAGAGGTCAAATTTTTTCGAAAAATGGCTATTATAAGCTTATAAATTGATCATTTTTCAGTGGTGTATATCTTTAGCCTTTGTGAAAGTTTGAAAAAAATCGTATCTTCAGGTTCAAAACATTTTGAAATCCACCAATAAATGAATAAATGAGTGTTAAAAATCTGCAAAAAGTTGAGAAAAAAGAGAATTTCTTCGAACGACACTCCACTAAACCACTTTCAAATCCGAAAAAAAAAAAGCGATTTTCTACAACAAAATCAATGTTTTAAAAACCCACTTATCGATGAGGAAAATGAATTTCAAACGATAAATATTTTGGCACCACGAAATCCGCCACTCAATTATCTAAAAAGCTGGGGGATGAGAGAGAAAAAAAAAGCTGAAGAATTCTTTTTTTTTGCTGGTTGTTTTGGCTGACTACACGACTGATGGACGTTCCGGCGGGAAGGCAAAAAAGAAGGCCAATTGCAAAAACAAAAAGTTTAGCCGAACTTGAAATGCTGCCTTCCATCTTATTTCATTGGTATGACAAAATGACGAAAAAAACATTAAAGAAGGGCATTTATTTTTTTAACAAAAATGCGCGCTACGGATAAAAAATTTATTAAGAATTTTTTTCAGAAAAAATTTTTTTGAAGTGAAACTTTTGTTACATCTATTCAATGATTTATAGACTTCCTTTTTCTTATTTTTTTGAAGTAAAAAAATTTCTGAAAAAAACTCCTCAAAAAAAGTTCAAAAATTGAAAAAAATATTAACCAACACATTTTTTTCTGAGGAATTGAAACAACTAAAAAGCTCATTTCGAAGCCCAGAAAATCAGGAAAAAATTCTCAAAGCAACTAATTTTTGGTTAAAAAAACCCCAATTTGATCATTTCAAAACTGAAAAACATATCACAGAGTAAAATTTGAGACATTCCATTCAAAAAAAGTTCAAAAAAAAGCCCTAAAACAAAAAAAGGACAATTAATCCAAAAAAAATAACCAGCACAAGAAACGAATTTTCTGTAAAACCACTCAAAAAATGAAAGAAATCTGTCGCGAATTCGAAATTTACAACATCTCGTCTGCGAAAAATGTTAAATAAGTTGTAGATCAAACAAAAAAAAGAATAGAACCCAGACAAAAATTGATCTCAAAAAAATGGCCCAAGGGAATGAATTTCGTTCAAATTTCTGTTAGAATCATCCAAAAATCGATGAAAATCTGTCGTGGAAATAAAATTTACAGCGTTTCTGTCTGGTCAAAACAATATTTCAACAAAAAAAAAAGAAAAAATCTCAAGAAGAACACATTTTTTGTTGAAATTCCTATTAGAATCATTCAAAAATCGACAAAATCTGTCGTAAACATGGAATTTACAGCATCTTTCTCCGGAAATAATTGTTAAATCGATAATTCGAAAAAAAAAGGGCCCAGACGAACGAAAAATAGACATTTGATCCGACGATTGCAATGGAGTTGGGGCTTTTGGGGGAGGAAAAAGAGGAGCAGAAGCTCAATTGGCAATGCTAATTTGGAGGGCTCAATCAAGGGCATACGCGCTTTTTGCAATGATGAGGGCAGAGATTCCGCCTTCCACCGTCTGGACTTTGATTTGGAAGCAAAAATTGGTTTTTTTTTTTTTGCAAGAAGGTCGCATTTGGAATGGATCAAGTTATGAAAGCCACGATTATTTTTCCTCTACAGCAAGCCGCGACGCTTTGAGCCATTCTAAATGCGACCACAGCGTTTTTCATTCCTCAAAAGCTCAAAAAAACATTCTGAGATCTATCAAAAAGAATTTTTTTCTCAAAAAAATCGAAAAATTTAGAAGCTATTTTTGCAGTTTGTTGCGCTCCATGGGTAATTTTGACCCAGGACTCAGTCAAAAAGTCTGAACACTGTATCAAAAAGCGGATAAATTAGAAGTTTTTTGAATTTTCATCAAAAAAAGAAAGACGGCGATTTTTTCCAAACCTTTTTCGCTCCATTGATAAATTCTCAATTTTCATGAATCAAAGCGCTTTTTGTTAAAATTTTAGGCTCTTAAAAATTTTTTTGCCACACTTTTGCCAACCTAAACACTGATTTAACACTAACAACAAATTTCAAAAATTATAAAAAATTTCCAAAAAGGCCCGAAAAATCTCGAAAAAGTTTCACAACACCTCTACGTATCCCTTGCCACCTTATAATCGAGAAGAAAAAAATTCACGAAATATATATATTTTATCCAGCTTCAAGCCGACAATTAACTCGAGGAGGAAAAATAACTACTCTTGTCAGGACGAGAAAAATATATATATAAAATCTGTTGGCCAAGCCAATTTTCACGAGCAGCGCGGATATTTCTGCACACATAATTTTGAGACGAGAGCGGGAGGGAAAATAAAAAATGGGAGGAAAAAAACGAACCAGCGGAACTTCCGCCCCACGCAAGAGTGACCATTGTTTTGGGAAGGCCTACGCGAAATAGTAATATGAGGAAGAAAAGCCGCTTTTTTCGTTCTGGATGGGAGAATAGGTGAGGAAGTTCTGTTAGAAGTTGCAAAAATTGGATTTTTATAATTTTAGGGGAAGTACTTTTAGCCAAGTATTATTGCAAGTCGAGCTAAGAAGCTAAGAAAAAAAGATTTTTTTGCGGAAAAAACAATTTGCATGCACTGCCAGAGTGGGAAAAGGGTGCAAAATGGCCGATAAAAGGGTTCCGTTTTGAGGCCTTTATTGACCCTTTCCTTCTTGATGGCATAGACAAATCTAATTTTTGAGCAACTTCACTTTAAATATTGGTAATTTTTGAGCAATTCCCTCTGTAACTTTTGACCGAACCCCCCTTCTGTAATTTTTTTGAAAAAAATCCTCCCCCTTTTTCCCAAATTTCAGGTCATAATTCTAAAACACCTAGAAATATTGATGGCAATCAATGGCCAAGACTTTCCTCACCCTTTTTTCACCCTGTTTTGAGGCTTTTTAGCCCTCCTCCAAGAAAGAAAGGTTCAATAAAGGCAAAACGGAACCTTTTTAGCGGCCATTTTGCAGTCACTTTCGACTTTGGCAGCGTTATTTTTTTTTTATTCTTCGTTTTGGAAAAGCCCGAAACAACTATAAAAAGAAGGAATGGTTTCGAAATTTCACCTCCGTAAAAATTGATCTCTTCCTTTGACCGGACGACGTCGACGGCTGCGAGTGTAGCCGCGTCAAATTCTGAAACAATTATTTTTCTGGCTACTAAATTTTTGGCGTCTTTTTTTTTGAAAGTGATCTTAATCAGAGAATTTAATTAAAGAAATTAAATAAACCTAGTGGGTTTAGCCTTTTCCGCACATTTAGGACTCCCATTAAGTTTGAAAAAAACTGTTTTATTTTTGAAAAAAATCGATACCCTTAAATTAGTAAATTTATTGTCCTTAAGGTCATTTAGGTCATTTTGAGACCTTTAAAAAAATCAGAAAAAAATGATCTTATTTCTTAGAAAAATGTTTTCTGCGAGTCATTATGAGCATTTACGTTCTAGAAAAATTCTCTTATTCCTTGGAAATACTTTTTTTGTTATTTGAGACTTCGAATGAAAAATCATTAAAGACATTTATAGCCTTCATTAAGTTTTTATAAGAATCCCACATCAAAATGAATTATTTTTCCTCATGACTCACCTGATACTCGTGATCAGCCGATAATTGGCGGGCCCCTGAAAAAGAAAATTTACAAACGAAAAGTCAAAAAACGAGAAGAAAAGGGAAAAAAGATGAATTGAAGTTTTTTTCTTAGAAGCTCCTCCAAGGTGGGCATTTTTAACGAATTCGTCCATTGGGATTTTGACAAGAAATGCCAAGATTCGCCTTTTTTGGCTTTATGGAGCTTGAAGCTTTTATGTGACAGAAAAATAGTTTTTTTTTTCCGGAGACTATATTGGAAGGACGAAAAATTTCAGAAAACATGAAAAATCGTTCGTAACTCTAGGGAGAAAGGTGGAAAACAGCCCCTGTAGGGGCCGAAAAAGAGGTCCCTATAGGGGTAAAATCAAGGTGGTCCCTTTAGGGGTTTAGGGTCTGACCGCTTAGCCCCTAAAGCTTAAGTACTCCCTATAGGGGTAAGAGAGAAAAAGAGCCCACATGAGGGACAAAAAGTGATCCCTATAGGGGTTTAGAATCTGACCACTTAGCCCCTAAAGCTTAAGTGGTCTCTATAGGGGTCCTTCAATTCTATTCAACGCTTATTTATTCAGTTTTTCGCACTGAAATGTTTCTTCACATAGAGTTCATAGAAATAATCCCTATAGGGGCCTCTCACTAAAACCTCTATAGAGACCCCTTTTGCAAGCTTTAGTGGCCACTGTAGGGGTTCTTAAAGTGGGAACCTAAGGCTCCCCCTATAGGGACCACTCAGAAGTTCCCAAGTTAGTAAAAAAAATCTCCAGCTTTATTTATTTGACTAAGAAAACGGGGGTGGTTGGTAAATAAACAACCCGTTGTTCTCCTCCAAAAAATGACCAGCACCACTTTATTTCCGAGGAAAACAAAGCAGAAATCGACAAGGAGGCTAACAAACTCATTAGCGAAATTTTTCTTCCTACCAACGGAAAACAAAGACTCGAATTAAATTTCTCGGGCTTTCTTGGGCCAATTTTTGTTGTCTTCTTCAGTGAGAAATGAGTTTTTATTCATAAAAAAAAAAGGATTTTTCCACTACAATATCGTTGAAACAAGCTAGCAATGAAGAAAGGTCCATAAAATCTAAATTTTTAGCCAAATGCCCTACTTTTTTTCTTTTCGAAACGCTTAATAATGTCATATGACTCATAGTGATTAAGGAAAAATGAGAAAAATTATGAAAAGTCAAAGAAAAAAAAAGCTTCCGTCCAAAGAAAGTGAGCTTTAAAAGACAAGGACCAAAAAAATGAAAATACTTTTTTTCGTACTTTCTTTCAGCCTATTTGAAAAAATCTATTTTTTTTTTGAGTTTTGCTAAAAGGGCCCTTTTAGAGTTTCTTATGATCAGAAGCAAATTGAACAAAAGGAAAAAAACCTCAAAGCAGAAAAAATTTTTGATATAGAGAAGTGAGATTACAAAGACAAAAAAATGACTGAGAAGCTAAAAAAAGTTCTTTTTTTCTGGAAAGGTCAGCACAGAGACTTTTTCACACCTTCTTTTAGTCTATTTGAAGGAAGCTTTCTTCTTTTTTGAGGTTTTTAAAAGGCTTAGAAATGACTTTTTGGTTTATCCTATACTTAAAAAGCAAAAAGAGCGAGAATAAATAAAAAAACCGTGGCTCTAACTTTGAGAAAAAGAGGAAAAAAACCTTATGAAAAAAATAATTCTCAAAAAAATCTCCATTCAAAAAAATGTAGGATTATAAAGAAAAAGAAGTGACGGAAAAAGCCAAAAAGAATTTTTTTCTTGTAAAGAAAAACAGACTTTTTGGTACCTTTTTTTAGCCTATTTAAAAAAAGTTTCTTCGTTTTGAGGCTTTTTAGAAAGATCTAGAAAAATGCCTCTTACATTTATTCCATAATCAAAAAAACGAAAAAGAAGGAGAATTTTTGAACAAAAAAAGGAAAAACCTCAAGAGCAGAAAAATCTTGATCCAAAAAAAGTGAGGTTACAAAGAAAAAGAAATGACTGAAAAGCCAAAGAATTTTTTTCCTGGAAAAATTCAGAACAGAGACTTTTTTTCGCACCTTTTTTTCTCTATTTGAAGAAAAAAATCTTCTTTTTGAGGTTTTTTTAGATGGCTCAGATACTATGATTAAAAGCGAAATTGACTAGAAATTCGAAGAAAAAGAAAAAAAAGCCTCAAGAGCAACGATACGAATCTCTCTACCAACACAAATTTGGGCGCGCGCGCTGGTTTTGCGCGAAAAAAAAAGTATATTTGCCTCCTTGTTTGTTGTTTTGGACACCTCCTCCTTTACTTTTTCTCGAGCCACGGATAAAAAAATATTATTTCGTCCAGAAGCAGCTTCATCGGGACAACAAAACTTTCAGGCGTCGAGATTTCCGGATTGAGTAGTTGGATAATGAGTGAGATCCACGAAAACAATGGCCGAGTGGCTCTGGGAAAAATATTTGATTTTCTTGGACTTTTTTTTTGAAAAAGATAGGGCTGAGAAAAATCTAAAGTGAACAGTGATGGTCTATTCTCATTGGGGGATTTAAAAAAAGTAGAAAAAAATATTATTTTTTTCTAATAAATTGGACGGAAAAATTTTTTTAGGCAAATTTGGAAAAAAATCTGAAAAAAATAAAATCTCAACTGTTAGTTGAATCGAAATTCTTGTATAAAAGAGCTTAGGAAATCCAGAGTGGTCCCTATAGGGCGACCTTAGGGGCCCTTGGAGCGTCCCCTCTAGGGACCACTTTACCAACCCCTATAGGGGTCCCTTAAGCTTGCAAAAGTGGTCCCTATAGGGGAAATGCTAGTGGACAATTTTTATGAACACTATGGAAGAAGCACTTCCATGCTGAAAACTAAATAAATAGGCGTTTTTTGAAAAAGTTGAAAATCCCTATAGGGACCGCTTTAGGGGCTACGGGGCCAGATCCTAAACCCCTATGAGGACCACTTTTTCGGCCCCTATAGAGCTGTTTTTTTTTCGTAATCCCTATCGGGGGTCACTCCAAAAATTCCCTGTGAAAAAAAATCTTTCTCAAGAACTTTGCAAACTTTTGGCGCCAATTCAAACTTGGCGAGTTTTTTAAGGTTTTTGAAGTTTCCTGATAAAAAAAATGTTCAACTTAAAAAACCTACCTCTTGAAAATGACCATTTTTGTTGTACAACTCAAAAAATTTTCACCAATAATTCCGATAATGCTATACTTTTTGAATTGGCGAGAAAAACGCATCGCGTCCGCTTTGCACATTTTCGGTAAATCAGGGTGTTTCCTAGCTCTGTGCGGTCAGTTGTGTTGGCCGCAATACACCGCGACGCAATTATGCACCTTCAACTCAAATTTTGGCGAGTAGCCAACAAACTTTAATTTTTTTCATTTTTCGCTAACGATCATGGATGATAAGAAACTTTCCCAGTTTTTACGTGATAGGTAGGGGAAAACGGATTGGTTACATCAGCTATACCAAAAGACTACGTCTCAAAAAAGCTTGAAAATGGAGGAAAACCTGAACGTCTGAGGTCGAGGACGTTGTGGAAAGTCGCCGACTTCTTCGGCGTCGTCTCGACACTTTCCCCGTGGCGCATGCTTTCCCTCATCGAGCTGGGCTGGCTCTCTTCCTCGATCGTTCCCAGAGTTTCACCCTGCAAAATGGCTCTTGACCTCCGAAGGTTCAATAAAGTCTAAAAATAAATCCTTGCGCCCAAAAAAAAATCTGAAGATTTATTTTCTGCAATTAGAAAAGACGTTGCGACGCGCAAAATTGTTTTTCCCGCATGCACTCCCTCGTAAAACTGCATACGCTTTTCAATTTTTTCAATTTTTTTTTTCGAAAGTTTTCTAATTTATCCAAACGCAGCCAAGCCTTGTTTTTGCAAGTTATGACTTCCAGCGAATTTTTCACTTTGACCAATAGTTTTCAATCAAAGTTTGGAACAGAACTGGAGTTTCATAAAAAAGTGTTTTGGGTGTTTTTTTCATTGCTTTTCTTACTCTAAAGTTCACGAGTTTTGATGGAATTTATTTTATAATTTTTATTTTGATAAACTTGATTTATTTTTTTAAACATAATATATCTTCTTTATATGAGCAACTGAAAAAAACTGCCAACCGTTCAAACATAGTTTACAGCACAAATTCTTCATTATCAACTTTTTTTAAATTTCTCTTTTTAAAACTTCAATAAGCAATGTTTGCAACAAATTTAATAAGAAAATCATGTGGTTGTCACTCGAAAAGTAGCTTTTTCAAAAAATATTTTGCTTCAATGAATTTTTTCCGCGTTTTCAACATGAAATTCAGATTCTGCGTGTAAAATGAGAAGTTGGCCAACCATATTTTACCCAAACCCCTATAGGGACCACCTTGATTTTATCCCTATAGCGAATACTTCTTCGGTCCCTATAGGGGCAATTTTTGTGCCTGACTTCTATAGAGACCACTCTAAAATTCCTAACCCCAGTGTTCAAAATTTGAGAAAAAAAACATTAAAATTCCAAACTTTACGTTAAAAACTGAAAAAAAACTTTTCTTATCACCCTAAACTTTGGCTATCCGAAAAGCTTGCTCTCCGTTAAAACTACACGAAAATCCTCTCGAGAATCGCCATATCCCTGCCTAGCAACATCCCTGCATATGAAATCAAAACTAAGAAGAGGAGCTTCTCAACTTTTTTGGCAGGCAGGAAAGGGGAAAGGAAAACGTCCCCACACATCGAATATTCAATACAAAACGGGGCGGATTGACGTTGGCGTTTATCATGGATTAGCCCCTTTTTCTCTCTCCAAGTTTCTTTCCCCTTCGTTTGTGGGCGTTTGGCCGATAAAATATCATAGTAAATGAAAATCCTGGCAAAGGAAGCTTAAAATTCCATAAATTGGTCTTAGAACTTTTCATTTCAGAAAAAGCATTTGCGCCCCATGGACACAGCTTGAAAAGTGTCATTGGTAACGCAAAACGGACGCGCTCCGAACGTTCCTGAGCCATTCTAGGGATCCCTTAAGAGCGCTGCGGCTACTAAAGTGGTCCCTAGAAATTCCCCGACACGTCAGATCCCGTTCGCGTTACCGAGGACGCGCCTTGGCCTTTCTAGTGACCACTTTAGTAGCGTCAACACTCTTAAGTGATCCCTAGAATTGCTCAGGAACGTCCGGAACGCGTCACCGAGGTCCAAGCTCGGTATTTTCATCAATAAAAAACCTCCTTCTGACCTGTCTGCGCCCTCTTCTCCCTCATCGAAAAGGTCATAGAAACATGAAAAGAGCACTTCAAAACGAGAGGGGGCAGAGAAATTAGAGTCTCTCAAAATTTGATGATTTGGGCATTTTTTTTTCCAGAAAATAAGATTATTTCAAAAACGCATATGATTTCAGTACTACAGAGAAAACATTTTAGCCATTTCCTGTTACCCTAGCCGAATTACGGTACTCTGGGTTACGGTATTGAACTACCTGCGCATCTAAGAAAATCTTCGCCTTCTCTAGGAAAGCTGTACACCAATCGATAGCAAACGCAATTTCAGCCAGTTTTGGGTTACTGTAGTGAACTTTTGAGATACGGTAAAATGAATCAAAAAATTACCGTTTTGCTGCAAATAATACCCGTGCGTCGTATCCCGAAATCGCTGTTCGAGGCGTGCATCTCGCTGGAAATTTCTTTTTTGTAGAGAATTTCGAAAAAAATTGAAATGAAAAGCACGAAAAGAAAGGTGCAGACAAAGTGCAACTTGAAAAAATTTGAAAAAATAAAAGTCAAAGGACTATTTGATTGATGAACGAAAGGTCCGGAAACGATCTGCTGAACGAGATGATTTATTGATTAAAAATATATATGATAGCGGCATTTTTTTGGCGGAAATTCACAAATTTTTTTCTGCTCTGTGGATTTCTTATTAATAAGATTGATTGATTTGAATCGATTATTCATGAAAAAAATTCATGAATTTAAAAATTTCATATGACTTATTTTTGGAGTTCGATATATTCCTGATTTTTTTTCCAGTCTCAAGAAAGTTCAAAAGTTTTTAAAAACTTTTACTTGGAATCTATAAGATTCATAACTTGAAATTTTCAGGTATACAAAAATCGGAAAACTACTGCTTCTCAAAAAAAAATCTGGAAAAGACGAGCACTAGACTTTCAACCGTTTTGACTGAACCAGGAACGAAAATCGGATGACTACTGCTTTGCAAAAAAGTCTAAAAAAAAATCCGTAAAAGACGAGCACTAGACTTTCAACAGTTTAGACTGAAATAGGGGCCGGAAGTTCGGATTGTGGCAGGCGGCTGCAAGTGGCAGCGAAATCCCGTCGGGAGCCCCCGTCGAGATGAATCGTTTCACACAAAAAAAGACATTTCTCAGAGCCGATGCCCTTTCCAAGTTTGAGCTCTTTTTTTCACGGCGCCATGACAAATTAGCTGTTGTGATATGCAACAAGGAACGCTTCAAAGTTTGCTTTTGAGAAAAAAAAAGATTTTAGCCGTGAAAATAGCCAATGAACTTGCGCTCTATTGATAATTTTCGCGGTATTTGGCTCATTTGCCACGACTTGAAACTTTCTGAGCCATTTGAGCCATTTATTCTTTTTGAAAACTAAATTTCAAGTAAAGGGTGAAATTCAGTTGATAAAAAAATAGCCGTGAGGTCAGAAAAAAGAAGAGAATGTGCGCTCAACGGACAACTCCTATTTTTCGGCTTGTTTCAAGTTTTTTCGGGGATAAAGTTTAGAAGACTAGTAAATGGTGAAATCGAGTCGATGAAAAATGCTTCAAAAAATAATAATTACGGACAAAATAAAGCTTTTCTTATTGAGAAAAAATAGCCGCGAAAAAACAAGCTTCAAAAAAATGAGGCCGAAAAAAGACGATAATGTGCGCTCCATGGGAAAATCCTATTTTTTTGGCTTTTTAAAATTTTTTCGAGACAAGTAAGAAAGTTTATAATCCTGGAAAAAGAACTAGAAAACTGCAAATTTCTCGTCAAGCCTGAAAACTGTCAATAGAGCGCAGAATGAGAGATTATTTCGGCTATTTTTTTTTTCGAGAGCGATTTTTGAAGTGTTTTTTATGTTAATACTGCCGCTTGAAAAGTGCCTGAAAAATAATAATTACCGACAAAATAAAGCCTTTTTATTGAGAAAAAAAAGGCCGCGAAAAAACGAGCCTCAAAAAATAGGGTCAGATAAAATACGAGAATGTGCGCTCCACGGACAATTCCAATTTTCGGCTTTTTCCAAGTACTTCGAGACAGAAAGAAAGTTCCAAATTTATAAAAAAAAAAAATTTTTTCGTCAAGCTTGAAAAATAGTCAATAGAGCGTAGGATGAGCGATTATTTTGGCCATTTTAAAGTCAAAATTTTTTTCTAGGTTTTTTTGAAAACATTTTTTTATGTTGAAAGGACACCGATTTTTTTGAGATTTAGATTTTAAACTTGAATTTCAAAATGAAAAAGGAAGTACGGAAAGTTCGCCTCGACTAAAAATAGAAAAAAAAAAGCGAGAAGCAAAAAAAAAGGAAAAAACTTCCTGGACAACCAAAAAAGCAACTACATTTCCATGCCTTTCTTCATTATTTATTCAAAAAATGGAGCTTTGGTGCTCTAAATGTCATCATCCATCTGTCCAAATGACTCTGGAAAAAGATCCCCCGAGAAAATGACCCTTTTTGTAGAAATCGGAAGTTTTACGCTTGAAATGGAGATTAAAGTCGATCAAATAAAAAACCAGGAAGTCTTTTTTTATTCTGGTTATGAGAAAATTTGGTCTGGGATTATTGGTGGAAGCAAAAAACACTAACAAGTTAATTCAAGCTTTAAAAGATTCAGTAAAAAAAAGACGACGGTGTTCTGGAAAGACGCCAGAGAAAGAGAGATTACCCCGACTTCTCTGCCGTCTCTGCAGGACGTCGTTGATCTCTCTTTTTGAAAATTTGCGGTTCTGAGATTCATTAGCCTCCTAATAAGGTTCAAAAAAAGGTAAAACATGCACCCGACCGAAAACGACTTGCGCTCCTAGTCATCTGAAAGCTCTAGATTGAGCCGTTCAGCTTCAAATCGACATCTCGGAATCCAAAAAAAGTGTTTCAAAAAAAAACTTGTTAAAAAATGCGCCCGACCGAAAATGACTTGCGCTTTGGATCATCTTAAAGCACTAGATTAGCCGGTTCAACATCAAATCGACGTCTGAGAATCCAAAAATGTAGTTCAAAAAAAAAACTTGTTAAAAATTGCGCCCGACCAAAAACTACTTGCGCTCTAAGCTATCTGCAAGCTCTAGATTAAGCCGTCGACACCTCGGAATCCAAAAAAAAAGTCATCGAAATATCAGCAAACCCTGGGGAAAATTGGACGACGAAGCGTTATTCTCGCCCCTTTTTTTTTAGTTTCTCATTAGCGAAAAGGCAAAGGAGGGAAAAGGAAGAGGAGAAACGAGAGGAACACGCAATTCCGGCGAATAATCCAATTAATTCAGTAAGAGAACTGCACATAAACACGTATCTGCCCCGCAGCTTCTCAACTTCATTCACAGGATAATTTTTTCGCGTCATTCGTCAGACGGCGTTTTGGAATGACTCGAAGCGGCGCGGTTGCGTTGCGGCTTGAAATTTTGGTGTCACAGGGCGCAAGTCGTTTTGGGTCGGGCGCTTCTAGATTAGAAAAAGAGAAAAAGGGAAGAATTCATACTGGCAAAGTTTTCAGTGTCCACTTTAGGGTTTTGAAGTTAAGTGGCCATTATAGTGGTATAATTAGTGACCACTTAAGTCACTGACAATTAGTGGCCTCTTTAGGAATCTAATTGGTACTGATAGGCTTTTTTTCCCGTAAAGCGTGATTCCTCAAATTTTTCGTGTTTTTCGAAATTTTTTTCATCGGATTTTTCAAACCTGAGTTATAAACCTTTTTATGTGATTTCAAAAAATTCGAAAAAATGCTCTCTTATATTTTCGAACTTTCTTTACAGTTTGAGAGAGATTGGGAAAATTATCAAGCATTTTTTGACCAGATTCATGAAAAAATATTCTGAGAGAAAAAAGGAGAGCTCCATTGTCCATGGAGCAACTTTTCCGCTACTTTACGCGGCTATTTTGTCTCTAGACTTTTTCTTTATTTTTAAACTTTTCTTTCTTTCAAAAAAGCTTGTTATCGATTAACGTCCCAGTTTTTTTGCAACAAAAAAAAAGAGTGAAGAGGATTAATCGTCATTTTGGGGAGAAAAAAAAGTCCCACGGGGGGTGAGAGGCTGAAAAATGGTTCCTTTTTTTTCTTCCTCTGCTTTAAGTCGGTTATTTTATCTATGCATGATGGTTCTTGAAGGGAAAAAAAAAAGATTTCCCGGGAAGTAAAAGGAAAGAAAAAGGCGTTCTCTCGGACATGAGAGTTTGAGCGTGAAAAGGCAAAGCAGCAATCAATTCTCACCAGACTCACCTCAAAAAAAAACGACGAAAATAAAATACGGCTTTGGGAATATTTTCGAGAGGGAGTTATGAGTCACTGGGTACAAATTTTGACCTTTTTTGGGAATTTTTTGGAGGGTTTCGTGTTTTCTACCGCAAAGAAGGTATAAGGAAGAGGAAGTGCCGAATTTTCATAATAAATATATGTTTCGTTTGATGTCTTTTTTTAATTGAGTTTTCCGCTTGAAAAATAATCCACTAACTGGTCTGAATAGAGAGAAAAAGAAGTTGAACTTTAAGATTCTTGAGTAGAGTTTTTTTAAATCTCAAATTTTAGATATCTCGGACGTCTTTAAAATCCATAAATAAAAAAATCTAGGCATCCAAAAATTCAAATTTTCGGTACCTAAATGATCATGAAACCAAGACTGAAGTTTTTTTAAAGTGATAACTATGCGAGAAAAAAATTTATTTCGATTCAGAAATTAAGTAAAAGTCCAAATTCCAGATCCTGAATTTCAACTTCATTATCAATTATTAAAAATATTGAAATACCAGCCAGAAAAAGGAAAAAAACGGTTTTCAAGCTGGAAGAGTCTTATGGAGAGTCTTGAGACATACATGGGTCAAGTCGGAATGGTGGATAATGGCCGGAAAAAAGGGAGAGGCTCAAAAAAGGCCGCAAAAAGGCAGCAAAAAGGCTCGAAAAAGGCAGCAAAAAGGCTCGACAAAGGCCGCAGACAGGCAGCAAAAAGGGAGCAAAAAGGCTCGAAAAAAGCTGCAAAAAAGGCCCCTTTATCGAGCCTTCCATTTTTTTGGGTTTTTAAAAGCTTAAGAAATGGTGGGAAAAAGAAGAGGCTGCAAAAATGGTGCATAAAGGCCCATGAAATGGCGTAAAAAGGCAGCAAAAAGGAACATTTCTATGGAGCCTTTTTACACCCTTTTCCGACTTTGCCTACGTAAACACTGCCAAAGTCGGAAGTGCGGAAAACGGGTGCAAAAAGGGAGTGACTGCAAAATGGCCGCTAAAAGGGTCCCTTTTTACGGCCTTTATTGAGCCTTTCATTTTTGGTGGGTTAAAAAGGGTCATAAAAGGGCGAAAAAAGGGAGAGGCCGCGAAAAGGGTGAAGAAAGAGTGGGGGTTCAAAAAAAGGTTCTGAAAGTCTCTGTTATTGATGATTTCCGATGTTATTACTGTAGCTTATTTCGGTTCATACGCAGTCACTTGTAAAGATTATTCTCAATTTAAA